AATAATTGTACATACCCACCTGAATTTCAAATGCTTTGGATGGTAGCACTTTTATTATATGACCACCATCAGGGTCTTTCAAATTCTATTTGAAAGACCCTGCCACTGTTAATATTGGCTATTTGGTGACCATGACTTATAAATGGTCCTCATCAAGGTGCATGATCAAGATTAAAAGGTTAGTGACAAACAAAAACAAACTTATGGATCTTGAACATATCTCTCAATGGGATGTAGGATATTTGCTACAGCTTTCAGATATATAGAATGAAAACATCTTTTTTTACTTAGTTATTATAAAAGAAACATTTCAGCAAAACACATGGAGGACAATGATCTTGTAAATGAGAAACACAAACTTTTTTAAAATCTAAAGATAAAGTCATTTTACTCATGGGGAACCTAACTGAAGGAGATAATTTACTTTGTAGATTTTCAAGTGAGATTAGTTTCCCTTGATTTCAAATGAAATTCTCACTTAATTTACAACAGACTTTTTAAAAATAAAAAAACAAAAAAACAAGTCATTTTACTCATGAGGAACCTAAGGGAGATTACTGACAATGTAGATTTTCTGGTAAGATTAGTTTCCCTTGAATTCAAATGAAATTTTGTTTTCCAAAGGCTATGTTAGAAAAATCAATGTGGTTCCTGTCTCTGTATTAACAAACGAATGTATGTGTGCTCTTAAAATGTTGAATTACCAATTTTAAAGCATATATTTTTGAAGTTGGTATCATTTTAGTTCAAAATATTTTTGAAACAATGAATAAAATCTTCCAATATACACACTTTCATTGAAAAAACAATCTTTGTCATGCTGCCTTCAGAAATTTCAAGTAGATTCGCTAAAATGTGAAAATAATACTTGATATAACTTAATATTTCTTTTAAAATATTTGTAAGGGGTAAAGACTATGTTCTAGATACAAAAATAAGGATTGAAGCTGAAGGGCACACGGGAAACACATCGACTTTTTTCATTGGCCTTGCAATATACAGAAATTCATTTCAAAAAGAGGGAGACAAATCTCACATTCATAATAAAAAATTGACTTTGAGATAGTTACTTCCCTTTGATCATAAGACCAACTGCTTGGCCCCTTCCATCGTAATTATTTGTGTGGCCCTTCTGGTAGACTTCCTTGTAAAACATTTGAAAGGAAGTCAAAACTTACGTACAAAAATATGGAAGAAAAGTATTATATCAAAACAGATTGGCCCCCATACATGAGTAGCATATGCATTTTAAAAATAAAATCATAAGTAATGCATTGGTCAATGGTGTAAATCTTTGCTTAATGCTCAACACTGCGAGCTGAACACCCCCTTCCTCTAAATTTCAATTTAAACAGTTGGAATACATAAAAGTATACCGTCCATGCTTTTTCTGGATGGGTAATGTAATAGCTAAATATTAAGTAAGCACATCTTGATCATTGGTAGAAGACTCATGTATCTCCTGCCAGCTAAACCCTTCACTTAATTTAAAAACAGACTTTAAATGATATAAAAAACAGCAGTTTACCATGGGTCTTAAGGGAGATTGTATATAAATGGCTTATTAATAATTCAATGCAAATTTGTTTTTGGATTTGAAAAAACTCAATGTATCTGCATCATTTTAAAACAAAAAAATCATTTAGCTCTTGAATAAGGATTACTAAATGAATTTTTGTAATTATTTTGTTTCAAGAATAAAAGTATTAAAAACGCCGATAATAAAATATCGTTCTGAAGTTATTTTATTAAAGCTTCATTTTTAAAATAAAACCAGGTCCAAATGTACTGCCCTCAGAAATTTCTTGTAGATACACTAAAGTGTGAAAATAATACTTGATGTAACTTAATATTCTTTTTAAAATACTAAGAAAGGGTAAAGACTATGTTCAAGATACAAAAATATGGATTGAAGCTGAAGGGCACACAGGAAACACATTGACTTTTTTCATTGGCCTAGCAATATACAGAAATTCATTTCAAAAAGAGGGAGACAAATCTAACATTCATAATCTAAAATCTGACTATGTGATAGTTACTTCCCTTTGATGATAAGACCAACATCTGGGCTCTTTCCGTCATAATTATGTGGCCCTTCTGATAGACTTCCTTTTAAAATACTTGAAAGGAGTCAAGATTATATGTTTTACATACAAAAATATGGATGAAAGGTGTGAAGCACACTGGAAACACATTTACTTTTTTCCATTGGTTTAGCAAGACAGAAATTTATTTTTCAAAACAAGGGTGAGACCTCTTACTTTCATACTTGATAATTTGACTTTGTGCACGTGATTGTTACTTCCTTTTCAACGTCAATCGCACTGTTCAACCATTCCTGAAAAGCCGCTGAGAATGTTGCGAGCAGAAAAATCACCAATTGCAGAGGAAGAAGCTTACTCACAGATGTACAAGACTATTTGATAGTGATTTTTTTAATAAATGTACACATACACGTATATATATATGACTTACAAAATTTTCCACATAAATTGGGGCTTCTGTGGCCAAGTGGTTAAGGTTGTTGACTTCAAACCATTTGCCCGTCTTCGCTGTAAGTTAGAATCCATCCTGGGAATATGGAGTTTGAATTCTTTCTTTAACTGAGGAAGCTTTGAACAGAGCTAGCTTACGAAACTTTGGTGGTTCTACTAGTTTCCGTTCAAGCCTGAAATAATGTATGAAGTGGCTCTTGAGATCTTCCTCCACCAGTAAAGCTTGAAAGTCGCAGTTGTTTGTAACTGTTTCTATATTTACATTTGTGTTTGTCACAGTGCAATATTCATGGGTTTTTTATAATGCATATATTAAATAAAACTTGAAACTTGCGCTAGTTGCGATAGCAAGACATTGCCTAGCACTAACAGACACCTTGTAAAGACGAAGTTCTAAGTATTATCAAACTTCTTACTTTTAGTATGAACAGGCTTCTTACTTTAAGTACAAACAGGCTCCTTGCTTTAAGTTCTAAACAGGCTCCTTGCTTTAAGTTCTAACAGGCTCCTTTTCTTTAAGTATTTTCAGGCTTCTTACTTGAAGTTCCAAGAGACCCATAACTTTAAGTATTAACATGCTCAACAGGTCTAAGCAGGCTAAAAAATTGGCTTCTTTTTTAAGTACTAATAAACAGGCTTCTTACTTAAGTATAAAACTTGCTATTTACTCTTAGTACTGAATACAGACTCCATAATTGTAAGTACTTACAGTCTCCTTACTTTAAGTACTTACAAAACAGGCTCCTTACTTTAGGTATTAATAGGCTGCTTATTTTAAGTACTAACATGCTTTTTACTTTTAATATGTAAGTAAGTAATAACAGGCTCCTTACTTTAAGTACTAACAGGCTTCTTTATTTAAAGTACTAACATGCTTCCTTACTTTAATTACTAATATGCTTCCTAACTTTAAGTATTAACAGACTTTCTTACTTTAAAATACTAACAGGCTTTCTTACTTTTAAGTACTAACATGCTTCCTTACTTTAAGTATTAACAGGCCCCTTACTTTAAGTATTAACATACTTTCTTACTTTAAGTACTAACATGCTTCCTTACTTTAAGTACTAACATGTTTCCTTACTTTAAGTACTAACAGACTTCTTTCTTTAAGTACTAACAGGCTTTCTTACTTTAAGGACTAACTGACTCCATACTTTATGTACTGACAAACTTCTTACTTAAAGTATTAACTTGCCCCTTACTTTAAGTACTAACAGGCTCCTTTCTTTAAGTACTAACAGGCTTTCTTTCTTTAAGTGCTAATAGGCTTTCTTTCTTTAAGTACTAACAGGCTTTCTTTCTTTAAGTACTAACAGGCTTTCTTTCTTTAAGTACTAACAAGCTTCTTACTTTAAGTACTAACAGGCTTCTTACTTTAAGTACTAACAAACTTCTTTACTTTAAGTACTAACAGGCTCCTTACTTTATGTACTAAAATACTCCTTACTTATGTACTTACAGACTCCTTTCTTACTTTACGTACTAGTAAATTCCTGACTTTTAGTACTAACAGGCTCTTTCCTTGTAAAATTCTTTAAAAAAAAATTGTGGATGTGTTCAATGAAATAAAAAAAGAAAATATTAGAGATTGCTTATGAAATAATCATCTTTTAATGAATTAGTCAGATAAACTGGACATTTTGTCATGGACTCACCTGCCCGAGTACTAACAGGCTTTTTTTACTTTAAGTACTAACAAGCTTTCTTACTTTATGTACTAACAGGCTCCTCACTTTATGTACTGACAAACTTCTTACTTTAAGTATTAACAGGCCTTTTTACTTAAGAACAAACAGGCTTCCTTTAGGTACTAACAGGCTTTCTTTAAGAACTAACAGGCTTTTTCTTTGAGTAGTACTAACAGGCTTTCTTACTTTAAGTACTAACAGGCTTTCTTACTTTAAGTACTAACAGGCTTTCAAACTTAAGTATTAACAGGCTTTCTTACTTGAAGTACTAACAGGCTTTCTTACTTGAAATACTAACAGACTTTCATTCTTTAAGTATTACCATGCCCCTTACTTCAAGTACTAACAGGCTTTCTTACTTAAAGTACTAATAGGCTTTCTTTCTTTAAGTACTAACAGGCTTTCTTTCTTTAAGTACTAACAGGCTTCTTACTTTAAGAACTAACAAACTTATTTACTTTAAGTACATGTACTAACAAACTTAATTACTTTAAGTACATGTACTAACAGACTTCTTACTTTATGTACTAAAATACTCCTTACTTATGTACTAACAGACTCCTTACTTATGTACTTACAGACTCCTTTCTTACTTTAGGTTCTAATAAATTCCTGACTTTAAGTACTAACAGGCTCTTTCCTTGTATTATTCTTTTAAAAAATTGAAAGTGTGGATATGTATTCAATAATATAAAAAAATAAATTATTAGAGATTGCTTATGAAAGAATCACCTTTTAATGAATTATTCAGATAAACTGGACATTTTGTCATGGACTCACCTGCCTGACAGAACAAGAAATAGAAAAAACACAGTTTATTTGTAGACTTTATTGAGAAAACATTAAAAAATACAAACATGATAACTGGACGGCTTTACCAATCACGATATTAATACTCCATTTTCAGCAGCTAGCCAATGTAGAAATAAAAACTCATATGTGCATATTAAGAAAATATCACTAGAAACAAGTGCCGATTTTCCTGTAACACCCCTCTTATATGCAATGAAATATTCCAATAATCCTTCATATAAAGTCCTGTCTATATACAAGGGGGGTGACAGGTTTCAATTTTATAAAATTTCAGATTTCACAATTCAAATACATGTATACGTTTCTGGAAAACCCCGTTCTTAATAAACTAGCATCAGCAGTCAAAACTTCATTTTTCAAAATATTCCTATGAAAATACTTAAAAAAATGTATACTTTCTCTTATTGTTAAACATAATATGGATTTTACTATAAAAAAAAGAGAAAAAAAATACATGTAAAAATCTATTTACAAAATTTATCACAGACAAGTTAGGACTAACAAACAATAACAAAGTCATATACGATCACATTTATGTTTCTGTCGTTAATTATATAAAATGGGGATATCACGGTGATCAGAATATAAAGTTACTTTTGGCAATATCCAACCCAGAAAATAATACCTTTTCAATAATACCTAATTTTTAATTAGTGTCTACATACGATTTTACTGAATCTTATATTCGAAGGCAGCAGATTGCGCCAGTATAAAAAGGTCAGCAGTTTGTTCTCGTAGTTCAGATGTTCCTTTTGGCGAATGTATAACTTCAATTTGAATACTATGTTCCGATCTTAAAAATACTTCAAATACTGTTCGATCTAACATCACGTATAATTAAGCTTCAATAAACAATACTGTTATCACAAAGCAACAATAAAAATATCCCTCTAGAAAATCTAAAAAAAACCACTTGTTTCACATAAAGCACTGCGCGATATTGTCAAAATAAATCAATGGACGGAATGATATCTAGGTCAATACGATATTTAACTTATAGCACATAATTACATATATCACATTTTTATATAGTGTAAACAAAGTCAACAATGCATTTCTATCTTCGTGAAATTTAACACAAAGATTCTGCCATTCACCCACGTAAAAAGTTGTTTTAGCTTGTGAAAATAAAGTCCAGAGTGTATTGTATCACAAAAATATATATAAATGCATTTCTTAATAAAAGAACAAAACAAAAGTAATAAATATATTAATAAGTCCATTTCAATATAAATCACATATTTATATATATATTTATCAAAGTTTTTCAAAGTGTACATTTTTAAATTATTATTATGAATATAAAATCAATATATTGGTCACTCCACCAAAATGGATTGAAATGTGATCCATTCTGTTCTATTTATAGACAAAAACAAATACCAATTGGGTGCCCTGTAGTGTGGATATATAAAATTTCATTTCTCAAGATGAAAACATTTTGGAAGATAAATGTCTATTTCATTTTTTCTTAACTGATGATTGAATAAATTTTCAAAATAGAATGGTTATATCCAAACAATACAAGACAATTGTTCGAGGAAATATAGTGACTATTTTTAGATTCTGCGAGCTTTAATTATCAAGCTGGCAGAGTAAAGCCACGCCTCGCTGTACCCAATGGTCTTCGGGTTTGTCCGTCGGGACTAACATCCCGATAACATAATTGGTGGAATGTCCTGTGGTGGATAACACGCCACGACGTTCACTAGTCTTGTACACCGGAATGTGGTAAACACCGGTCTCATCCAAGTCCTGTTTCTTGCACGGTTTCACCCAGATCTAAAAACAGCCAGTAAATGATTTAATGACATTTGGGTTGAGAATTTATTAAAAAAGTTGCACGTTTTGTAAGTAAAATTTAATTTCTTTAAACTTATATTTAAAAACAAGTTCTGATAATTATGATTGATCACTTAGAATGAAACCTGGTCATGATTCCAGTACATCTGAAAACAAACCACGACCTACATGATATAATGTGCTATATCACCTAAGGTTTAAACTTTTATTATTGATTCTGCATTTGCACCATAGATTCTTAAGAGAAAATACAAACAAATTGCTCTCATACAGGTTCTATTTATAGAATCATTCATTTTTAAAACAGAAACAATACTTCTGTAAACTACAGACATCAGATATATTGCTTTATACACTTTAAAAATAAGACATCAAAAAATTTGGTTACATATATATCTCATATCGTTCTCACTTCTCTATATTACATATATTGAATAGATCTTACCACAGGCATTGGGTCAAATAGTATTTTAGGCTCGGATTCTCCAAGTAAATGAGTTTTACGATCCCATCGTGCGCCTTCCACATATAACCCTTTCACGTACACACCTATAACCAGAACATGACAATTATGATACACAGAATAGTAAAATATTTATATCAACCAAATATTTGTTTGTTTGGTTTTATGGCGCACCAAAACAGTATAGGTCATATGGTGCTAAAACAGGAACGATGATTTTGGCTTACCTCCGGTGTTACAAACTTTAAAGCAATACCAGGGGTCAAAACCACCTCACCTATTGGAGCTAAGAGATGTACAGACATGAGTTATTTCATCTCTTACGATCACACAGGCATAAACGATAGCTGCAATTCTTATGCTTCAACTATCACCAACAACCCAACAACCATATATAAATCTTAAAAGATATTTTGATAACTTTAAACTTACTTAACATGTCATTTTATTTCTGATTTATAATAATCCTTGTTTTAACTGCATATTGCAAAAATCCCTAATCCCTCTATCCCGATAATCTTTAGTTTATAGTTTATATGAATTTATTTTAGTATGATTGAGTTGTAAGCTAGCTATAAGCTTATTGAAACATTCACAAATCCGTTCCTGGAACCAACCAGTACTGCAATGAGTGTAAAGTTTCTTGCTCAAGGAAGCAATGGCTGACCTGCGACATTATACGATCAGGTTCACAAACTCACTCATAGACGATAATGTTAGGCCAATCATATAAATATCGTATTCATAAAATTTTTACCATCATCTGGTGCAGTAGTGTAGTCTTTATCCTCCAGCACTTCGTAATCAAATGTGAGCAGATCAATCGGTATCGTGTATTTACGGGCAAAGTTCTGCTGGGCACCAGTCAAGAAGGCCTGGGTGAAGTAGAATCCAGATATCCAGAAAATGCTCGGAGCGTCGTTGTCAAACCAGTCCTGTAATGATGATAAGACAAAATATTGTATAACCCTAAGATTTAGATAGCTGAGTCTGTTTAAGAGTAAGATGGATATTTATTATATACTTTCAAAAGAAATATTAAAGAATATTGATGAAATAAAATGCATATTTTCATTTTCCATATTTTCACTTGTTACTGCAGTGAAACATATTTCCCGTTTTTCACTTGTGTCTTGCTGAGAAATGACTACTAATTTACATATAGAGAGCTGACTGGTAGATAAGAGGTATTGAGGAGTTTTCTTATTGTTTATGTATTTTATCCACCTTAATTCTTTTGCTATGACAACAATATGAAATGATTCATCTAAAAATAACATATTTAACATTTAGAAAAGCTCAAGGCTGCTTTAAAAATAGAAATAATATATACCTGCAAGAAATTCAATCTGGCCATGAAGTCATTGACGTAGGAGCCGAGGGGTTTCAATGATGGGTACGATCTCTTCATCCACATGCCTGGGATTTTACCCTTCAATATACTCAAGGTCACTTCCTCAAGGTCAGCTGACATGACTACCAGACCCTGTAATGTGAAGTTATGACAATATCTGTTATCTGTTTCTAGTCAATAACCCGTTGCAAGAATTAAGGAATGTTCATTCTTAGATGTACCAAATCAAAGTAAGGCCTCAGTTATTTGAGTCAAAGTATTAACTTCAGTCAAAGTAAGGTCTGACAAAGTATTAGGCCTCAGTAATTGAGTCAAAGGAAGGTCAGACAAAGTAAGGACAGTCAAAGTAAGGTCAGACAAAGTATTAGGCCTCAGTAATTGAGTCAAAGGAAGGTCAGACAAAGTAAGGTCAGTCAAAGGAAGGTCAGACAAAGTAAGGTCAGTCAAAGTAAGGTCAGACAAAGTATTAGGCCTCAGTAATTGAGTCAAAGGAAGGTCAGACAAAGTAAGGTCAGTCAAAGGAAGGTCAGACAAAGTAAGGTCAGCCAAAGTAAGGTCAGACAAAGTATTAGGCCTCAGTATTTGAGTCAAAGGAAGGTCAGACAATGAAAGGTCAATCAAAAGAAGCATGGTATGGTTAACCATTAATGCTATCTATAAACCACAAGAGGTAGCACAAATCTGTCACCAAAAAAAAATCTAACCTTGATAGCTTTCCTTATGTTTGCTAAACTGCTACGGATAACAGACAGTAGTCGGTTAAATCGGACCATTTCCTGCACCAGCACGGTGTTCATACTCTGCGAGTAGGATGTTGGGAATTTACGGAGTGCTGCATCGGTGTCATAATTTGGTGGTAATTTAGACAAGATGTCTGCGGCTACTTCATCTACGATGTCATCAGTGGAGCGACCACCTCCTGATGAAGCTCTTGCCTGCAGAAAACATTACATTCAATCAATTAAAATATGCACTTATTTTTTTTCAACTCTAAAATGAAGAATTTGAATGAGAGCGACAAAAAAGCAACAAAGCAATTAAAATGCCAAAATGTATTCTTTAAGTGCCATAATACACTAAAATTACCATAATCTGTAAATTAAAGGTATATTGAAGATTAAAATCTGAAAATGAGGTTAAACTTGAATTTATTGAGAAGTTCTTAAAATTATTGTGAAGTAAGAGGTTTTAATTCATCACTGGCAATGTAATACTTTAAAATAATGAGAAACTCAACTACAGAATGTTAAATCTTCAATTTCAAGCATTTAAATTAAAACTAAATCAAATTCAGTTGCTGGAAATATCATCAATGTAAGAGATTAAAAGAGATAAAATAAAATATTCAGTTAAATTACAATAAAAAGGGAAGTTGAAAAAATTGCAATTTATTTGAATATCATAAAAAAATGTCTATTCTACTTAAAGACAGGTTTTCTACTTATAAAACTTTATCTAACTAAATGATATACAAGGGAAAGAAGCCAAGGATATATCAGTATTATAATCTAAACTAGCATAACAAGTGTTTTCATTTAATGATTTTTATCTTGTACAAGGTAAAATGGCTTTAGTTTACAAATTAACCCAACGAAGGGGAAATAACATTAAAATCTGATAAATATGGCTTTAGTTTACAAATTAACCCAACGAGGGGAAAATAACATTAAAATCAGATGAATATGGCTTTAGTTTACAAATTAACCCAACAAAGGTAAAATAACATTAAAATCTGATGAACATGGCTTTAGTTTACACAGTCATTAACCCAACAAAGGTAAAAATAACATTAAAATCTGATGAATATGGCTTTAGTTTACAAATTAACCCAACAAAGGTAAAATAACATTAAAATCTGATGAATATGGCTTTAGTTTACAATTAACCCACGAAGGGGAAATAACATTAAAATCTGATGAATATGGCATTAGTTTACAAATTAACCCAACAAAGGTAAAATAACATTAAAATCTGATGAATATGGCTTTAGTTTACAAATTAACCCAACGATGGTAAGATAACAGTTAATTCTGTGTTTACAAAGTAACCTAATGGGGGATAATAATGGAAAAGTCTTTTTTTTAAAAATTAACCCAACTGAGTGACAACAACAGTAAATTATTCAGCGTATTATAAAGGGTTCAGTGAAGAAGCCGGGTAGAACAAAGAAACGGCACAAATGTGCGACACTGATAAATGCAGATGCCAACACCAACACCTAGGTGAGTGATACGGGTCTTCCTATAGTATAACATTTATATATTGTATGTGATACATGGGGATATATATAATATATTTATATATTGTCTAGGTAAAAAATTCATTTGTACAACATTATGGATCGGAATCCAATACCATTTGAGCCATTTGAAACTCTAAGCTCTAACAAAAGAAAGAAGTACGGTATATAAAAGATAATAAACTCTCTATCTGACTATGATGAAAACATATTGGTTAGGTTTTCCCTATTATGTTTCAATACAATTAACGCAAAACATGTTATACCACAGTTTTAACAGATTTCTGAAGCATTATTATTGCTATACAGAACAGAAAATAAACATCATACTGTTATTTTTTATTTTTTTGACCAAGTTTTTCAAACAGTCTAATGGTTTCCAGCTTTACTGGTGGAGAAAGACTTCAGGTGCCACACCATGCAGTATTTCAAGTAAGAACCACACCCGAGTAGAACCACAAACCTTCCGTAGGCTATGTGGATAGCTTCCTCACATGAACAATCCAATGTTCCCAGTGAGATTTAGAAAACTCAACCAAACAAACAAAATAACCAAACCCCAACATGTTTAAAGGCCCATTTTGCACCAGAAATGTTTTTATTTCATTCCTCAAAAGCTTTTTATGTTTGGTGTACTTTTAGATTTCAAAAAGTTATTCATTTTCAAAAAACTTTAACAATCTTTTTCTTCTGTTGCTATTTTGGCAATGAGTGTAGTTTATTGTCTTAGTATTTTGTATGGAAGTCAAAATACTACTTTGTTAACATTTTGCTACTTCTATAACAAAATAATATTTGCACATTTAGCACTACTCCCTTTAGGTAACAAGCATCTAACATTCCTCTAAAATTATCAATTAAACGCTATAAAACTAATTCTTACACATCCTAAAGAAGTAGAAAATTATTCATATCTGAGGCATTATGTGCCTTTAAGAATGTTATTTATAGATAAAAGAGTAAAATTAGATGTTCTAAATATAGATGGAATAAAAAGCTTATATTATTTGAAGTATAGCGTATCTAAGATATTAGTTGCTGAAAATGAAACAAGGAACATCGCAATGCAATGCAACCAGGTTTTCAGCAAAATATTTCACAGAAGCTTTGTCATGAAGGGGCATTTGTTTTTAATTGAACTTTTAGGAGCAATTATGGCTTTTTTAATATTCCTCAAACAAAAATGATTGAGAAATTTTATGTTGTATATTCGCCTTTTTTTCCCAAATATTTTAGAAAGGTAAACAGTACTTTATTTTTGCTTAATTTTTGCATTTTTGCGTCTCTTGTCATTTTCTTTTGTCAACAATATTGGCGTGTGGTGTTTTGTGCGATATCAAGAAAAGTATGTTCACAATTTTAAAAAAATACTTGAATGATGTCTTGGAAGAAACATGGGAATTTAGTGAGCGCCAGGGCACTTGATGACAAAACTTCTGTGAAAGTTTGGTCAAAATCCATTGAGAAATGTAGGAGGAGTTGCGCACTGTAGAAATTGTTCTCTATATATTCTGTATAAGGAAAAAATATACAAAAGGCCATAATTCGGTCAAATATTATCCAATCACAAAACCCCGACAATATGTGCCAGGCACTTGATAACAAAGCTTCTAAGAAAGTTTTGTCAAAATCCGTTGAGAAATGTAGGAGGAGTTGCGCACAGAAGAAATTGTTCACTATATATTCTATATAAGGAAAAAAAACAAAGGGCCATAATTAGGTCAAATATATACCAATTGCAAAACCCTGGCAATATGTGACAGGGCACTTGATGACAAAGCTTCTGAGAAAGTTTGGTCAAAATCCGTTGAGAAATGTAGGAGGAGTTGCGCACAGAAGAAATTGTTCACTATATATTTTATATAAGGAAAAAAAACAAAGGGCCATAATTAGGTCAAATATTATCTAATCGCAAAACCCCAACAATATGCGCCAGGGCACTTGATGACAAAGCTTCTGTGTAAGTTTGGTCAAAATCCGTTGAGAAATGTAGGAGGAGTTGCGCACAGAAGAAATTGTTTACGCCCGCCCGCCCGTCCGCCGACATACCTCAATCTGATAACCAGTTTTTTCCTTCGGAAAACCTGGTTAAAAAACAGAAATCTAAAAGAAGAGAAATCTTAAGATTTTATACATTACGGATATTGAATGAGTGTAGATTTAATACTAAATTTATTGAACTTGTTGAATAAAACAATATTACGCCCGCCAGGTCATCACAATATATGATTTTGTATTCAACTATTCTACACATATCACATATCAAAAATAAGAAGAGTTTTCAATTAAAAAAGTCATTTTTTATTGACACGTCTATAGTGTAATGTTAACATATAGCGATTTAACACCATGTTTGCATATAACGAAAATGACATCACATCAAAGTGTTTTCACAGTAGTTTTTTTTATTAAATGGCTTTATTACACTCCTGCACCTTGGTTTATGTGATAAAAATATTTAAATCTACACAGACCTGACCATTTCAATTTTTAAAGAATTACTAGGCTTAAATGATAACAAGAGGGCCATGATGGCCCTGGATCGCTCACCTGACACAACCGCATCCAAGCAATGTCTTAAACAAGCATCATGACCAAGTTTGATGCGACTGAGTCAAACATGTGACCTCTAGTGTGTTATAAAGATTTTTCCATATTTGGGCAATGTGACCTAATTTTTGACTGGACACGACCCATATTCAAACTTGACCTAGAAATCATCAAAACAACCTTCCTGACCAATTTCCAGGAAATTTGGATCAAAACTGCAGCCACTAGAGTGTTAAAAAGATTTTTCTATGTTTAGCTCCTGTGACCTAGTTTTTGACCAGACATGACCAATCTTAGCACTTGACCCAGAAAACATCAAAACAACATTCTTGACAAATTTCCTGAATATTTGAATAAAAACTGCAGCCACTAGAGTGTAAACAAGCTTTTTCTATTTTTAACTCCTGTGACCTAGTTTTTGACCTGAGATGGCCCATCTTCGAACTTGACCTAGAAATCATCAAAACAACCTTCCTGACAAATTTCCAGAATATTTGAATCAATACTGCAGCCACTAGAGTGTTAACAAGCTTTTTCTATGTTTAGCTCCTGTGACCTAGTTTTTGACCGGAGATAACCCATCTTCGAACTTGACCTAGACATCATCAAAACAACCTTCCTGACAAATTTCAAGAATATTTGGATGAAAACTGCAGCCCCTAATGTGTTAACAAGCTTTTCTATTTTTAGCTCCTGTGACCTAGTTTTTGACCGGTGATGACCCATCTTCGAACTTGACTTAGATATCATCAAAACAACCTTCTTGACAAATTTCCAGAACATTTAGATGAAAACTGCAGCCATTAGAGTGTTAACAAGCTTTTTCTATTTTTAGCTCCTGTGACCTAGTTTTTGACCTGAGATGACCCATCTTCGAACTTGACCTAGAAATCATCAAAACAACCTTTCTGACATATTTCCAGAATGTTTGGATGAAAACTGCAACCATTAGAGTGTTAACAAGCTTTTTCTTTTTTTGGCTCCTGTGACCTAGTTTTTGACCAGACATGACCCATCTTCGAACTTGACCTAGAAATCATTAAAACAACCTTCCCGACAAATTTCAAGAATATTTTAATCAAAACTGCAGCCACTAGAGTGTTAACAAGCTTTTTCTATTTTTAGCTCCTGTCACCTAGTTTTTGACTGGTGATAACCCATCTTCGAACTTGACCTGAAAATCATCAAAACAACCTTCCTGACAAATTTCCAAATATTTGGATGAAAACTGCAGCCACTAGAGTGTTAACAAGCTTTTTCTATTTTTAGCACCTGTGACCTAGTTTTTGACCGGACATGACCCATCTTCCAACTTGACCTAGATATCATCAAAACAACCTTCCTGACAAATTTCCAGAATATTTGGATGAGAACTGCAGCCACTAGAGTGTTAACAAGCTTTTTCTATTTTTAGCTCCTGTGACCTAGTTTTTGACCGGACATTACCCATCTTCCAACTTGACCTAGATATCATCAAAACAACCTTCCTGACAAATTTCCAGAATATTTGGATGAAAACTGCAGCCACTAGAGTGTTAACAAACTTTTTCTATTTTTAGCTCCTGTGACCTAGTTTTTGACCGGAGATGATCCATCTTCGAACTTGACCTAGATATTATCTAAGCAACCTTCCTGACAAATTTCCAGAATATTTGGATGAAAACTGCAGCCACTAGAGTGTTAACAAGCTTTTTCTATTTTTAGCTCCTGTGACCTAGTTTTTGACCAGACATGATCCATCTTTAAACTTGACCTAGATATCATCTAAACAACCTTCCTGACAAATTTCCAGAATATTTGGATGAAAACTGGCAGCCTATAGAGTGTTAACAAGCTTTTTCTACTTTTAGCTCCTGTGACCTAGTTTTTGACCAGACATGACCCATCTTCGAACTTGACCTAGATAAAATCAAAACAACCTTCCTGACAAATTTCCAAAATACTTGGATGAAAATTGCAGCCACTAGAGTGTTAACAAGCTTTTTCTATTTTTAGCTCCTGTGACCTAGTTTTTGACCAACATGATCCATCTTCAAACTTGACCTAGATATCATCTAAACAACCTTCCTGACAAATTTCCAGAATATTTGGATGAAAAACTGCAGCCTATAGAGTGTTAACAAGCTTTTTCTATTTTTAGCTCCTGTGACCTAGTTTTTGACCGGAGATGACCCATCTTTGAACTTGACCTAGAAACCATCAAAACAACTTTCCTGACAAATTTCCAGAATATTTGGATGAAAACTGCGGCCACTAGAGTGTTAACAAGCTTTTTCTATTTTTAGCACCTGTGACCTAGTTTTTGACCGGACATGACCCATCTTCCAACTTGACCTAGATATCATCAAAACAACCTTCCTGACAAATTTCCAGAATATTTGGATGAGAACTGCAGCCACTAGAGTGTTAACAAGCTTTTTCTATTTTTAGCTCCTGTGACCTAGTTTTTGACCGGAGATGACCCATCTTCGAACTTGACCTAGATATCATTAAAACAACCTTCCTGACAAATTTTCCAGAATATTTGTATGAAAACTGCAGCCTCTAGAGTGTTAACAAGCTTTTTTCTATTTTTAGCTCCTGTGACCTAGTTTTTGACCCGAGATAACCCATCTTCGAACTCGATCTGTATTTCATTGAGACAAACATTCTGACAAAGTTTGATGATGATCCAATCAAAACTGTGACTGCTAGACTGTTAACAACCCAATTATTAGAGTGTTAACAAGCTTTTTCTATTTTTAGCTTGTGACCTAGTTTTTGACCAGAGATGACCCATCTTCGAACTTGACCTAGATATCATCAAAACAACCTTCCTGACAAATTTCCAGAATATTTGTATGTAAACTGCAGCCTCTAGAGTGTTAACAAGCTTTTTTCTATTTTTAGCTCCTGTGACCTAGTTTTTGACCCGAGATAACCCATCTTCAAACTCGATCTGTATTTCATTGAGACAAACATTCTGACAAAGTTTGATGATGATCCAATCAAAACTGTGACTGCTAGACTGTTAACAACCCAATTATTAGAGTGTTAACAAGCTTTTTCTATTTTTAGCTTGTGACCTAGTTTTTGACCAGAGATGACCCATCTTCGAACTTGACCTAGATATCATCAAAACAACCTTCCTGACAAATTTCCAGAATATTTGGATGAAAACTGCAGCCTCTAGAGTGTTAACAAGCTTTTTCTATTTTTAGCTCCTGTGACCTAGTTTTTGACCCGAGATAACCCATCTTCGAACTCGATCTGTATTTCATTGAGACAAACATTCTGACAAAGTTTGATGATGATCCAATCAAAAACTGTGACTGCTAGACTGTTAACAACCCAATTTTAGAGTGTTAACAAGCTTTTTTCTATTTTTAGCTCGTGACCTAGTTTTTGACCAGAGATGACCCATCTTCGAACTTGACCTAGATATCATCAAAACAACCTTCCTGACAAATTTCCAGAATATTTGTATGAAAACTGCAGCCTCTAGAGTGTTAACAAGCTTTTTCTATTTTTAGCTCCTGTGACCTAGTTTTTGACCCGAGATAACCCATCTTCGAACTCGATCTGTATTTCATTGAGACAAACATTCTGACAAAGTTTGATGATGATCCAATCAAAACTGTGACTGCTAGACTGTTAACAACCCAATTGTTGACGACGCACGACGCACGACGCACGACGACGGACGCCGGACATAGCCCCATCACTATACCTCACCTTGACCACTTCGTGGTCAGGTGAGCTAAAAATTGAACATGAAATAAAATTTAATGTAACACTGGATATCAAAACTTGAAGTACGATTCATTATTTTGTACAGTATCTTACTTTAATCTTCTGTACAGTGAACATCATACTTATTAGTTTTCTTTACTGAAATAATTTGATTGTAGCTTTAAGGTATGGTATTTTAAACAAAATCAAGAAATTATTGAATTATTTTAATTATTATTTTTTTACTTTATTTTTAAAATAGTACATTTGTACACTTCAGGGAATGCATGTGAATTCTTATTTTCAATTAAAATAGAGAATAAAGCTGAAAAGCAGAATTCTTAGAAGTAGTAGCAAGTATTTTCTAAGTAATAACTTACTGACTAAAATCTTGGTAGTTTTTTGAATAGTGAACATAAATTGTAATGATATCATTCAATTTCATTGAATATAAATGTAATGTATGAAAATAAATGAAATTTATTTAAAAATATTGATGAAAATTCTTACTTTGAATCTACAAATAATTTACATCAGGTAAATAAATATCCAATAGAATGATAATTACCCTATACAAAATTACTTGTACAGTGAAACCTTTACAGAGCAACCACCCCTGTAGAGCAATTACCTCTTAACAAACAAAAATTCTTTCGTGTTTTTTTCGAAATAAAATACTTCAAATCAAATTTTGCATCTCTATAGCAAAACCATCTCAACAACAACCAAACTCATTGTTTCTACCACATAGGGATTTGCTTTATTAAACTTGAAATTGCTACTTTAAAAACTACCAAGATTTCTAAAGTATATGTATATATATTAGGTTATATAGGAGGTAAAAAAAGCTCCCAAAACCATGCATGTATATATTTGATAGAATGTAAATCTAGAAGTGGTTTTGAAGACTACAAAGTTCTAGTCTTGAATACAACATTACATGCTGCTAAACTCCGCCTCGTTCGAGAACGGAGGGCTTACCCGTTTCTGTGAGGCCGATGAATGCCAGCAATGGTTTTTACGTGCATTTTTTTCATGGCCGGGTAGAGTAATGTGTACATACCACCAGGACACGTAAACCAAACAATTAAAATGAAAAAAGAAAGGCAAAAACAATGCATTAGCATAAACAGATGAAAAGAATAAACTTAAAGAAAAAAACAGAAAACTTAAGCCCATGAAAATTAATATAACAAATGAATATGCATGTACATATGTATAATATTGGTGTCATTCTTATCAACACAATATTTCATGCAATTACAGCATTCCTGATTATTTAAACTTATTCCATATGTGTTCACAAACCAAAGATGAAAAATAAGGCCAAATGAGCAAATTATTTCCAAACTATTCTAAAATCCATTCTTAGCCATGCAATTTTTTTGGTATAAAAAAATTTGTGTGCATTTTCATGAAGAGTGGTATAGTATATTAAACATCTATATTCATTTTTTACTACCTGGACATGAAAACTTAAGACAAGGCGAGTGATGTCACGAATAATTAAGTAGCTACGAATCACAAGTCAACATAACATTTGAAGTGAATAAATTCAGTTATTTTATCACATAAAGAAAAGATATCAATTATATTTTACAAACTTTAAAATGTACCTATCTACTGACAAAAGCATGATTTTAAAGAATTTTTACAGAGTTGAAGAGGCCTTAAAAGGGCCCCTGTTACAGAAGGGAAAAAAACCCTCCAAAGTAAATTTAACAAAACCTCATGTTTGATTTTTGATATTTAACTTTCTTTTTGCTATAATCTAGGGTGCTGATCAACATTCAAACAAATTAACATCAAACTTTGGTTTAAAATCTGTTCCGAACATTTTCATTAACAACAACAGAAACAACAGAGTTTCCACTAACCTGGCCCTGCGACTAATCAACGCAATAAAGACAGAAAAGAGATGATTTCATGAAAAAAAGCATCGCAAAAGCAAAAGTTCTATATCTTTAAAACCTTCTGTGAAATAAATTTTCAAATGTGAAAAGCTCAAAACTGTGAACATATATACTGAATGCGTGTAATTTTTTTATAATTGCCAAACACACGAGGCATATATGTATTAAAGTTTCAGACCAGCTTGTCTATCTATGAGAGCTTTTTCTTTACATTTTATTTTTTGTACTTTAGACTCAAGTATTCTAACATTTTTGCTGAACTAATTCTTAATTAAATGAGTCCAATACTGTTAAATTCGTAAGTTTGTAAAATAATTACAAATAATAAGAATATATTTATTTATGCATGTTATTTCTATATGTATAAAAGCATTTTTACATTAAATAACTCAGATATATACATATAAAATATGTGATTATATATATTGTTTAAGTTTCAACTCATTTACATGTATACAAAAGCAAATAAATTCAAACAAGAAGGAAAATTAAAATACAATACAGAATATCACCAAGGTTAACTGTACATAACCAAGACTTTTTTTTCACAAAATATGTTCATAAATCAAAAATGTCCCTGTTCCATATCTGTTAATAAGGTTAAGTTCAGATTTTGAAATTTTCACCTTGACTTTACTGTCAAGGTCATTCAGGGGTCAACGCCAAATTCAATATGTATATAAAGTTTTTGCCCCTCAAATGTATTTGTGCTCAACTATAAGGGGTCTAGCTTGTTAAATGAAAATATTGTGATCACGGTCAAAGTGGTCAGTAAGACGGACTGGCCATTCATGACCAAAAATATACCCAATGATATCAATCTGGGTGTCTTAAAAAAGTTAAAATCAAAAAGAAATTATCACACATGTTAACAAAGATGATCCGCTTTTTTCTAAAATTGTCTCCCTTACCTGAGTCAAGAGAATGTTCTCAAAGAGGGTTCTGGTCTCCTTCTGGTCCTTGGTGATGTCAGCGTTGTCGTGCATGCCAAAGATTCCAGGTTTAGCATTGTGTGGCAAATTATTGATGTATTCAATGTAGGAATCATACTGCAGAACAAAAAATAAAGTCACATGTCATATAGATCTATAGAATATAGATGTAAGTAATAAATTGTATTTTATTTAGGTTTTACATAGCACCAGTGCTGCCAAAGTCATATAAGAATTCTTTTCCACAAGCAAAGCCCCTGATGCCATTTCGTTTATTATTTCAAACATTTGCAGCATGGCACTGTAGAGTCATTTTGTTTATCATCTTTAACAATTCAAACCTCCATCTGATATTATATGTGACAATATTTCAGATATATAACATAGTGTCAAGCATATATGCTGAAAAATCAAAGAAAGGTTGAATGTAACAAAGTGACAGATGTCACAACTTCTTGATATATTTTACATAATATTTGTGGAAGAAACAAACAGTCGAACAACTTTCTGTTATATTTTACAAAATTGAACAAACAAAACTGTCAAGGACAAGAAAGAAACTGTTAAACCAAAAGGTCAAGGTCAAGAAAAAAACTGTGAAACCAAAAGGTCAAGGTCAGGAAACAAACTGTGAAACCAAATGGTCAAGGTCAAGAAACAAACTGTCAAAATTTACCTCCCCATCTGGAGGTGCCTTGTAAAATTTTGAAGAATCAAAGTAGTAGTTATCATCCTTGATGATCTCGGGACAGTAGAATTTGTTCATGATGCTGTGTAGCGTACGACGATCACGATCGTCAGTCACACGACCTCCGTAGTTACATTCTCCCGTCAGGTACCTAATAGCATCGTACTGTACATCCTGGTCACGAGAAAAAAAAAACAAGTTCAGTTTAATCGAAATTATTAAAGTGATAATATAAAACAAGTTCTTGCATTTTACATGTATCACTTTCGAGTCAGGTTCCTGGAACTAACCAGTTACTGATGTCACACTAGGAAACATGGTCGTGACCAGAGTATGGCATAAATCCATGATTCCTTGTTTGAGAGGCAGGCACCTTAACCACGTAGCAAACCTGCTCCTACTTAGCTTTTACTAAGAAAAACAAAATAAACAAGCAAATAAGTTAACTAATATCCCCCAATGAATTAAATACTACGCACACTAAGATAAAAAAAGTCCCCATATTTCACTGCAATATCTCAGTCAACAGATCTAAATACTTAATTTAATCTTTATTAAAATCTGTACCCTTTTTTTAAATTTTTTTTTATATTAACGAATATTTTCTTGCAGCTCAAGGGCAATAACTCTTCAGCATTCATTAATCAAACTGCTTTCATATCTTTTTTCTTTTGACTGGTGGGGAAGGGTGAGACTGGTAAGTAGCCCAGTCTACCTGTAAACAAATTGTACATACAGAAAATGAATGTTTTTTTTTCTCTACTTGTTAAATTAAGGGAAAAAGAAAAGATGAGAAATTTGTTTTAACTTACATCATAATCATTGAGGAACATGTTTAACTGTCGTACACTGATACGTAAATCTGTCTCGTTAAACTCGTAGGGAATGTTCCAACCGAGAGGTCCGAACTTTCTACGCTCCTGTATAATACCATGGAAGAAACACAGTCCGAACAACAGCTTCTTCCATGCATGCTGAAAGATATTCATACACATATAATACAAAATTAGTACTTTATTAAATCATTTGGATTCACATATCATTACCTTTGTGCAGTAATGTGTTAACTCCTTTTAAATTTTATTAGGAGTTAACCTATTACTGCACTAAGGTGACAATATATTATTTAATATTTATTACAAATGAACATCTTAGTGTAAATGTTAAATTTTATGACATAAACAATTTAATTTTTAGTAATGTTGCAAAGCTATGAACATATATGTTATTATACAATCATTAATTATATCATTAAAATGAGTTTTAATGTATTATCTTTACTCCTCAAAATATTGACTATTGTTAGAATATTACAATTATGGAAAGAAGAAATTAATGACATGTCTTCCCCTTAGTGCAATAACAGTCCTTCTAAATTTAATGGCAGTTAATCAATTATTGCACTAAGGTGACGATGTGTGAGTTGGGATTTGTTTACCCTCGCCAATGGAAAAATTACCATATGTGCGAGCATTTTTCTAAATCAAATTATCCTTAAATGACTTTAAAACACAAGTGCTAAAAGACGTGACAGTTTTTCAGTGAAACAAACAAACAAACATGAACACTTCACATAATTAAATTCTGAGGAACACATGCACATTTTAGAACACAATATTACCCAAATCAGGTAAAAATACCCAAATCAGGTAAAACAGTCATTCAAAGGGAGATAATTTGTGTAAAATCTTCAAACAATATAGTAAACAGTGAAATTCGATCAAATTTAAATTATTCATACAACTCCGTCTTACCTTTTGCTACATAAGATATATAATAGTTTTAATTAAAAACTTGAAGAACAAAACTACTACTGTACTTCACAAATGTTTCAATAATTTTACTATTAAAAATTCTGAATATATTTTAACAGTTCCCTGAAATTTTTTATTGCAAGGCTGAAAATAAGGTATTCATTATAAACCATTAACTACTCAAATTTAAATTATTTAACAAGAAATGTAAACATTTTGATAAAAAAAATGTTATGCCCAAATGTTAATACAGACTGGAAAGGTTTCTTACCAAGTGAATTTTTTCAAATTATTTTACATATTTGTCTTTAAGATTTGTTATCTCCTTAATTTACAACTTACAACGTTTTTTCGTTAAAGAATTTTCTTCTTAAAAAAGCATGCATTTCATTTCAACATACATATGTTTTGACTTGACAAAATTGTGACCACGAACATTACAATACTGAAAATACCGTTTGTATGATACGAATGTCAAGATGCTTCTTCTGAAACAAGATTATTTTTCAAAAATAACACTTTTCTTCTAGGATTCTTTTTCACATATAATATCCTCTTCTAGATTAACATACATGTGAACTTTTTTGATGATCAAGTGGGTGATTTTTCTTCAAAAAGAGGGAGATTTTAGAATTTGCAATAAACAAAGAAGGAAGTTCTGACATCAAAAAGAGGGAGATTTCTTTAATTTGTGAAAATACCCCTTATTTTAAGAAAAATCTTTGAAAGTATGGCTGCAGAAAGTGGGAGGCTCCCGCTTAAAGTGGGAGAGTTCACATGTATGGATTAATTTTTTCCAACATAACGTTCTCTTCTAGATTCGTAAAACAAGAGCTGTCCCTAAGACAGTGTGCTCGACTATTCTCAGTGCTTGATAGTAAAACGAGAGCCTGGATAATGTAAAAACCTGGATAATGTAGAATTTTTTAAGTTTGAAAATGGGCCATAATTCTGTCAAAATCTGTGTAAGAGTTGTGACTTGTAAAGTAAACCCCTATTACGCTCATATTTAAGTCTGCGATATTTCAATCCATTACCTTCAGTAATTTTGGAGAGACCAAATTGCATGAAAAAACTTAAACAAAGTGTGACGCCAACGCCTAGAAGGCTTCAATAGCTCTCCCTATTTTTTTAATAGTCAAGCTAAAAATGTTATCTAAAGCAATAATGAAAAGATCATAACCGTGAAGAAAATTTCAACTGCAAAAACTCTTCATCAATTCTAAAAATATTTGATAAGATGTTTTGTTGTCATAAACTATTCAATAAATTTTAAACTTTTATGACATTACAATGATGCTGTTCAAATTGTGTACAACCTGTACCAATTTAATTAGGATGGTAGCATGATAAGTGAAAGTATAAAGTAAAGGCACTACTCTGTAATTTTATCTGTATTTAATATCTAAAAATCTTAAAGTATTATATAAATATAGATAAAAAGGCATTGGTACTCAATACTAAAATTCAAATAACTGGTTATCCAACTCACTGTTCAACTTACCAATATGGCACTGAAATTTGGGGATATTAAAATGGCAACATTAAGTTGACCAGCCAAAAGTTTAGAGATCCCATGTAGGTCAAACTAGGCAAAAAACTGAATAATTACTGTGCTTATTTTACGTAAAACAAGACAATTTTATAATTTATATATCAAAACCTTCACATGCCTGAAATATCTTAAAAAGGTCATTTTTAATATACAGAATAAGGAAATGACAAAAGGAAAAAAAATTGTCTGTCAGGTTGGTCTAAAAACCTTACTTCTCAAAGTTTATACATTCCTTCAATATACAAAAGGCTCTACATTTAATTTACAATGAAAAATGCTACATGACTGTGAGATTGTGAAAAGTACCAATGCCTTTTTTCATTCTCTATACTATAATAAAAATCTGTTTATAATTTCTTGTACTAGATACTTTGTCTAGCTAACTAGTATACAAAAATTTAAGAAGAAAAGAAATATCTAGAAGTCTATTTATCTTTTGTGTTTAATATATAGGACACTTTTTAACATGGATGTTTTAAGCAGTTAAAATGGCACAGAATAAAACTTCTCAATGCTTTTCATAAACTTGGGTAAAGATAACCAATTTGGGTCTCACTGTTTTTTTTTTACCTAAACTGTCCTCTATATGTATCAGGAAACTCTTGATAAACACACACACAAATGCCAGAGAAGGAATGACCATAGACAGTGTCTTCAGAAACAAGAATTCTGAATGGAAGTGGTTAGATCAAGTACAAGTGTCCTACAACACCCAAGGTCCATTGACCTTACAACTCCTAAGTTTAACATGGAGATGCCAAATTAACACTGTCATCTCTATTATAAGATATTTCCACAATATGGCCGACTTTATTCAATCACCTACTATAGTGCTAATAGAATTTAAGGATGATTTCACAGTATCATTGGCTTTATTCAAAACAGAGCCATTAAATTTGCCAGATCAGAACAGACAGTATGCATGAACATATGGCTTCCTATTTAATCATTCTGTAAGACAGTCATTTTACTTTGGTACAATGGGGAAACATGCCATTCAAGAAGTGAATTTACTAAAACATGCTAAATGACCTATAGTAAGTCACGTTTCACCATGCTATGTGTGCATATTTGAAACACCATTCTCCAAAAGTTCTAAACTAGTTTAAAAGTATAGTGTATATAAAAATGTGCTACTTCTTTAAGTAAAGATAGCATTATATATTTGCTACTTTATTTTGTACAGTACTTACTAAATTTGTCGGCTATTCAAATCAAAACAATGCAAAATAATAATATATTTTAATCAATCTTATTTCAAAATCCTATCAGAGTAAGAAAAAATTCCCTTGATCCTATGCATTGAATATTAAAGGAATATAAAATAAAATCCTTATTTACCATATTAACTCATTTACAAGACATTTTTAACCCTTTTACTTAGATGGTTACAATATACATGCCCGACTTATAGGCAGATCACAAAAGTACTAAGATAACTATATGATTCAAAACACTATTGACTTTAGTATAAAATAAAAACCCTTTATGCTTAATACAGAACCAGCATAAAATAAAGAGCCTTTGTATGCTATAAAGGCCATGGAAAATATAGAACATCTACAAAATACACCATTACACTCATGTTAAATATAGATTCTATATAAAATATAAACCCTGACTTATCAGCCTTACGTCTTATATAAGTAAGTAAAAAAGGAATGTTCTGTAAAGATGCCGAAATACTAGTAGCTTCATAAAATATCATAACTTTACCAATTCTTAGTAAAAACAGAAATCAAAATTAGTAGAGAAATAATCAACAATATTTAATCCATGCAAAAACTTCTAAATGTTGTTTTCATTTTTCAACAGATGAAACAAAATTGACAAGCTATTAGACGATTTGTAACTTATACTTATGCAAATAAATGACAAAAAGGGAATGGTATGACATTAAAAAAAAAATAAAAAAATAAAGAAAGAAAAATGAACGGTCCTTAAAATCACATGAAAACTTTTACAAATCAATGTACATATATATTAGGGATACCATACCTTGTTTTTCTCTACAGAGTTGAAGAATTCTGTATCAGAAATTGGGTCAGAAAGGTACGATCTCATAATGTTGAAACGTAGACCTTTTGGCGGCTCATTGGTCATTTTAACACCGTTTTGTAAGATGGAGACAGGGAAAGTGTTTGATGGGTAACTTGTTAACCACAGTCGGAAATCAGGATGCACCGTTTCTGGATTCAATTCCTAAAATAACAAAATTTTAATATTACCAAAATATCTGTTTTGTTTGAAACTATTCATACAAAAACTTTACAAAACTATTTTGTTTGAAACTATTCATACTTTTTCTTGGGGAAAAGAGCTTGAAGTTAATATTGAATCTTTATAGATTCAATATGATGAAGATTCTTACCTCACAGATTTTTTCAAGTGTTGTCATCCAGGAAGTAGCTAAATGACAGTTCTGTAACATAACCCAAGTTCCTTCCTTTGTTCCTTTGTCTATCATTCTGAGGGCAATAGGTCCTTGACCTTGACCTAATGATAGGGAGTCAAACTTGGCACCTCCGAAACCCTGAAATTAGAACAGTTTATAGTAATATCACCTTTGCTAGTGTTATGTACTTGATAGAAATCATGTTTTACTTGGATATGCTATGTGATGTGACAACTTTAAATCTTTTTTAAAGTCTTTATGTACACCAATTTCAATATACATCTTTTTATTGAATTCTCTTTATTACATTCTAAATTAGAACGAAACAATAAACTTTTTCTTTTTGGATTTACGAAACTATCTGTTTTGTTTGGAACTATTCATACAAACAAAGAAAAGTCAAAACTATCTATTTTGTTTGGAACCATTCATACAAACAAAGAAAAGTCTAAACTTTACGAAACAATCTGTTTTGATTAAAGCTATTCATACAAAAACTTTAAGAAACTATCTTATTTGTTTGAAACTGTTAATACTTTTTCTTAGGGAAAAGAGCTTGAAGTTAATATTATACTTTTATTTTTTCAATATGATGAAGATTCTTACCTCACAAATTTTTTCAAGTGTTGTCATCCAGGAAGTAGCTAAATGACAATTCTGTAACATAACCCAGGTTCCTTCCTTTGTTCCTTTGTCTATCATTCTGAGAGCAATAGGTCCTTGACCTTGACCTAATGACAGGGAGTCAAACTTGGCACCTCCGAAACCCTGAAATTAGAATGGTTTACAGTAAAAATACGAGTCATATGCTTGGAAGAGATAATGTTTTACTTCCATATGCTATGTGATGTGACAACTTTAAATCTTTTTTTTTTAGTCTTTATGTACACCAGTATTAATATACATCTTTTTATTGTATTGTCTTCATTACATGCTAAATTAGAACGACAAGATTTTTTTCTTTTTCATTCAGATTTTAAGTTTCATATAACATGAAGACTATTTTCTGTCTGAATCATTTGTTTAAAATCTTCACAATAACAACACAATAGTCACACAAAAACCAACCTACCTGATCTTCTGCAAACTTGAGAAGAGCCGACATAGGATCACCACCAGGGGAGAGAACAAACAGAAGTGGAGCACAACTATTACTGTCACCAAAAGCCTTTGGTAGATCAAACGGAGGCGGCTCAATGTACTTCTTGCCAATTTTCTCCGTCACAAAGTCTTGTATAGCTGGGACAACCTATAATAGAAGAATATAACTGAATTTCTCCTCACTTCGTAACTGTGTAAAATATCTTGAACATCATGAACATTTTCATGGACTTCAAGTGTAGTGTGGTGGCAGTGAAAAGTTACCCTGCACTCATTTTCATCCATAAGCTGGTTTGATATAAATCAATTATCACAAACCCGTGCCGATTTTGCGACTCCGTAAATATGATATTGCACAGCTGTGCATATATTTTGATGCGACGTCATTTACGTTATATAAACATAGCATTAAAGCTCATAAAGGATATACCATTATCGAACATTTTAAAATGAGAATCATATAGAGAAATATCTGGCACTGTTTAATTTTCGTAATTTTATAAAACATTTATTCATCAAATACCTAAATACAAGTTTTGAATTTAGATTTTTTTTTCTTCACATTACTTACCTTGTCAGGTCTCAGACATCTAAGTACCAGCATTTTCTGGAAACTTCCCAGTCTATCTGCCCATTCTCCTGTTATTTTAAACTGTTGTGGCTCCTAAAATATTTAAAATTATGTCTTTAAAAGCACCCAACAAAGTTCAAGTCTAATCTGACACAGTACATTATATAAAACAAAGTCTAAATTAATTTGTTTAAATGCATCAAGTAGCAGCAAAAATCTGTTAATGTTATATGGCAAAATTCCTTTTCTGTTTCTTAATGAAGGAAAGATAAACCAATATTTCTGTGTACGTTATTTCATTTTTTACTATGGTAAAACCCTCAATTGTCATTTTGCTTTCATAAAATAAATATATGTTAAACAAAATGTGCCAAACTTCACGAAACTATACTGAGGACAATTTTCCCTAAACTTCAATACTGCTGCATGTTTAAAACTTAAAGAATGCCTGAAATAGCAGATCAATGTGACCATAGTTTAAACATACCACACTGTCGTAAAGCTCTTTCCACATATCTTTGTTAGCAGCAAATTTTGTTCTCATGTTTTTGAACGCGGGTAACTCATCCAGCCTACAAATCTCGTCCCAGGATTGCTGTGGTAACCATGTGGTGGGGTTAGCATGAGGGTTGTCCAGACCAATACCTCCTGTTAACAGGAAACGCCACTCTTCCTCGTTCACCTCTTTGTTGTGTTTTAGAATGTTCACACATAGCAGGAATGAGAACAGCAACTGCAAACAAAAACAAAAGTCATCATTTCAATAATATCCATTATATTTTTTTCATTAGTTTTCTTTTCATTTTAAAACTTCGTCACATTTTAAAATGGATTTTTTTGATACATAATTCATAAGGTAATGTGTCTAGAAATAACAGATATATACATGTAATTCATTTCTTAAAAATATACAAAATGCTTTGGTAAACAACTATAAAATGAGGATATCATTTTTTTAAACAATAACAAAATAGGAAAGCACTATCAGTCTTATATTGTCTTGTTACCATTATCAATATTTCAGCAGACGTACCTTATCTTTCTCAAACAGGGATCTACAGATGTTACAGTAGAGAGAATATGTGAAATGATGGTACAAGTTGTCCAGACGTTTCTTCAGGTCCTCAGACTTCTCGGCATTCTCGATGGAGAGACAGAAGAGGTTAATAAACCACATGAGCGAGTACTGGTACATAGGTTCAATATTGGCCAGGTCGGCAATAGAGAAGAACAAGATCGTGGAGTGGATAGCGATAGGTTTGTAACCAAGACGAGCAGTGTCAATCTTCTTCTCGGTCTCCTCAGCAATGGCCTGTAATATAGTAAATAATTTCCACGTCTTATATCTTTAAGTCCCTTACATTTTTTGGACTCACACTTTTCAATGAAATACTTAATATATTATAGATATTAGTGATATATACAGTCAAACTTGTGGTAAAAACAACCTCTGAATAAAGATAACCCTGCAAATAATGGGATAACCCTTTATTGATAAAATACATGTAGTTTAAAGTAACCTCCAAAAAAAGAAGGCATGTCTAAAAAAAACAAACTTATTTGTCTCTCCTTTGGCCTTTGTTCTTTGTTCAAAGCGTCATAACACACTTTTCTTAACTAAGAAATTTGGTTTCTATGCATTTCTATGTTGACATATAATACGTGTTTTTGAAAACTTTTGAAAATTCAAGATAAAGAATCTTGAATCCATGACCTTAACTGAGCTTCACAGACTTGCAAAGTTTTGTAATTAACAGAAAATTAAAGGAAAAATAGAAGAAAAAAAATCTTGAGAATTTTTGCACAAAAATTTCTTTAGTATCTATTATAGAAATATACGTACCTGTTTCTCTGAGATTTCATTAGCCAGTACTTTAGAAGATGAGAGTACTTTGATGGCTGTTTCATCTTCTAGAATGTTACCCTCGGATGTTGACAACACCTCCAGAATCTTATCTTCAATCTCCTTCAATTGTCTAAAACACAAAAATTATTACATAAATTGCTAACTATTCTATAAATCATTAAATTTTCAATAAATTAATCTGTGAATATTATTACAGGCATGAAAAGGCACATAAGAAGAACCACCGATGTTCTGTAAGTAAGCGTGTTAGATTCCTCTGATGGAAGAATACAAAGTCCCTAATGGGATTCAAACCCACAGCATATGAGGGACCAGAGACCTTTACCACTCTGCCATGGCCACTCCTTTATTTAACATTCATACTAAGAGATCAATAAAGCCATATCATGAATTCATAATGTCAAATTTTGACACTTTTTATGTCTATGGGTTTTTTATAAATACATGACAACTTTTGACACTTTTTATGTATATGTATTTTTATAAATTCATGATCACAACTTTTGACACTTTATGTGTATATATGTAAAAATGACAACTTACTTCTTGTTTTCAGCACTCTGTAAGATAAGGGCATTCTTCTCCTCCTCCAGTTCAGGTCGTTCCCTAGCAACTACAATACCTAGTAACTGATCCTCTAGACCTTCTGGTGTGATCATAAAGTTCAACAATGTGACCTATATCAAAGACAAAAGATGTTGTTTTTTCTTATAAAAAAATTCAAAGTCTAAATGTTTCCGATACATCATCCAATTAGCAAAACTCATTACTTTAGTGCAGTCACAGGTTAAGTCCTTCTAAATTTAATAGGAGTTAACCAGTTATTGAACTAAGGTGATGACATTTCAAACTTATAATTATTGTTATTCATTCAGAGAAATTGAGTCATTTACTTTATCAGAATTCTATGAACCTAAAATGTTAACCATCGTAACCGGGTCAAGACAGTTTTAGCTTCATAAATGTTTTTCATTTATATACTTTTTTTCCACATTCTTCTTGTAGATTTAAAGATTCAAAATATTTTATTCAAAAGCACTATCACAATTCCGGGATAGTTCTTTATCTCACCTTGACAGAAGTTTCCGGCAGGTAATGAGGGTTCCTTAATTTTGTTGTAATGTAAAACTTGAAGTCTTGTGAGTATTCAATGGTGCTGTCACCAAGACGAATACAGAGGGAGCCACCTTGCTTGAATGTCTGCTTCAATAACAGAGGCTCCAACATCGGGTCCAACTCTTCTTGAACGTTCTCTAGCAAAACCTGAAGTAGTTTTAATATGATAATAAGACATAATTGTGCACACCTGAAGCAGTTTTTACATGATTATAATAAGTTTTTGTACACACCTGTGGAAGTTTTTAGATAATTATGAGCTTTTGTACACAGCTGAAGCAGTTTTTATGTTATTACATGCATGTATAATAATCTACTCTATAGCAGGAGTAATTTTTTTCTTTATTTTTCTAAAAGTTTATTTACTTCACATTTCAAGTTGCCTATAAAATTTATTTTTCAGAGAGAGCCCATGAATACAGAACCTGCCCTGTTAGAAAGGCTACCATGTTTCTTTCACTTGCATGGTGAAGAGCATTAAATTATTACAAAGAAAACCCCACTTAAAAGGAAATGATCAATTTACAAAGTTCATATGAAACAATGAAGAGAAAAAAACCCAACGAAACTTACGGGTGTACCAAACTGTATGCAGTTTTCCAGTGTCCTCACAAAGTCTGGGTTGGTAAGTTTAATCACATGTAGATTATTAGCTTTCTCCATGTTCTTCACCCATTTGTTGGCCTGACCCTGGGGATCAATCATTAACGGCCATCGTCGAGAATTACTGTAAATATCGAAGAAATAAAACGTCTTGACAATATGACAACAAAACCAATAGCATTTAGAAAATATAGCTTAAACAGGAAGCGGATGATCCACAGACCAGAAATTAAATCCCACCGTACGGGACCACATGTTAATGCTGTATACCAAGCAGTTGCTGAGTAAACTGTTACGAAAATTTTTCCCTGCCCACCAGCTGCACCAAAAATCTACATGAATATATAACTTACGACAACATGATTCCGTTGTCCACGGAGAACTGATCTGTTGGTAGACCAGCAATATTCCATGCTCGTATTTTAACGGGTTCACCGAGGGTCGCAATAAGGGAGAAATCATCGGAACAGGGTATACCCTTGTCTTTCACAGACTTAATCCATGCTTCTATCTGGTCCTGAAATATTTAAAATAACAATGACAATCATTCACAACCTCTTCTTAAACCCTAATAATCTAAATATATCTCTGAAAATCTAAATATATCTATGAAATTCTAAATATATCTGAAATTCTAAATATATCTCTGAAAATCAACATTATCAATAACACTGATAGAGATAGGGAACTTGGTTTTACACTTCATGGCTATCTCTGTTGTTTCAACCTACGCTTATACCGTAACAAAATCAACAATTTAAGTGTTTTTATAAACCCTTACATGCTAAATGAAGTGTACATCTGGACAAAAATATTTATCAATTTTGGGAAAATTTCAAAATAAATACTGATTGAAAAGCAAGACGAGCTGGACATCGCAGTGGTTAAGGTTGTTGACTGCAAACCACTTGCCTAAAACCATTGCAGGTTCAAATCCTGTGAGGCACTTTGGATTCTTTCATGTGGGGAAGCTATCCAGCTAGTTTATTGAAAGTTGGTGGTTCTACTTGGATGCCCTTTCGTGCATGAAATAATGCACAAATGGGCTCATGAGGTCTTCCTCCACCAGTAAAGCTGGAACATTGTCGTTTGACATATACTCTGTCAGCGTGATGTAAAACTCAATCAAACAAACAAAAAGTTAACAGTGCAGCCCATTAACAGACAGCGCATACCTGTACGTTTAAGGGTATAAAAGTAGTCAATATAACTTACTGTTCTGAATGCAGAGGTGAATGATCCCAGGTAAGCTACAATACCAGATGACACCAGGACATCACCGGTACAGTTAGTATACTTCACTTTAAGATCCTTTGCAGCTTGTCCCCATCTAAAATATAATATAAAAGCATTTTAAAAGTTTGTTCCCATCTAAAAATATCACACAAAATATTTGCATGCTAGAGGCATATCACCATCTCAAATATCATATAATATCATTACATTTTAAAAGCTTATTGTCTCCAAACCTACAAACCTGTTTGTTTTTTTGTTTGATATTAGCACTGATTTTAATACGCATTTGGTCCACCTTATCGGTTTTCTCAAATAGCTATCAGTAATTACCAATCTTGCCACAACTGACCAAATACTTATACCACATGATTTCAGAATCTGTTTGGTAAAAGACAAATGAACCATTAAAAATCAATGTCACCAAAAATTAATTTTGGTTTTCACAATGAGAATTTCCAGCCAGGGCCCCGGTCACAAATTCAATGCTCCTCCCTTAATTTTTTTCTGCTAAACCAAGCTGGCCCATTTGCAAAACCAGGTTAAAAGCCCCGTAAAAGTTTCCCCTTTCAAATGACCTTTGACAGTGTTACTGTGACTTATAAACCAACTAACTCACGGAACATTTACCTGTCTTTCTCGCCACCTAGACCACCAATCAGCTGTTCTGCTCTCGCCAATTTCTTTGTACACATGTCCACCTGATTCTCCAGGTCTACTTTCTTCTTCTTGTTGAATTCCAGTTTCTCTGTCAATTTATTCAACTTGTCCTGCACTTCCTTCAATGATGCACGTTTCTTCTCGAGGGCAGCCATGGCTGTAGCCAGCTCAGAGTTGGCCTTCTTCAAGGCCTCCTTCTTTGGAGCAACTACTTTTGCTACTCTGTAAACAACAAACACAATTATATTCAGAAATTTGAGAAATTCATGATGTTTTAGAGTTCATGTAAAGAAAAAATTAAAGACTGACATAAGTCCAAGAGGTTTAATACTTTCACATATGTACACACAATAATTAATTTCTGTGGATAGAAAAAGACCTAAGGCTATGTTAAAACATATTATTAGTACACTTGACATAAGTTTTATGTAACTGGAACAATTTTCAAAAAATCTGTGGACAAAAGCAAGTACCTTGGGGATATGCACCTCCAAACTTATTCTTAAATTTATGATTTATGCAATAAGAAAAATTATTTTAAATAAGAGAACTGTTTTTTACCTGTCGTACACATCCATGGCACGAACCCACTTACACAGACCCTCACAAGCTGTGGAAGCCACTCTTACTTTGTCTGGTTCAAAATCAGGATTTGTCATAAATTTGGAGCGGATCTGTTTCATGTACGCTGGCGATATATTATCCTGAAATTTTTTAGAGAAAGACATCTATTAGTTTACATTTTGATACAATTTTCAAGATAATGAATATTTGTTTTGAATAAGAAACTGCAATGGTGCAGTATTATAATGTAAATTAGTTCAAACATATTTACTTATTTAAGCTCAATTGTCAAACAAGTTCTTGCAACTTATATTCATCACTTTTGAGTCAGCTTCCTGGAACCGCAACCAGTACTGGTGTCATATGAAGAAGCATGGCCGTGACCCTATTAGGGCTCGTACCCAAGATCCCTGGATTCAGAGGCAGACACCTTAACCATAAGGCCACGGTACCCCTTACTTAATTGTAAATTTTTTTCCCAACATGCAAATGTGATAAAATTGCAACTCTCTGAAGAGCGACCTTTTGTATAGCAATCATCTCTTTACTTCAACAGTATCAATTCTTGCTATAGTAAAAATTTACAATAAATTAACCTCTGTAGAGCCGCACCTCTCTATAACAACCAAACTTTTTGTCTCCTTAAGGGTGCTGCTATAAACAGGTTGTACTGTATTTCATGAAAAAGTAAAGAAGTATAACAGCTTTATTTTACGAGGCTTCATGTAAAGACTCAATCAAACTGAGTCTGCAATTTTCATGTAATTTTGTTGTGATTAATGCTTCCGAGGGATCACAGTTTTTCCACATTTTAACACATTTGCCGATTTGCATGTGGGCTTTAAAATATACATTACCTTATCAAAATTGATCAGTCCTTCTAAGAATTTCATATCTCCCAACATTTTCTTGGATGGTCCCCAGTAGTCTTCAATCTTCTTACCACTACCACTAGGATCTGGTACACGGTCCGGTTTGATACCTACAATGCAGAAAAATATAACTTTCATACATGTACAACGTATTTACCATTTTCTTCATTGAATATTTTGACTGCACTATCCAATTTCCCATCACATTTGGCTCATTTTATAGCTGGGACATATTCCCATTCCCAATGTAAATTGTATTTTTTATTTTAACAAAAAAAAATAGTAACTGAAAAACAGATATATGCCTAAGGTGGTTCTTGTAATAAATGTAAATTTGAGCTGTTTCCATCTACAGACAGAGACAAAGTTTCAATAATTGGAACTAATCTGCTAGACAACTCTATATTATATGTAAACCTTGATTTTGAGCAAAACACTACTTAAATGGAAATGACAATGTTTCAAAAAAATTATTTTGGGACAAGAAACAACAAGAGTTTTCAAGTTATGCTCCAGACAAACCAGATGAACAGAAAGACAAGGTGGCATATGCTCTCCCTTTAGGGAACATAAAAAACCCAGGATAAACTACCTTTGATGACGCATACAGCCTCAAGTACAAGACGGATGATTGAGGGTGGTTTCTGCATACTCTTAACGATGGTAATATCTTGTGTGGTCAGTGTGTTCAAAGCCTCAATGGCAGCATTGAGTGCGGGAATAGCCTCAGCCAACTCGGCGTCGCACTCGTCTTTGATGGCCTTAGCAGCTTTAGCTTGTTCGTTGGCAACTGCCTCGTCTGCTTTTACGACCTACAGTATAATTACGATGTAAGTATCACAGTTACAATGAAGCTAACTGTAAGTTAGATATTCAGTTACTTTTATAATTAATCGTAACTTTTTTTTTCTCAAATTTCTTTCCAGGTTTAATGCATTAATTCATCATCCATCCCATTTAACTATTTAATAAAATAAAATGTTTTTAAAGACCGGCAACTTTATTTTTACAGAACCATTTAACAGCAAAATTCTACTTTTTTACATCTAGAAGTATAAAATCATTTTTGAGCTTAGAATAGAATTATTTTCTGCTTTTTTTTTTTATAGACAAGTTACATTATTTATAAAGAATCAACTTATATAATAGAACTAGAAATGTGTCCATAGGACATGGACACCCCTACATTCCACTGTTTTGTGTCAGTTTACAAACAAACAGTATGACAGCGAGAAGGACAACAAAGCAAATCTTTCTGCGCCCCATCATCGCACATCACCACTAAGAATAGCAACGTACCTTCTCTACTTTAGCAACTTCAATAGAATCTCGTTCAATGATAACCATAATCTCGTCTACATCTTTACTTGCGGTGATCAGCTGGGGTTGTAGATCTATCAGCTCTTTCTGCATGTCCGATACCTGGGAACCAGCTGATGCTAGCTTTTCTAAACCGATCTCGTATCTCTTTTTCTGCTTCATTACATCACTAGAGAAAAAAACGTAGAATATGAACAATGAAAAAAGATTCTGGGAAAGACAGAGCAGTCGAAAGCAATAGAAACAGGAAATTTATTTAAGTTCGATTGCGAAACAAGTTCTTGCAACTTATATCAATCACTTTTGAGTCCTCTTTCTGGAACCAACCAGTACTGGTGTCACACGAAGAAACATGATTGTGGCCCAATTAGGACTCGAACCCATGATTCCTGGGTTGAGAGGCAGACACCTTAACTACTAGGCCAATTCTTAGATTACAAATCTTAATTCTCTACAGTAATAAAAAACCCCCCCAAGAAATGTCATATTCTTTCGACTTACCCTCGTTTAACATCCAGCAAAGATTTAAAGGTGTTAATCAACTCAAGATAGGACGTGGGTGTCACATAATTATGTCTCTCCAGTTCGAGGAAGAATCTTTCTGAAAGTTCACGTGTAGATGTATGGAAGGATTTACACATGTCAATACATCCTTGTCTCTCGTCCTCGTCCATCTCGACCTCCTCGAGGAAACGTGACGCCACAGCTTGTAAAGCATCTTCTGGCCATGACTGCAAGGAAACTTGTGTCATTTACACTTGATCAAGTCATTCACCTTTATTATAGCATAATCTTTACTGTGCTTAAATTCTATAATTAACAAGTCCAGGCCTCGAGGTCAAGCTCAAACTCAGATCTCAGGTATTTGATTGGTCAGAAACTGTATCAGAATGTACACTAACCAATGAAAATCCTGAGATTTGAGATGGAACTCAGAAAGAAGTTTTATAATCATGAGGCTTGCTTTGAATTTGGAATAGTCTATTAACTGGTAGTTTAAGGGATTTCAATATCAAAATATGTATTACAGCAAACATTGCAAGAGTCAGGTATGATTGCATCAACTTGCAGCTCGACCTGCCCTAACCTTATACTAATGGCACAGGTCTTGTTTTATTGCCTATTGTAATCAAATTATACAGGAACTTTTGATTTTTTTTGACAGTATTCTTAATTCGTCTTTTTAAATTCATCTTTTTAATTGAAAACAACAAACACACAACAACACAAAAGAAATCATACACAAATATCTTTGTGTCTTATGAAAAAGATGCTCAACTTGTAATCAGTATATTGTTACCTTAGTGGCTTAACTCCTTTTAATTTTAATGGGAGTTAACCCATTACTGTACTAAGTTGATGATATGAACTTATTTATTGACAACATCACATATTACATTCACAAACTGTCACTCATAAAGAAATAACCAACAGTTTATATAACCATTTCTTCTAATAAATTGTATTCTAAATTGGAAAATATTTTTGTAGTTCCAATCTACTTGTCTATAAGACTTATCACTCATAAGACTAAATCACGTCGGGGGGTCAAAATTTTACACTCTACTAGTAAAATATGTAATCTAAAATTTACCTGGAACCAATCAATTGTACAACAGTTAACAAGTGAGGGGAACTTCCTTAGTCTGTTACGGAAAGCCTCTCCAATAGGACTCATAGCGAGACAAATATGTAACTGATCTCTGACACGCTGTACAAACATGTTAAACAATGCGATCGGCGATCCATCGGTCTGTTTTGATTTTTCACGTTGTCTGAAATATTCAGAAAAATATCCGTAAAATTTAATCCAAACACCAAACACAAGACTTCCATGCTCTTATATATGGAAAGATTATAGCGAGGATAACTTTCGGTGAGCAAAATCAATGAAATCCCCGACACTATCTAATCTTGGAGACTTATACAAAAGTCCTGAATCTGGCACTGCAAAACAGATAAGCATTGTAAATTGTATGTATTCATAACAGAGTTCAAATTTACATATTGTATAACTTATATAAACACAGACAAATCAATCAGAATCGGATAATTCAAATTTAAATTTCGGTCTCCTGAGACTCAGACTTTATTGTATTTTATTTATCCCTGCCTCTTTATTCTCTTCATATTTTTATAATTCAATTAATTTTCTGCTGTCTCAAAAATGGTTTTTAAGTCATATATATATATAAAATTGTCAAATTTTGAAAATGATTACAACCAACTTAAAGTATGCAAAATATGACCTCTGTCTCGACATGCATATTAATATAATTTAATATCAGTCCTAAAAATATGACCTAAATTAATGAAACTATATGAAGAGCAATGCAAAAATCTTAGAATGATAATAATAATATCTGCATGAAATGAATACTATAACAAGAGGGCCATGATGGCCCTAGATCGCTCACCTGAATTATCAAACTCATCTAAACAATTACCTAGACAAGCATTCTGACCAAGTCTCATGACAGGTGAGTCAAAAATGTGACCACTACAGTGTTAACAAGGATTATCCATATTTGAGCAGTGCGACCTAGTTTTTTACCCAGGTGACACATATTCAAACTTGACCTAGAAATCATCAAAACAAACTTTCAGACCAATTTCCAGGATACTTGGATCAAAACAGTAGCAACTAGAGTGTTAACAAGATTTTTCTATTTTTAGCTCCGGTGACCTAGTTTCACATGCGATTTCGAACTCATCCAAGCAATTACCTAGACAAACATCCTGACCAAGTTTGATGATAATTGAGTCGAAAATGTGACCACTAGAATGTTAACAAGGTTTTTTCCATATTTGGGGCGGTGTGACCTAGTTTTTTCATCCAAGATGACCCATGTTAGAACTTGACTTAGAAATCATCAAAACAAACTTTCAGACCAATTAACAGAATATTTGGATCACAACAGTAGCCACTAGAGTGTTAACAAGATTTTTTCTATTTTTAGCTCCTGTGACCTAGTTTTCATCCGAAATGTCCCATGTTCGATTTATTCCCAGCAATGACCTAGACAAGTTTCCTGACCAAGTTTGATGACAATTGAGTCAAAATTGTGACCACTAGAGTGTTAACAAGGTTTTTCTATTTTTAGCTCCTGTGACCTAGTTTTTCATCCGAGATGACCCATGTTCGAACTCATCCGAGCTATCACCTAGACAAGCATCTTGATCAAGTTTGATGATGATTGATGCAAAAATGTGACCGCTAAAGTGTTAACAAGGTTTTTCTATTTTTAGCTCTGGTGACCTACTTTTTCATCCGAGATGACCCATGTTCGAACTCATCCAAGCTATCAACTAGATAAGCATCCTGACCAAGTTTGATGATGATTGATGCAAAAATGTGACCACTAGAGTGTTCACAAGGTTTTTCTATTTATAGCTCCGGTGACCTAGTTTTTCATCCGAGATGACCCATATTCGAACTCATCCGAGCTATTATCTAAACAAGCATCCTGACAAAGTTTGATGATGATTGGGTCAAAAATGTGACCACTAGAGTGTTCACAAGGTTTTTCTATTTTTAGCTCCTGTGACCTAGTTTTTTCATCAGAGATGACCCATGTTCGAACTCATCCAAGCAATTGACTAGACAAGCATTCTGACCAAGTTTGATGATGATTGGTTCAAAAATGTGACCACTAGAGTGTTCACAAGGTTTTTCTATTTATAGCTCCTGTGACCTACTTTTTCATCCGAGATGACCCATGTTCGAACTCATCCAAGCTATCACCTAGACAAACATCCTGACCAAGTTTGATGATGATTGGGTCAAAAATGTGACCTCTAGAGTGTTCACAAGGTTTTTCTATTTTTAGCTCTTGTGACCTAGTTTTTCATCCGAGATGACCCATGTTCGAACTCATCCGAGCTTTCAACTAGATAAGCATCCTGACCAAGTTTGATGATGATTGAGGCAAAACTGCGACCGCTAGAGTGTTCACAAGTAATTGTGGACGGCCGGACGGACGACGGACGACGGACGACGGACATTCACCGATCCTAAAAGCTCACTGAGCAAGCTCAGGTGAGCTAAAAATTGTTTTTTTAAAAATCAATAACAATTTCTGACAGTATGTCAAAATTTAATAACATTTCACTGTCACTTGTTTTATTTATCATTTTACAGTGAACAAGTTGAAAAAATAAATGTGCTGGGGCTGAGCATGCTGTCTTGGTGAACATGACATCATAATTGTGACACAATCTATTATCACTGAACAAAATGTCATAATGTGTGACATAATTACAAAATAACATTTTCATAATTTGTGACAGGATCACTGAACAATAACACAATCATCAATAGGAATAGCTGTGGCACGATCACTGAAAAAGATGTCATATAATAATTTGTGACACGATCACTGGACAAAATTTCATAATTTGTGACACAATCATTGAAAAAAATGTCATAATGTGTGACACAATCACTGAACAAAGTTTTCATAATGAGTGACACAATCACTGAACAAAATTTCATAATGTGTGACACGATGGTGCAGTTCACTGTAATACTGACATAACTTCACTACAACATACACAATTTCACTTAAAAGTCTGTCACACAAATCTCTCAGTAGGGTTGTCATGCTAGGACTTTTTGGCAAACAAATTCTCTTCATGCATTAAGGTGATGTAAAATTTTCAATGTTTAATACAAACATGCATTCATAACTTGCAAAAAATTGTTTCAGAAATGAGCATTCAGCCCTATATTCCACTATTTTGAAGTCTACAGACTTTGTTATGGATGAACAGAAATCAGCAAATTTATATACCCCTAGATATAAATGGGGGGCATCAAAAATGATTCATACCTCTTCATACACTATCTTAAACACATTGTACATCTTCAAAACTATTTTAGACATTGATTTGCTATGAGACTGGTCCATTTTTTTGGGTATCTTTAGATAAAGGTCAAATTTCTGGGGTAACATAACAACATGGAGTGCTCATAAATACAGTAATGTAGTGTAACATGCCAGTCAAAACCTTGCACATACAACACTATCCAAATCAACAATCACTTACTCTAACATTAACAACTCTGTCTGGTGACGCACTGACCTAATAGTGGAGATTTTGTTGTTGTTGTTGTTGTTGTCATTTTATTATAATTTATTTTATTTTCAATATATGCCATACAATAAAAAATCTTATTTTTTTAAGAAGATTCATTTTTTAACAATAAATATTGTTTACGAAAAATATGTCCAACAGCCAATATTGTTATGAAGATTGTTTAAGTTTACTTAGTTTTTGATCACTTATCATTTGATTATAAAATTCCAATTTTCAAATAATTTTTTTTTACATTTTTTCTGTGATCTAAAATACTGAAATAAACATTTTCAAATTTCTGATATATAAATATTATTTATATTTTAGATGACAACAATCTCTGTACTTACTCCTCTTTTGCTCGTTTTTTGGCCAACCTATATTATATAATCATAAAGTTATTAGTTTTTGGAACAAATTACCTCCCTTTATTATTTCTGTATAAATCAGTATTCTCTTTATTTTTACAAGTTACTTCCCTTTACTTCCATGTGGTATACATAATACAGTGTTATAATTTCTAACAAATTACCTCCCCATATTATCATACATTCGGATCATTACTTACAAATTGCCTCCCTGTATTATTTTAAAGTTATATCATTACATACAAATTACCTCCCTTGTTTATATTTCATACAAGAATTTGTAACAGAGTTACCAACGTCCCCCGCCCCGGGAGTTTTATATGAAGCATAAAATTGTGCTATTTCAAAAGATTGAGGTATGGATCTCAGGACATTCAGTCCAAAATTATGATCAATGCTGGATCTGCAAATGTAACAATAAATTTGTTAAAAAAATAAAATGAAACACGGAATTTAAAAATCTATCATGTTAAGCTTTGACCTCTAAGTGTGAACTTGACCTTGGAGGTAGGGGAGCAGGTGTTGTGCATGACATAACATCTTATTATTGTGACTATTTGTGCCAAGTTATTTCAATATCCCTTGAACTATGAAGAAGTTCTAGATTCAACACAAAATATACCCTATAACAGACTATGTTAATTTTTGACCTCTAAGTGTGACCTTGACCTTGGAGGTAGGGATGCAGGTGTTGCGCATGACACATCCTCTTATTATAGTGACTATTTGTGCGAAGTATTTTCACAATCCTTTGATCTATGAAAAAATTATAGACCTGACACAAAATATACCCTGTAACAGACTATGTAAGTATTTGACCTCCAAGTGTGACCTTGACCTAGGAGGTAGGTGACCGGTTTTTGCGCATGACACATCATCTGATTATTGTTAACAATTATGGCAAGTATTTACAAAAGTCCTTCATAGATAAGAAAGTTATGGACTGGACACGACATAAACCCTCAAATAGACAATGTTGACCTTGAATGAACAAGTACGACCTTGACCCTGAAGGTACGGGTCTGGTTGTTGCGCATGACACATCGTCTTATTATAACAAACATTTGTGCCAAGTTATCTCAAATTCCTTTGATAAATGACAAAGTTATGGACCGGACACGAAATATACCCTGTAACAGACTATGTTAATATTTGACCTCCAAGTATGACCTTGACGTTGAAGGTAGGCAACTGGTTTTTGCGCATGACACATCGTCTGATTATTATGAACAACTATGGCAAGTATTTACAATAACCCTTCATAGATAAGAAAGTTATGGACCGGACATGAAATATACCCTGTAACAGACTATGTTAATATTTGACCTCCAAGTGTTGAACTTGACCTGAAGGTAGGTGACTGCTTTTTTCCGCATGACACATCGTCTGATAATTGTGAACAATTATGGCAAGTATTTTACAAAATCCCTTCATAGATAAGAAAGTTATGGACCGGACACGAAATATACCCTGTAACAGACTATGTTAATATTTGACCTCCAAGTGTGACCTTGACCTTGAAGGTAGGTGACTGGTTTTTGCGCATGACACATCGTCTGATTATTGTGAACAATTATGGCAAGTATTTACAAAATCCCTTCATAGATAAGAAAGTTATGGACCGGACACGACATATACCCTCAAATAGGCAATTTTGACATTGAATGAGCAAGTGTGACCTTGACCCTGGAGGTAGGGGTCTGGTTGTTGCGCATGACACATCGTCTTATTATAATAAACATTTGTGCCAAGTTATTTCAAATTCCTTTCATAAATGACAATGTTATGGACCGGACATGAAAGTGTGACAGACGGACAGACGGACGGACAGACAGACGGACGGAGCCTATTTCTATATCCCCCATTTTTCTTCGAAAAGGCGGGGGACAATAATAAATGTTTAGATAGCCATCTTCAGTAGAATAATTAAAATATGTTATGTATGTTTTGTTTTTTCCTTATTTTTCTTCACCAATCTATACAACAGATCATCTTCAAAACATGTATAATAATAAGTTCTTATATGACAAACTTACACAAATGATTGCCTGAATAATATACCTGCTGTATCTTACCAAAATTTATCCAAATTTTCAGTAAAGCTATGTTTATCAATTTCATAACGACTGTCTAATATACATAACATCATATCATTAAAATGAACTGTAATTCAAAAAGCTCAATTTTACATGATCAACAATTTGATAAGCTAAGAAAAATGCATGTTTTTCACAAGACATCAAAAATAGGAAACATCATTGATTCTAAAGCTTTGTACAGCTTTTTTAACACAAAAAAAAATACCACTTTACGTCAACGATGAAATGAAAAACGTTCACATTCACGATAAAAATAATTCACCATCGTACAATAAACTTTGACCACTAAAAGACAATTTTCACCTGTTTTGAAAAGAAAAATGACATTATCATGCATTGAAAAAAATAACAATAAAGACATCTGAAATTGAATGTACAAATTGATTCACTCCGAGTCACAATTGACAGAATAACGAGTGTACGTTATCACAGATTTACGATAAATGTGCCAATAGTTACTTACTCGTTCGCCTTCTGTCGTGCTATTCTATTATTTCAGCAAAAATTATATAAATAACCTTAAAAATATATGTAGCTGATACAAGTATCACTAAAGACAGAGTTAAACTATTCCAATATCTCCTCCAATAAACATATTTATCTTGACATTCATAAAACAGTTATTGCTCTATCAGATTAAAACTACCAACTACAAAGTTTTAGAAGATGCATTAGAATTTATTGTATGAATATTTTTATGATTTCTACCTTGTCCGTCAAGTAAGGGTAATGCAATTTTATTAAGCTTTGAAAGCAAATTGTGTTAATATACAGTACTGGACACGCGAAACCCGCACAATTCGCGTATTCGCGGCGAACTGTCATGCTTTAAAACGCGAGTGAATTCGCGGCAACTTGAGACAATTGCCGCGAATTCAACTCGCGGCGATTTTGCCGTGAACATTTGCCGTGATTCGCGGGGAATAATACATGTTCATTTGTATAATAAATGTAGATCTATTTATAATTGTACTCTGTGAACTTGAAACCAGATATACATGTACAAGTACGAAAATTAATTAGAAGATCTACATGAAGTTGTATCAAGAAAATCTTGTAATGCTAAAATGCCCTTTCTCTATTTATCTTTGATGCCAACAGCAAATATAAATAACCACGGCGAAATCAAATAACACCGTTAAAACTTTCCATGAATGGCGGAATCATGACCTCAAATTCAATGTATAAATGCGACGCCGTACAAGTATGCGGCTCCATCGGCAGGTAAATAGTGTACATGTACACGTGTAAAAATATTTTTTAGGGGGGATACATATTGAGTTTAAAGTAGAGATATAAATATAATATATGTGTAAAAAGATATTTAGTTACATAAAAAGATACATAATTGATACGACATTAACTTGTTCATTTCTAAATGTATCCCCATATTGAAAACGTTACATAAGACATAAATTCAAGCATGGTCAAATTACACGTCTGTAAAAAATAACACACGCAAGATTTGTCTCCTATAATTTCTGAATGGCGGATATTTGCACCCCTGTTTTAAAAATGTTAAAATATTTAATTGTTAGTTACCGAAAATTATCGCCGATTGTTGAAATTCCATAGCGCTAAAAGACACAAAAACACTCGCGCAAAAAGAAGCATCCATAAATAAAAGTTATATAATGTTTCCATTGTTAAAAAATAAATACAAAATTTACACACGAAATGACCTCTGACAAATGACTGGTCGGCTCTTCTGAAGAATCTGTGAATCTTTGATGTTTACACACCTGTAGTTGTTGCCGAATCATCAAAGAAATGCCGACACTCGATTGACTTCCACCTCTTTTTTATATATCAGAAAAAAACTGTCATATTTCTTTTTGTCAAGGAATGATTACACATGTTTAATTATTGCTCAAGTAAAAAAAAATGTTGGATATTGATTGTGTCAATTATTGACATATTATTAATCGTAAGTGCATTTTGATTGTGATATTTTATTTACATTTTTATGATCTTGAAGATATTGTGCAATACTTGTGTCTGCTATCAAAACAATAATGCATATGAAAGGACCACAGCTTCCAAAAAATTATTTTTTCGGTCAATTTTATGACAGAATCCCCGCTGCTACAATTTACAATTTTCAACAATCATAATTAGCGTATAAGACGTAATAATTAGTTACACCTGTGAATCGGTGCTAAATGTCGCTTTGCATTGTTCTAAAAATAGAATATGTGCGAAAGTAAACAATGGATTTTAATTACATTTGTATTATTATCAAAATAACAATTGGACAATTTGTTATCGTGCGTTCTTTGATGTAGTAAATTTTTTACCTTTTGTAATTTCAATCTCGTTTTATTGTTAATTAATTTTCACCAGCACCTGATTGCTTTGTTTTAGTATACAAAATGTATACGCTGTACATGTTCAAATGCTAAATATTTATAAATATACATGACATTTACAAGATTTTTTTAAAGTTTTAGAAATTAAAGACCACGGAAATGACCAAGTAGTACTTTCTAATACAATTATTGCTGAAGATTCGCCGTAAATTACGGCGATAAATCGCGGCGATTTTTCGTGAACCGCCGTGAAATTCGGCGAACTTGCACGCGGCGATGTTTTACCGCGAAGTGTCCCGTCGCGACATAGACTACACTCGCGGCATAACGCGACTTTTGCGGGTTTCGCGTGGCCAGTACTGTATATATATATATATGAAAGTTTGGTTCAGTTGCCTTAGTGTTGTGCAATGCTGCAAACTTTTTATGATCAAGAAGTTTTTCTGTCCAAGTTCGTAGTAAATATGAAAGACTAAAAGCTATATTGAATATTTTTGGCAAAGATCTTCATTGTAGACAAAGATCTTAAAGGAAGACAAAGAACTTAATTGCACACTAAGATCTATATTGTAGCATTGTAGACAAAGATCTATATTGAAGACAAAGATCTTAATTGAAGACAAAAATCTTAAATGTAGACAAAGATCTTAATTGAAGACAAAGATCTAAATTGAAGACAAAGATCTAAATTGAAGACAAAAATCTATATTCGAGACAAAGATCTATAATAAAGACAAAGATATTAATTGAAGACAAAGATTTATATTGTAGACAAAAATCTTAATTGTAGACAAAGATCTATATTGTAGGCAAAGATCTTAACTGAAGACAAAGATCTATAATGAAGACAAAGATGTATATAATTTACCTGTCTAGCTGTCTCATCTTCTCACAAATTTCTTGTTTCTCATCTAATGGGTACAAGTTAGGAACTTCACCAGCATTTAGTAAATTGTTTATATCTTCAAGGAATGACTCTTGTTTAATCTAAAAAAAAAAAATTAGGTACAAAAATGAATTCAAAATAAATTGCAACAACAGTAACAAAAGAGCTCATCAGTACATGTCAATAATTACAAAGAATGTTTTTTTTCCAGTTTGATTAGGAGTTCCCATATATTATAAAGTGTATATGAACAAAGAATTTAACTTGTGCAAAAAAACATTTCAACCTTTTCTTTGAAATACAACAAAAAAATAAACCCCCAATATTTATTTTCATACAAAATATAAGTTCCATTGCCATTTTTTCTAATTAATACAAATTCCTTTTAGTAAGTAATTTACTATTTTCTAAAAAAACAAACTGTTGCATTACCCACTTACCTGTGTATCGGAACACTAAATTTTAATGTCAACAATTGTCATGAAATAATAAGCAACTAACCTGTGTATCGGAGAACAAAAACACAGCATGATTATCTGTCTCTGTGGCCTTCCTTAATATCCTCTTTAAATCTTCACGCCATTCAACTGATGTGTACGATTTAGAAATCTCGACCTGCAAATATTAATCATATTATTTACAACAACGTATATCATTTCCATTTAAATTGTTCAATTTTAATGTCTGACTTATTTTACAGACTCATGCAAACTTTAATGAAAAATATACCCAGTTCTACATAACACCCATAGAAATTGTTCTCTACAAAATTTTTTGGCAGAAAGGTAATAAATGGCAGAAAAAGATTAGTTTTCTATCTACTGCAACAAGTATATTGTCCCTGTATGTACATAAAAGATTACTCGATGTACGTAATTTAAATAACTATCCTTTCATATTCATGACAAGAACTATCCTTTCTCTCAAATGAAAACATAAACTCATTGAAAACTAAACTTACAATTACAAAGAAAAAGGTAAACATACCTGGAACAGGTCATAATCTGCCATATGTGCAGCCAGTCTAGTTACTGACTGTCTGCCAGAACCTCCCACACCCACTAACAAGGCGTGGCTACGTGGCTGTTTTATAATACGGGCAATTCTTGACACATGTTCAATTGCGAACCTGAAGTAGAAAAAATTATTGTTCCCTCATATATATTATTGGCAACTTTTCTTATTGTTTTGGTAAAATGTTAGTACTATGTTTTGCCATTCATTAAGTTGCAGGCAGTTTCTTAAAGAGAGTTTCTGAATTCTGTATGTTTCTGGATTCTATAATTGGACGTAAATAAATATCAGTGTCTTTATGCTTAAGGTACATCCCTTATAATAGCCAATTCTGCAACAGTGGGTACAGTATTTTGATGGCATCAATAAAGAGATGATGAACATTGAAAGACATGTTCGGTTTCACTAGTTACTCCATCAGAAGAAAGACCAAGAACTTGAGTATTGCTATCTATAGTTTAATATAAAATAGAATACTGATAAAGTTCAGATTGAAAAAAAAAACCACAAAAAAAGCCCCACTCACCTAAAGAGTACAAGGTTCATTGGTTTCTTGCTCATGTTGTTAAACTCGTCAAGGTATCCCTCAACAACGTGACGTAATTGTTCAAGATCTCTCACTTCAACGTAATGTTTAGAGTCTGATTTAGGGTCAGCGAAATCACAATACACCAAACTACGGAGGTCGTCCTCCGTCACTTTACCATCATTGTCAAAATCCAAATGAATAAACAGCTGATCGAAATCTTCACGTAATTTCTCCTTACATGTTTCTCTAGTAAAGTTAAATAACCAGTCTCTATCCTTGTCGTCCACCAGACGGTCATAGTATACACGGAAAACCTGAATAAACACGTTAAATATATACATATATATATATATATATATATATATATATATATATATATATATATATCTCACAAAATAAACATAATGAATGATCGAAACAAATTCTTTCATAGAAACAAAATAGAATTTTTATAGGGGTGGATGCATGGAGTTGCATAGAGGGTTTTAAGTTACACCAACACTGTTTAGGTCAAATTGTCAACTTTCCAGCTGTACTGGTGGAGAAAGACTTAGAGTGCTTTTTTACGTCATGCACTATGCAGAAAAGGGTAACATATTAAATGCAAATTACATTCACATGCATGAAGAATATCAATATTATCAATTAATTATTAAATAAATTGCTTCTTTTGCAATGATTGATAAATCATATGCTAAACTGCTGGCTTAGTTAAATTCATATATATTCATCACTTATGCTCAAGCAGATCAGTGCAAACTGCTATTAAGTTATTACTGTAATTTTACAATCATAACTACTACAGCAATTTACAGACAAAACATCACTGTAGTGATTATTATATTATTATTCTGAAGGAGGGATTTGTAGAGCAAATTAAATAATTAAGCTTTTGTCATAATCATCCTTAATAAGATAGTTTTATAACAAATATGTTACCTCGTGGACCCACAGTCTCTTCATAGAAGCTGGTTCTTCCATGGTCTCCGGTGTTGAGAGTAGAACACCTTGGATAACTCTGCCGAAGTCACGTGTGTTAAACAGATAATGGGACTTGGCTGGGGTGGGCAACAGTTGGTTCATGGCCTCCTTGTACACATGCAGTGTGCCCTGTACAATCTGGTCTATACATGGTTTAAACTCATTACTGAATCCCCTGTTAGAAAAAAGATAAATGACCTCATGTAATTATGCCAATACATGTATATTACTTAACCAATCAAAGACTCATATTTCGGAATTACTTGGGTAAATTTAAGTCATACTGATAGGAACATTTTTGTGGGTTCTTAAATTCGTGGACTGTTTATTTCTTCCAAAGGTAAAATGTAAATAATGTAATGCAAAACAATCTTATAGCCGACGCAAACAAATTTTGTTAGATCTTATATTAGTGGATTGATCTATCCACGAAAATCACGAAAATTAGTTCCTCACAAAAAATAATGATTTTGCAGTATTTAGTTAAAATGTTACCTGGAGGAGATGTGCCAGTCCATGATCTTTCTGAAGATAGTATTCATAGCATCATCGTCAAACTCATTAATTGTCACCATGTTAAAATGGCGGATAAATCTTGGTGTGACAGGGTTACGACCTCCACCTGTAATATGATAATGTATGATAATTCTTGTATTGTATAAAATGATAATTCTTGTATTGTATAAAAAGGTAATCAAGTAATAAGAATGTATGAGTAGGAAAGTCTTGTATACAATATTCTACTGTAATTAGCCTAAAGCCAGGCCAGTTTGCACACATATTGCCTGGCTAACTCTAAATTTTTATCTTGATATCCCCAAAATTGATTTTGGACAGTTCCAAAAATAAAAGCTCGACAAGGCCATTTAAAAACTTGATTAAGGCAAATACTTTTGATGTAGTTTGTTTTGCGACAGTTTAAGAATTTTACCTGTAGCGTCTCAATATGAATACCCCCATCAGTCCCTATTAACCATTACCTCAAGCAGATTTATGGTTAATATATGACAAAAGTGACAAAGTTACATACCAGGTGGTCCCATGCCAGCAATAAGCTGGATGTCAATCAGTTTGAGTGGTACAACATCCTTAAGATCATACCATGTCCAGTGATCTAACCATTGACGTAATAACTCAATTGGCGGCTGGGCTCCAAACTGCTCTAGTAGTGGCATGTTCAAGTCATCAACAAACACGATCTGTATCAAATAAATGGTGAAATAAAGTTCTGTTCCTTATAGTTTATCCGTTATCACTAATGCACTGAAGTAAATTAACCCTATGGCTGTAAGTTACATGTACATTTCTGTTAATGTGTCATTCAGCTAACAATTTTGAGATTTTACTTTTTTTAGATTAAGATCATTCATTAATGGAAAGTACATCTCCACTCAATGTAATTCATCATATTCAAATCAGTTCTTTTCCTATTTTTATAGCTAAGAATGGAAACAGATATCCATTGTTCACGTATTCTAGTACAGTAATGTATAGTGCACTGTTAAAATGTTTTGTAATTCAAAATGCAGGCATAATGACCTATTTTGATTACATTACTGCACATCTGAACTCAAACCATGCATTACTCAGCATCTATGCACTCAAAATTTTTCTACAACAAAACACTCAAAATCAATATCTTTTTCAACAAACTAGCTAAATATACAGATGTTGTAAAAATAACATTATCAGATTGGTGTTGACAACAACAACAACAACAACTTACAGCTTTCTTGCCCAGTGGTGGACCATAGACACCTTTTCTCCTCTTGTCTAGCTTGGACATGATAATATTCTGTGTTTGGTTGGCACTCGTTTGAGCCGAGAAGTTGATGATGTTCGGTTTGTACATTTCCTTGTCAAGCTTGTGAAGTAAGAAATCCTAGAAAATACAAAATGTGGAACTATGTAAGGAAAGGTATAATACTGTACTATGCGCCTTTTATGAATGAATTGCATTGTAAGGATGGCGGCCGTGTGCCATATGTCCCTTTAGATTGTACAACTTGATAGTACCAAAGGAAAAAAATAGAACCATTCATTGGCAAACTGATTGATTTATAATGTATAAATTTATGTGATTTTCCAACATGCTCATGGGTACATTAGCTGAATTGCTTCCTCGTATTATAAAAATAACTATCCTTGGTGGGAATAAAACTCACAACTGATTCAAAGTTAGGAACCTCAAGCAAACAGCCACAAAGGCAACAATATATATGTTTTATACAATGGTTAATTTGTTGGAAAAATTTAAAACTTTAATGGAAAGAAAGGACTAACTCACCATAGATGACAATTGAATAACCATTTTATTGATATTCAATTTTAAACCTTTGTATTTTTTTTTTTTTTTGAGATCTTAAACCTTGGTGCAGATAAATGGATTAATCATCTTAGATTTCCACTGGATACCCATGGGATAAAAAGTTATTAAATTTTTCGCAATTTTTAAAAAAATTTCTTTTTTTTAATTTGTATAAACTTACAGTAATATAGACACTCTTTCCGGTACCAGTGGGTCCGACAAACAGGCAAGCTTTACCATGCTGTACTAGCAAGTTCATGATGTACGTGTAACGTACTGTATCCACCGTCGGCACAATGATCTCGTTAAACATGACGTCTTTCGGGATCGGTGGTGAGTCCTTTAACTCCTCGGTCCATGGTACCCATTTGCCAGCTCCCTACAAACAATCGTCATATAATAAATAACCCTTATACAGACCTACGTGCCTTATTCTAGAATAGTTTTATGTCTTTTATAAGAGATATATCTAAAACTGAACTGTCTGGCAAATTGTAAAAATTTTGTACAACACATACGGTTATCTAACAATAATCACAACAAACAAGTGATAAAATTTTGTGATTACTATAAATTTATATTTTCCTCCCGGATACTTTTAGCTTTTCTATTTTTTCTACAAAAAAGCTAAGACTTCCTAAAAGTATTAATCAATGTAAGTTACAGAATCAAAATTTAAAACACGCATTTTTTTTTATAAAATTAATACAATAAATGTTCAAGCTTTTTTCTTTTATTTTCAATCATTTCTTACTTTTTACATTAAAATATAAATAGTCAAAAACCTGAGAGAAATAAAAAATTAGTGCTAAACAAACATGTATGACATTGATATATTTATACATAGAATCTAAAAATAACAGTCTAGGATTAAAATAATTTTAAGTGAATAAAAAATTCACTTTCACTATCAAAATACATTTACGACATCAAAATGAATATGAAAATCAAATAAAATGGAGTTGCATTTATTCCCAAGCATATCAATTAGAAATATCAAAACAAATTTATAAATTTTTGATGTCTCAACAATATTCTATATGAACAAACAAATATCTTCTCAAAATATTAAGTCTATAAATTATGTACATTATGAACAAAATACATTTTCTTAAGTTTGAAGAAATGTGTATTAAAAAGTCAAAGTTGGTGTAGAAATAACAATATTCATTCAATATTTAAAATATCCATGAAAATTCGAAATGTATATTCAATATTTATTTAATAATAAAGATGTCCATGAAAATCGTTATGTATATTAAATATCTTTTTTAATATTTAAAATATCCATGAAAAATCAAAATGTATATTCAACATTTATTCAATATTTAAAACGTCCATGAAAAATCATTATGTTTATTCAATATATATTTGTTAAATAAAATGTACATGAAAAATAGAAATGTATACTCAATCTTTATTCAATATTTTAAACATCCATGAAAAATAAATATTCAATATTCATTCTATATTAAAAATGTCCATAAAAAATCAAAATGTATATTCAATATTGATTCTATATAAAATGTCCATGAAAAATTGCTATGTATACACAAGACACAATATTTAAATATATATGCCGTGTAATTGACCTACACATATGGCTAACACAAACTAATTACACCATATCATGATCAATAAATTGACATAGAGAGAGAAGAGTTCTATATACATATCACAGACATTGACTCTGACAAGTGACGGGGTTACATACACTAATAGTTCCGAAAGATCCCATTCTCGGTGCCTTGTTTTATAAATAAAGCAAAGTTTTCATATACTTTCACAACCTACATATAATTCTTACACTACAGATTCAGGCTGTTTTTTTGTTTGTTTATTTTTGTATATTTTCACATACATTTCATTTATACAGATTCAAGTTATTATTAGGATAAATTTGGGAATAAAGTTTGAATGTATTATTGTTCGATATATGTTTATTTATAAATTTATTTATGTAATTGCCGCCAAATACTTATATATTTGATTTGCTCCAACAGGTTGTAATTATACTATTGGCAGACAGTGCAACAGACAATACACCAATGTAGCAGGAACATCTGCGTCTTTAGCATGCAAAGCACCATTACACGTATCTGGTTTATTTTCGTCCGCGACATTTTGATAATTTTATGTAAAATAGAGTTGAAAAAAATGCAACCCCTGAATTTGTTATCAAATGGTGTTAACACTGGACCACTGCATCTTAACTGAGACTTAATCAATTGTGATATCTTTTAAAATATCCACATAGGAAATAAAGGATGAAAAAATCAGGCTCTATACTGTTGGCAGCTCAACTTTTGTATTTTGATATTGAAATCCCTTGAACTTTGAATGGACTGTTTCAAATTCAAAGCTGGACTGATCCATTATAGAAATATAGCAGGTTAAGGGTTAAATATTAAAACATTGGATGTTACGTTACCTCTTTGACAAATTTGTAGTCATAGATACGACCTTTAGGTGGGAATGGGTTCATGTAAGGTTTCATTGGTGGTTCCACTAGCTCTGGCAAGCTGATTTTGATCCTTGTCTCTTCTGTCATACCACCCTGTTGACAAAACAATACATATATCTTAATACATACTAACTCACAACATGCTACGGGCTTCAAATTTAAGCAAGATAAAATCACCAAATCTTTTATAAACTGGTATTTCTTTACATGATTTTATATAACAAGTTATTTATAAAAAGATATTAAGTTATTTGTAAAATTTGAAAAAAATACAAATAACGCAACTTTTTTTCTGACAAAAAAGGAAAGGTCTAAATTTACTGTTAAAATTTATCAAAAAATTAGTTCTGCTAATAAAGTAAACATATACACTTGCAAAAATCATACATTTTTTGACAAAAAAAAAACAAACAAAACAAAACCATTTTCAAGAATTTCATGGCATTCTTTAATTTGAGTTCTCCCTAAATTTTACACATTTTATATTTTTACAACCACTTTTTGGGTTACAACAGTACAACTTACCGACATTAGTTTTTTTGAAAATTTTTATCAAATTGCCCACGCCTCATCTGTACAGACCCACCAATGCCCAGGTCAGGCAAAAAAGAAGATCCCCTGTAAAACCCCAAATTTAAAACTTTTTTAAAACGATCAAGTATTATTACCGTTTAACACAGTTAAAAAATTTTTTTATAAAAAAGGAATTAAGCAATCTTTTTACTATTAACGTTACTAGATAAATTATAGGTCTAATTTAAGTATAAAATCATAATGACAACAAACAGAAGATTCTTTCTAAAACATGATATAATTAAGTAAGAACCTGCGCTCCCCACCCTCCAAAAACAAAACAAATTCACAGTTTGATGGGTCATGTTTTAATCAAATAATAATAGACTTGGCATAACGCAGAAAATAACATTAAAACAAAAATATAATATATAAATTCAACGACTGATTGATCAGAGGAAATATATGACATAATTATGTTATATTACACTGAAAACAAGTTATAGAGAATAGCATTTTTACATGAAACATTGGCCTGATGATGAATTCAATATTCGCAAAAAAAAAAAAAAGAAAGAAAGACAAGAGAGTGAGTTTGGTAAGCTTTACCTCCAGCCAAGTCATTATCTCCCTTTCCTCCATTTGTGAAATCTTCGCCTCGTCTTTAAACTCGTCCATCTGTACGTCCATCAGATTCATCAGACCCTTTATAACTTGTGCATCTGTTGTCGGGGCAAGTTCTTTTACACCTCCCTTTCTCACTAGTTGTATACAAGCGTCACAAAATCTCTCAAATAAGTCATTTACGGTACTCTTGTATAATTCATTCAATGACGAGGGCATGTCGTTAAGCCATGATTTAACCAACGGCCGCCAGCCGAGTGTTGACGGCTCCATGTAGATCATACCACATCTAGATACCTGTTTTCAGAATAAATATAAAATATTAATGAAATGGAAATATATCATACAAAAAACCATTTTGTTTACTTTTACCAAATCAACAAAGCTATTTATTTCATGAAATTTTTTCATGGAAATTTGAGCAGGGTCTGAATAAAAATATGAATAAATAATGAAAGCAATTCAAAATTATACTTGGATTCTTCAGTTATATATAAAGTTATTATCAGCCCTGAATTTTTATTTCTCACTAGGAACAAGTGTGTGTGTCTTTTTTTTTTAAATACTATTCTTATTCATAGGCACTGGAGCCAAAACCACAAATATATAGCTGGACACAGGCATATATACATGTAGATGGACAAACTTGCACATCCATGCAGTCTGACCATATTGTCAACTGTATGCTGACCAATATTAAAATTTCCATCCTGATATCCCTACATTTGATAATGGACCATTTCAAAATTGAAAATGGACAATCCCGTTTACAAAATTCAACATGTTAAAGGCTAGTATATGTTTACATGTTACAATTTGTACAATGTTTTGCTTTCTTTAGCACAAAAATGAGACACAAGAATAAATTTAGACTTACAGTAGCTGGGGAGGCCACCTCAAGATCCATGGGCTCAAACATGAGGTTAGTTGTGTTAGCAAGCTGAATAATTTCTCCACTCATCAGACACAACTTCTTGTTGTCGTCAAGCACAGTGTTCATGTTCTCAATCCAGATGGCGTCAACTGGACCGTCAAATAACAGCCACTTCCTGTCTGGGGTCTGTTTAAAGAATAAAACAACCATTTATTGTAGTTATGTGAAAAGGAAAAGATAGCATTTCAATATCAAAGTAATCTTATTGAGATTCTCATCACTCCTCACTGAAATTTCTTTACCTTTTATTTGACTACTGTACACATTTTTTGCAAAATTTTAACATCCCTTTTTGCAACCTGCAAGGTTTTGCAACCTGCAAGGTGTTTACTAATTACATTTTTGTTCAAAGTATTAATGCATTTTCAAATAGTTAAAATAGAAATGAGATGTTGTCATTTTCCACCAAATTTGTTCATTTTTAAAATTGCATAATCATTAAATCTTTTTTAACACATGCTTCCATAAGCTAGCTAGAATGCTTCTTTACAAAGCTATCTGACCTAACACAATGTAGTTAAATAGCTCCATTGGTTTGACTTTCTGGTGTTAATGCCTATTTTTACAAATATTTTGGTCATATCTCAGTGACTGACCCACCGGCTTTCCAGGAAATGTAACCAGTAATTACCAATTATCTCCGTAAGTGAACCACCTATTAATCCCACACAATAGCTTTCCAGAAATGTAGATAAAATTAAAAAGAAAGCTCAACTTACTGTTGATGTAGCAAAAGCTCTGTACGAGACAGCAAGCACACCGTCGGACCACTCGTGAGAGACTGGATCAAAACAACCATACAACTGACCCATTGTGATAGCCTTCGGGTTGATGACAGTAATCTGTACCTTATTCTCCTCCATCAGTCCCTGGGAAGACAAAATATTTTGGTTTTACTATACAGTTCATGGAAAAGGGTAGTGAATACCCGAAACTAGTAGGTTTTAGATAAATTTTTTAACTTGTTTTGACGTTGTCGTGTGTTCCTCTTATTCTATTTATTGTAGTTCATTATTAAGATTAAAATTCTTTGCCAAACATATTTTCAGTTATGTTTTAAGTCACATTGACACTATTAAGGTCAAACAACGCCCTTCAATCTTGACTGGCAGAGGTAGTCCTCTGCCGTCCCTACAAGTCATTTTCCAAAAGCTGGCTTTACAAAACATAATAATTTTGCCTAGCAATAAATAATCCTGATTCTGCAAACAAGTATACAACTAGCAATTAAATTCAAATTTTCATTGACTTAAAAACAATATTCAGATGATAATAATATAAATCCAATATGACTTTGACACTTAATTTGAAAATGATATTTCAGTTCTTTATAACAGGTTGTTTGTGTTTTTTTTCGTATTTTTTTTTTTTAAGATATAATTTCAAAGATTAAAATACTTTTTGATATTTCCATGTTATTGACAGAACCAAGCTTCTTTTAAAATAGTACATGACCTCATAATCTAAACATTGCTACATTTAAAATTAGCATTATAGATTAATATTTTTTAGAAAATCGGGGGAAAATTTGGGTTACAAATAAACTACAGTGCTTTATTATCTACTATATATGTGTTTCGCATTATATGGTTTTATATATGAGTTTAATGATGAATAGAGTTTTTTTTTAAAAGGGGACTCCACTAAAGGTTTTATTGACAACAAAGGAAGGGAAAAATTTTTTAAGATTAAATGTTTCACTTGATGAAGATCCGTAAAACCAAATTATGACTTGTTGCAAATTTTTTATCATTGTTCTCCCTGGTTTTTTCCAGAATTTAATTTATGTCCAAGTTGCCAAAAATGACCAAAAATTCAAAAGTTGCAACGCTTTTCACTCTACTTGGGCTAAAAATAGAACACAAATATAAAATTTTGGTATATTTTTTGAATATATTTCTTTACTATCTTTAGTGTATCTTCCAGTTTTAAGTTTCCCAGATAATCTACAAAAAAATTCTTATTTAATGTTTTAGGGTTTTGAACCTCAGTGCAGTTCCTTTAATGGGAACAATTGCCTCAGTGTTTTTTGGGTGTTTTGTTTTTTTCTAAATGGACTGTGCATTCTGTAGACCTGTAAATGTCTTTTTTAATTTCTAAAATTTCATTTTCCTTTTCAACCCCAACCCAAATGAAAACAAAACACCAGGTTTTTTGAGATTTTTTTGTTTTTTAAAATTTTAAAAAAAGGAAAACAAAGAGTTAAGAACAGGAAAGGAAAAAAAAAAAACCCCACAAAGGCTTTAAAAATTTTTAAATTTTGAAAAAAGCAACTTTTTGGGGGTGGGGCTTTTTTTTTAAAGGTTTTTTTTAAAATAAAAGATTAAAACCCGGGAAATTAATGAAAAATAGAAATAATTTTTTATGAAAAAATTTTAAAAAACAACCCCTTTTAAATTTTTTGGAATTTTCCAAGATGAAAAAATTTTCAACCAGACATTAATTTTAATTTATAAAAAAAAAGATTTAAATACAGAAAAAATTTGGGGGTTTATAGGATATGAAAATTTTATACATTTTAAAATTATATTTTGTGGGGGGGGGGTTTCCCCTTAATTTTCCCTTCTCTCGTTTATATGGCATTCTAAAAACAAGTGTTCAAAATGAAATTAAACAAAAAATAAGGCAAGCAAAAAGTCAAACTTTCCAGAACAAAAATTTTAAAATAGGTTAAAAACAAACAAAATCGGTAAAACTATTAAATAAAATAAATGAAAATTAAAAATCAAAAAGCAAAAAAATTAACAACAAATAGATTATATTTATAGCAAAAAAATACAAAAATGTTGCGACAATATTTTTTTTTTCAAGGTGAGGTTATAAAGTTTAAAAACGATGATTTAGCGGATGTTTGATTTACCTTTCTCGGTATATCACCAAGAGCATTGGCTAACATTCTTGATGCTGGAAGCTTTTTACCACCCAAATTTGGTTCACCCACTATCATGAAAACCGTGACGGACAATCATTCATTTCATTATATCTGAAATATAGTAGTTATAGAATTGTATATTCTTGAAATTAGCCAGCAGTTTATAGCATTTATACTGTAATTATGGCTTTTTAAGATTGTATTTTTTAAATTTTGGAAATTTTATAGTTGTATATCGGAAATATAGCTTTTTACAGCATTTATATTTTAAATATAGCTTTTTCCTTAAATTTTTAAAAATTGTTTAATTTTAAAAATACAGCTTTTTTAGCTTTTGGTAAAATCGAAATATAGCTTTTTATAAAATTTTTATAGAAATATGCATTTATGGGAAATTTTATAAAAAAAGGAAGTGAAATTTAGCATTGATTTTTCCTAAATTTTAAAGCATTTATATCTAAAATAAAACATTTTAATTTAAATTAGAAAGTTATAAATTTTTCCAAATTATTTTTGTTTCCCATTTAAATTTAAAAAAAAAAAAGTTTTGATTTTTTAAATTTGGGGAACTGTAAGGGCGAATACTTTAAAATTTTTAAAAATTTTAAAAAAAATCCTGGGGAATTTTCTTAAAAGGGAAAAAATTCACCGGGGGGCCCTTTCCCATTGAAACCCCCCGTTGGGTCCTAAAGCTTTTTGGAAAGTTTGTGCCCCCGGGGGAACCAACCCCAAGTTTTTGAAACGGAAAGGGAAAATCGTTCAAAATTGGGCAAAAAAATTCTAAAAACCCCAACATGGGGGCCTTTAAATTTTTTCTAAGGAATTTTTTTAAAATTAAAAAATAAGAACAAAAATTTGGGAATTTTTAAAAAGCAAACAATTTTTTCAATTTGTACCAGTTCTTAAAAGATAAAAAAATTTTGGGTGGAAGTTTTTTCCCCGGAAAAAATTAAAGGGAAAAATTTGGGGTTTAAATTTTTTATTCAAAAAATTTCCAAATAAGGTAATTTTATTTTCTTGGAAAATGGAAATAAAAAAATTTTTAAATTTAAATAGTTTAATAAAAAAACCCCAATAAAATTAAAAATTAGAGAATACGGTTCCCCCAAAAATTAGTTTTGAGCGTTTTCTGGCCAGTAGGTTAAAAACCAGCAGAGGCAAGCCTTTTTTTCCTTGGAAAAAATTAAAAACTTTTTTGCTTATTTTGGGGTTTGGGTTAAAAAAAGGAAAATGTTTTTCATGGGGCTTTTAAGGGTTTCCCAAAACCCCAATAAAATAAAAAAATTCTGAACAAACTAAAAATAATCAAACAAAAATAATAAATTTTTAAAAAAAAATTACCTTAAGTTTTCGCGGGCAGTGAGCCCCAAAAATTTTACCCCCTTCTCTTTACCTTTAATCTTAGTGATTTGGGAAAAACAACTTTCTAGCAAAAACCTTACACGGCCACAATTTTTGACGGACAGGTCAGCGACAAAAAAACCCAAAAGAGTAAGGGGGAAGATCTAAAGCAATCATAGCTTTAATCCGGTACCATCATAGCCACTGTTCTAAACAAAGCCTGAAATATACACATTATCAACATGATCTGTCATATACAGTGACCTCACTTCACTCCAGTGAAAAGAATGAATTTTTTTTCCAGATTTTGTAATTTAAATTCAATCAGGAAGATAGTTCCCTTTTGTTAATAGGCTTTTGTAAACTTATGTTCCCTTGAAAGTAAATAACTTCATAAAAGAAACTAATATTTTTTCATTTTAAAATGTTTAAAGCAACAACAGTTGTGCCACTTTAAGTAACTTTGGTTACATCATCAAATATTTTTTTTATTCAACCAAACATGGAGGATAACAACAAAATTACTAACTTTAAGATTATCTGGCAACTCGGATCTTCCGGCGTAACCGGGGTTCATTGTGATAAACACCGAACATGTTGGATCTAATCTGAGTTCTGTGCCTTCAAATACTAGAGTATCTGATCCGCTATTGATGGCTGTAATAAGAAGTTATGGTAAGGGTTTTCCAAAAAAACTAACTACAAATCAAAAATACTGGGTGAATAAATAAGCTTACCCAGTTGGGGTCTCAAAAAAAAAAAAAAAAAAAAAAAAAAAAAAATAAGAATAATACTCATTAATAAATACAGTTGTATTTTAACAAATAAAAAGCTTCAATAAGGTTCTAATTTTTTTCATTCAAAATATCTTGTAAATGGAAAGCATAATGTTTTTTCATACAGAATTCATTTAAACAGGTATGGGTTTCCACTCTATTCAAAATTTAAGCATATTTTTTTATGACAATTGATACACCACACAAGTTTACGATACAATGTACAGAACTTTGTTTTAACATCCATCAATTACTTACCATTTCTCATACCTTCATATATATAATAATAATTAAAAAATAAAGAAAAATAAAAAACATCAAAAATTAGGAAATGTTTAAACCAAAAATACAAACAGGTGTTTTAAATTAAAATTTTTAAAATTTTTTTGAAAAAGGCCTATTTATGATATCTTTTATTTTGGCAAAAATGATTTTGCCAATCAAAGATTCAAAACTAAAGACTTAAAGGGTAAACTTTAAATAAATTGGGAAAAATTTTTTAAATTTTAATTAAAAAAAAAGGGGACTGGGTTGACTTTTGAACCCTTTTACAATTTAGCTGGTTTTTTCCCAAAAATTTATATTGGGGGGAACTTTTTAAGGGTTTTTTCATGGGTTTTTTTGGATAGGGCAATTTTTTGAATTTAAGAAACCAACAAAATTTTCCCAAATTCACTGCTTAAATTATTATTCCCAAAACACGTTTACTTAAAAATCTTAACTTTTCAAAAAATAAACCATCAAGGAATTTAAGTATCCATGAAAATGTTCTTTGTGATAAAATCACGAAATTTCATGTCCAAGAAAGCTAGTCTGTAGTATTTAAGTTTACAATCATAAAAATTTTTTTTGAGTGTAAAACTTCTAGTATTTATTAGTATAAATGTCTTTACCTCTCTGAATGGTAAGAATCTGCTGGGCTACCACTGACAACACCTCAAGATCAATTCTGTTAAACTCATCAAAGCATGACCAAGCACCGCAAGATGCCAAACCCTGTCAATGATAAAATTACATTATATTATATACATGCACATTTTTAGATATTTGCATATGTAACACTATGATAAGATATGATGAAAAAAAAAAACCCAATCTTTTTCATTTTTTTTAAGATATGCAGAGAATTTTACCAAGGATTTCTTTATATTCATTTAAACAAATTTTTACGGGGCCCTTTTTTCCCGCCAAAAGTTAAAATAAAACTTAAAAGAAATGGTTTCCCTTTTTAAAGAAAAGGGAAATTTTAAAAATTTTAAACCTTTTTAAATTTTTTAAAAAATTTTTTTTTTAAATTTTGAAAAATTTTAACCTTATTTAAATCAATTTGTTTGACTTCAAACTACAACAAATAACTTGATATTAGGAGTAATTTTTATCATGTATACAAAATAAAAGCTCACCTTGAAGAATTTACCCAAGGCAATGAAATCCAGACCGTCGGAACAGTTGAACACGACACACTGCTTGGCCACGGCCTTGGCAAGATCCTTGGTTGTCTCGGTCTTTCCTGTACCAGCGGGACCTTCTGGGGCGCCACCCAAATGAAGCTGCAGAGCTCCAAATAATGTTCTAATAAACAGAACAAAATAAATTGGAAGTAATAAAACAAGATAAAGAACTGTCTACATGGAACATTTATTTATTATGTGTAAAAACTTTATTGATATTTTAATAACTAAATATTTATTGCATAATGTTGCTTGTGTTCCATGAAATTTAATTATTACATTTTTCTGTATGTCATACATGTTTAATATGAAAACTGTCTATCAAACTGTGATTTTAACAGAGTGGCAGCATGGCTGAATTGTTAACATATCAGACTAGTAATCTAAGGATTGCCTGTCAGGTGGGTTCAAAGCCCCTTTAGGGACAAGCCAATGTTTCCATGAGCAAGAAACTTCACACTCATTGCTTAGTTTCTGGTGTTCATTTAATATTGACTTATATTAAAGGCATCTAAAGGATGTCAATTTTTTTTATTTATTTACCTGTAACATCTATCAGTCAATGGTGTGATGACGAGACGTCCTGTGTTTCCAAGGTACTCGTAACCGTACTTCAACATGGCGTTGATCATTCTTGTTATCATACGCTCATCCTATAGTGATATAACAATTCATATTTTAAATATGATCAGACGGTACTTGCAACTTTTATGGAACAAACTTTAATATTGATAATAACAAAGCATTATTGGTTACATTACTCTGATGAAAAACCTGGGCAACAAGATGATTTTAAAGAAAGACATTATATCACCCATATGAAATAAAGATTAACAATGTAAGTTAACAATTCACTCATCAAAGGATGATATTCAAGTCAGTAATGTGGCCTTATGAATTAGATGGATTAAATCCAACCACCATTTCAACCATATTTCCTTATGTGACATCAGTGCTTTTACAGCTCAGGCAGCAGACCCTAGAACTTTTCCGCAAAAGGTAAATAAAGGGACATTCTATAGTTTGAGACGAGTCGCTTGATAGTTCACTTACCTCCCAGTAATATCTAAGCTGACTTAGCCAGCTGAAATCAAACTCGCTGCTGATCCCAGTGACAGCAAGGTTCGCCAACACGTCCCTGGCGTGTACGTCTAATACAATCAAAGCCTGTAGTGTAGTACGATTCTGTTTGGATAATTTTCCTCGCACCATGGCGACAATGTCATCAATCTGTTTGTTGTTAACCTGTAAGTACTCATTCAGGGCATCTCCGCCTTTACGGATAGCTTCATGAATATAGTCTGTCCAGTATTTAGCTGTTACAGCTAAAACACACTGACCGGGCCAGATCTTTACCCAGTTGTCTCTGGGCTGTTTGGTGTAAGCATCCAAAGCTTCTCCTGTCACCTGTAATGAAAAATGAATAAAATAAATGCAGTATTTCTTCATTATTTTTTTATCTTTATGCAAGGGATCAGCAAATGAGAATTGAAGCTACACAAGATTGATCACTTGTAAGGCAGAGGTGTAAAATTAAGCTTTAAGTCAGCGGTATTTTGCTTCCATTTCCACTTTTAATATAGGTATTTTTGAAGTCTATTTATAACACAGTATGTAGGGTATAAACCTTATACTGAAGTAAGAACAAATTCTATCAGTGTGTAAATAAAATGCATGTATATATTTGATAAAGTCCCTAAAAAAATCTTTTGAAATTGGCAATATTTAAGAAACACAGTAAATTGAAGGTCAAGTTTACCTTATGAAGGGAAGCAATCATGTCACTTTCTAGCTCAAGCAGCCATTTCTCTACTTGACCTCTGGCCTTGGACGTTGAAATGACATCTCTGAGTTCGACCACTTCTCCTTCACTACTCAACATATGTGTAATGTCTAGAACATCTGTAAACTCAAGTTTAGCTATACCCTCAAAACATTTCTTCAAATGCGGCTGTACTCTCTTTGGATCTTTGGTCTCAGACAAGATTTCTAACAACTCGTCGTTTGACAGGAAGAAGAATCTAGGGAAGTACAATCTCTTCTTCTCTAAGTAGTCGTTCAAACCCTGTAAAAAAAAGCATATGTTCTTGTTGAAATTACACTTATTCCTAAAAAAAATTGTTATTTTGGTATTAACACACATATACATATGTATAATTTATTCAATCAGTTAATGTTTTTTGAGAAGAAAAAAAAATGTAAAGTACTATAAGAGTTTTATATATGAAATATTTCAATTTTCAATTATATTCAGATTTTTAATTAAAGTCCCTTGAAACTTTATTATTCCAGTCAGGCTTTAATCTGTTGTATAGACATTCAACAACCTACACGGCTATATGTGTTACTATATCATATTTAAGAATCTCCCCTGATGTTTCTTCTAACAAAGTTTTATTTACCTTCTGAATCAACTCAAGAAGCTCGTTCGATTTCTTCAGTCTCTCTAGAAGCTTGTCTATTTTGATCACTTCCAGCACGTGTTTATCTAGAACGGCAGTTTTCATGATATCACGCCAGTTCTTGTCTACAGTTGTGAATCTACGGCCCTCTTCCGGCATCTGTGCCATGATATCTGGGGAGCTGAAGATAGGCTCAAGGTAAAGCCAGGTGGCTTGTACTTTCAGCCACTCGTCCAGCACATCTTGTAGCAGCATCAACTTTCCCTCCCATTCTCTGTTTAAAGAAAAAAATAATGTCTCTCCAATTGTTCTCAATAAAACAGTAGCATTATCAAGTATCACTTCAATATAATATGGAAAGATGATTAAATCTGTGACATTAAGGGGAAAAAAAACATTTAAAGAACATGAGAATTTATTTCCAAAAAAAGGATTATGATTTCAAACCATTTAGTTCAATGACTCATTATCCTAAAGATGTTTTTTCTTGTATTTACTACTCATTATTTGTATCAAATGTTTGATAGATCTTTGCCAAAACTTCGTTAGCACTTACCCTGAGTATTTGAGTATAAATTGATAATCACTAAGCTCAGAAAGACTAATTTTAATACTAAAAAGTCACATGACTTACTTGATTTCATTTTCAAATGGTTTTATGAAAGGAGAGCCTCTCATTGTCTGTGTTTTAACGATGTGGTCATCTAACAACAGCTGTATATCATCAACGGAGGACAAAATCTGAGTGCCTGTATCTCTATATGGAATGATCACAAACTCAATCTGTAATAAATATAGTTTTTCTTTATAGCTTTCATGTACAACTTAAAATCATATAATGGAAACATGATTAAATATATACTTATAAAAAGACTAGACTATTCAATAGCCTTCATCAGGGTACTTATATATACTTATAATAAAATACTGAGAAATATTGATGAAATAAAATGCATATTTTCATTTGCCATATTTTCACTGTAAAAATTTATTTTTCACTGCAGTGAAACATATTTTCCTTATTTTCACTGATGTCTAGCAAGACTACTTTCATCTAACTTCAGCCAATACACACATCTTGTGGTATAAAAATAATCATATTTCACTTGTAGCTTGTAACCGCCACTCATGTCTGTACACATTGAACATAGCATCTGGAGCAATACAAGGTGTTAAATCTAGAAATTAAACATTATGTATTTTCATCGAGGTATTATATATAATATAAAGTAAATTTCTTATTTCTACTTACATCTGTCCATTCAGTCTTCATCTTGTCCATGGCTTTCTCCAGGGAATATTCCTTGCTAGCAGCTTCACTAATACTCTCAAACTTTGGTATAAACTGATCCAAGTTCATGTCCACAAACCGGGACAGACAGTAACTGTCGTCCGGCTTCAGTGTATAGCCGACAATTTCACTTATAGATTCCCAATGACGCTCTCGGAGACCAGGGTTAAACAGGGTACCAATCAGTGGCATGTGCTCCCTGAATTCTTCTACTTTTGATTTGACCTGCACAAATTAGTATTTTCATATAATTATTCATTCGTGATAACAAAATTAAATAAGTCAAGCTTGTATTAAGTGACCCTGCAATGGGAACACCAAAAGTGGTCGCTTAATACAATGATCTTTTAAGACAAAGCATCAGAATAAGAAAAAGATATAGATAGACAAGTCACCGCCAGGTGGGGGCAATGCTTGAAGTTTTTTTACTTTTTCTTTAAAAAGAAGATTAAGAATTTTTTTTTTTTTTTTTTTTTTTTTTTTAACAAACTTAAACGGTTTATATCCCTGAAAATGATTTTTATTGTACTCACTTTTCCAGCTATTTTCTTTGCAGATGGTACATTTTCGAAACCTTTCTCCAGTTTATATAGACCTCTCCAGAAATTGCCCACCTCATTCTCAACATCATCTGGATCCACACCAGTCATAGGTCCTTCCATCCAGTCCCTGAAGTGTAATTGTGCGATATTTAAATTATTTCATTCCAATGATCAGTTAGGGATATTTTCGCATATTCTGACCTTTATTTGGTAATTTACTTCCATTCAACCTGCTGTTCGCAATGTGTAAATTAATTTCTTTGTTCACCTGACAATATTTAATTTTTATACATATTCAAAATTTTCATGAAAATTAGCGAGAATCTGGAGGCATGCTCCTTTAAACCAGCTGAATGTCTTAAATGGTCCAGCTTCTATTTTTGGAACTGTCTTTTAACAACTTGGTGGAAATAAAGATGAAAACTCAAAGCTAGTCAACCAACAGTTTAGAACCTTGTCAGACTGCATAGATGAGCTGGCTGGCCTGAGTATTTCCTGGTGGCAATGAAATGGTTAATTATTTCTGTTCCAGCAGTCTAAGACTTAAATATTTCGCAAATTTTCTAATCAAAATGCTTTTTATCACACACCCGTGCCGATTTTGCGACTCCATAAATATGGTATTGCACGGCCGTGCATATATTTTGACGTGACGTCATTAGCGTTATACAAACATAGTGTAAAGGCGCGCTAAATGTTAGCGTTATACTATAGACGCGTTAATGAAAAATGACTCTTATTTCACTTAAAACGATCTTTATTTTTGGTATATGATAAATAGAATATTAAATTCGTGTAAGTTCATTACTGAATTTATTGCACTCGTTGAATAAAATAATATTATGCTCGCCAGAGGCTCGCATAATATAATTTTATTCAACTCATGCAATAAATTCAGTACTGAACTTACACTCATTCAATATCCTCTATATATCTTCCTTTATTTAAGAGCCTCAATGGTGGATAGGTTAAGGATGTCAACATCAAATCACTTTCTTGTAACAACTGTGAGAATTTGTAACTGCCTGTTTTTGGGGAAAAACAATCACATTTCATTAAAAAAAACCTTAAAATCACTATTTTTGGGGAAAAACAATCACATTTCATTAAAAAACTTTTTAAAATCACAAGCTCTACATACTTGTATTTGTTGTTGAATTCTACTGTAGTTTCATACAACTGTTGATATGGTCTTAATGTGGTGAGAATCTGCTGTCTCTGGGGATAGGCCGTCGTCTGCCAGCCAAATGCCTCTTCTTCTGCATTGAATGCTTCAATCTGGAAAAATATTGTAATAACAAATTTAAGAAGGAGCAGACACATGGGTAAAACAACAATCTTTTAGAATATCCTTGCCGGTTAGATAGGTATTTAACATCTGTATAAAGATTCAAATCCACAACTGTTTTGGAATATAAAAACAACTCAGTGATCAATTGTATATCTCCACAAAGGCCTGTTTATAACAATGTTACAAAACAATAATTTATATATGTTCACAAGTCAAAACAAAGTTTGATTTACCTTTTCAGCAGCTGCCTGTAGTTTGTTGTCGAGGGCCTGTGATTTACGGAGATATTTCTGGATTTCAGACATATCACCAAAGGTAGCGAATTCTTCTATCTGCTTGGCGTAGCTTTCCAATTCCTCCACAAATCTGTCTCTTCTCAACTAAAATATTATAGAAGTATAATGTATTAAATCACATTAACACATAATCAATTAACAGATCACATTGAAAAATTTGCTAAAAATCAAATAAAGCTCAAAAACACCGACAAATGATTTTCCCCCCCTAAACTATTGTTTTACACATAGAATTAAAAAAAACCCAGACATTCAACAAATCACTTTTACAAAATATGAGCTTATTTTATTTAAAAAATGAATCATTTAATATAAGTGTACCAATGGCTAGATATACTTTTGCTTGAATAGTTTGTTTGGCTGGTTTTTACACCAAGAACACTGCCCTGAAAAAAACCTTTAATTGCTGTGTATAGAACCAGCAATGGCTGAACCAGCAATGGCTGGTTAACAAATCTGCTGTCCCTAATGACCCAGGTGGGTAGATAACTTATTTTGAAACTGGTAAAAATGAGACAGTATTTTATTTCTTTTGGTTTTCATGCCAAGATCAATGGTCATGAAGAAAATTTGCCTTGGCCAATTTTATAATCAGTGACCCTTGATTTACAAATCTGCTGCTGTCTCTAATGAGGCTAAGCCAGACGATTTATTTTGAAAATGAAAAAGATCATACAATACTTGATTGGTATGTTCATTTTTTTGTAGGTTATTTTACCTTGAGTGCATCCTCATACTGAGATCTCTTCTCTGACACTATCAACTTGTGCTCCTCAAATATAGCGGGCATTCTTCCATGCCACATAAACACATTAGCATTCAACCGGATCTCAGCCGGTGAGAACTGAGCAAAGTCGGACAGGAACGAAAGCCTCTCCTGAGAATTATACAGTCTCTTTTCCATCGTGAAAATAATGTCTGATTCCACTTTCTCAATGTATTCTTTCAGCTCCATCAACTGTTCAGTGTTTGAAGGAGTGGTCAGGGCCTTCTCCGCAATCTGTTCATAGTCGTCACACAACCTTAAATGGAAAGAAGCAATTTTTTGGTCAATCTATATTTGGTTTTTAGGTAAAGTACAGCTAAACTGTTGTCGGCAGATCTCCAAGTGCTCATCTGTAGCATTTTGCAGACATTAACAATTTAGTAATAAACTCTACTCTTCTTTGATAGCTTGATAATTTCTGTACAATACTTGAATACAATATGTATTTTCTTTATGTCAGGTCATATTTGCGAATATAATATATGCAGTCAACTAAAAATATATATGTAAAGGTGTGTAATAAATAATAAAGTGCTTTTCTGCTTACATTTTGTTTTCTTCTTGGTGATCTTTGGCCATCCGACCCAATAGTTTCGTGCACAATGCATCGGCACGCTTTGAGAGGGCTCGCACCAGATCGTCGCAGTGTAGCTCAAACATTCCCAGTCTCAATACCTAAAGTTATCAAAATGATTCCTTATTAACATATGGCAAAAAAGAAATACATTGTGAAATTATCTAGAATATAAGTATCGTGTTACAATTTCTGTGCTTTACCTCAACCTACGTTAAAATTGTGCGCTAATATTGTTTTTCGTTATTGGACAATGAACTGATGTTAATATATAAAGACAAGACTGCTACTTGGTGTTTTAAGTTAAAAATTAATAAGATTATTATATATTTATGAACATTAATGCAACCTTTATACTCTTCAGTTAATGATGAAATATTAATATGATATTATTATAACATTAAGTTATAATTTTTAGTCACCACAAATAAACCTAAAGATGGCTTATTAAGAGAAGTTTACTACAGGTATTGTCTAAATTAGAATATTTCTAAAAGAAATGTGTAAGTGGTCATAAAATAGTTCCTAACACTACATTCAAGTCATAAAACAAAGAAATATCAGTTTTTCTGTGCTGTCCGATGAAAAAAAAATATTTTCGAAAATTAAAAAATTTAGAAACGAAAAGTGTGGCATGCCATATTTCAGTGATAAAACTAGGTTGATAAATTATGAATTAATAAGTCTTAACCCAACAATTCAAAAACGTAATTCTGTGAAAAATTCTTATCTACCTACAAATGTACATGTAATATTAAATTGTCAGTGATTGACTGTGCAACATTCTTATCTATCAAACTTATCAAAATGAGTAGTGACAGACTTAAGTTTAAGTGAAAAAAAGAGGAGTTTTTTGTACAAAATTATTGAAAAAATGATTCGAAGCTGAAAAAAAGGAAACATTGAGATATAAATTTTACAACATTTTTTTAAGGAACTTACACCAGACATTTAACAGCGATGACCTTTCACCTCCCAAGATTATGACTAAACAGACAGACAGACAGATACATGAGACAGGTAGAAAGCTAAAAAATTTCTTTAAACTATATTTGTTTTCCTATTCCAAGTTCTTAACCCGTAACCTGCTGAATTCGTGAAATTGATTTGCCATGCTTTGAAATTTGAACAATTCATTTAAAGTTTCAGTGATTTTAATATCAATTGAGCTCCGAACAGAATAGAGCCTGGGCCCAAGGTTAAAAAGAACTTTTTTATGCTAAAACTCAGACCTTAGGAATTTGATTGGCCAGAGACAAGCATAGAATAAATATTGACCAAAGAAAATAATGAGATTTGAGAAAGAACTCAGCACCTCCGGGCCTAATGTCAGACTGGCTGTATACTGGTGGCAACAGGGTAATTCACTTTCAATTCCAGCAGATCAAGGGTCAACAAAGGTCAATTAAATAAAGGTTATTAAAGGTCATACATCCATAACATTGCTTGTTAAAATTATGACATATTCAGACACTTTTAGTGTCATATAAGGATTAAATATACAACATCACTAAATGTTTTATTCAAAGAAATAAACAGTCAAGAAAATAACAATGTTTCAAGAAATATATTGTGATAGTTATCTCAAACAGTCAATACTTGAGATTATTTTAGTTTTTAGATCAATTAACAATCCAAGCTACATACACAAATGACAATTTCGATACATTTAGTAGATTTTATCAAAGAAACACAGGAGAGCAAAGAGTAACAACTACAAGAATAATTCAAAATAAAATTATTATAATGTCATATTGACATCATGTACAGGAAGAAAATGTTGAAAACACAATATTTCACAATGTTAGACATGTAAATAACTTCTTAATTTTAAACTTGAACAAATTAATTGTGAATCAATGAGACAGATTTACAGATCTGACATTAAACCTATATGAGAACTGTACACACATATATAACATGAGCATATTATAAATCTGAACATATTTTACATCTGGATACAAAATGATTGAAAAAAACTTCTTTTTAAATTTTGCAAGTTGTTATATAAATAGTAGCCATAATGGCAACTTTAGAGCTTAAGAAAATTCCTTGTATGAAACAAAATATGTATTTAAGGCACAAGCAAGTCCTTAGCTAAAACCACCAACCTTAAACGTAATCATTTCCCTATATAAACAAATTTCGTACATATGAACATTTTCAAGTATAAGGTTATGTGTAACCCTAACTGACAAATATTTTCTGCATATAAGAAGCATATCAATTTTTTATGGTTCTAACAAAAATAGTCAAGTTTGAAAATGTACCAGTAAATTGTAACAATGACCCTCCTTCAACCAGGAATAGTGGAGACTTTCGCGTTTTGACTATTGAATCTTCGATAAAAGTTTGATCCGACCCTCTGATCTAGATAGTCAAATAGTTAAATTCTCGGTCAATATTCACATTTTGATATCCAAACAAAACTGATGTATTGAGCTGGCAGTTCGAAGACAAGCCAAATTTAAAAACTTTGGCTCATTTTATGTACGCAGTCCCGAGGAGTGGCCGATGTTACAATTATCTAGTGCATACTTTTCCTGTCTTTAACCAATTTGTAGTATTTACATGCTATTTAAAAAGTTTCAAAGTGAAATAATAACATTGTGAAAGCATAGAGACCCATCATGCATACAGAGAAGAGGGGGGCAAAACAATATAAACATAAGAGTTAACCCTTAACCTGCTGAATTTATTAAATGGACTTGTCCGCCTTCCATTTTTGGTACTGACCATTTAACATTTTGGGGATATTAAGATGAAAATTTGTAGTTCGTCAGTTGACCGTACAGACCTTGGTCAGACAACACGGTAGCATTTTAGGGCTAATCTCTTTTGGTTCCAGCAGATTAAGGGTTAAGAATAAGCATGGCAAAGATTTGTGCAAGTAAGGGTGGTGGGGTAAAAGGGGGGATAAATTTTACTACTGTACACATCTAAAGGAAAACAACAGTATTTCATTTAAATAAACAATAAAATAGCATGCTATTGTATATTATGAAAACTTGTGTGTGTTGTCGTCTGTTATATACCTTGCCCCGGCCATTCTGTCAGAAATACAACAACTTTACATGTTTATACGGTGCTAAATACAACATTGACATAAAATCATCTGAGTGACTGGAATGCTTTATTCTGTCATTCAAGCAGCTACATGACTGAGATCATATAAATATACTTGCAATGCAGTATTTTTATATAATCTCTCTAAAAATTTCTATCGCATACATATTAATTCAAGTATCTGAACACTGTATATTATATGTGCTTAAATTATCAAGACTGATTGGATTTTACAAGGTATATCTTGCCAATTTGGGTTTTATTTTTTGGGGGGTGGGCAGCTGTTGGGAATATTTACTTTTTCTTGCTTATGATTTTTCTTTTCTTTTTTTTTTCGAATAAAATTATCTGCAGAATATTTGTACATGTAGCTTTGATGCAGTGTTCAATCTAGAATGCACCATTGATTAAAGTCATGGACCTGGATTCTGTTGCAATGACATAATTAACCTAAAAATGAAAAACTTGCTAGAAACAACAAGCAGTTTATGTGGTGATTATCTAAATGCAAGTTAATAATTCTTCACATTTACATCTAGTAACTAGCAGTGCTTTCATTCAAAAGCGAGAAAGTGTCTCTTTTATCACACAGATTGAACAACTAAACTTAACGAGCCGTGTCCACTAAACAATGATTCACAAAACTGAAATAGTGATCTTACTGACTCATGTGTAGTTTGTTATAAATCAAATGTTACGCAATAGTTCAGTGAAAATATTTCAATATGAAATATGAGATTCTTTTCATGACCATAATAATGCACCAGTAAATTGTAACCCGTCCCCCCCTGTGACCCCCTCGGAGAATAGCGGCAACTTTAAACCTTTGGAGTATCAATCCCTAGTTAAGTCCTCCACACCTCAGAGACAGACAAATGGTCAAATCCCTGCAATATTACCCCACAATGTTGAGCTGAAAATATCCTATCCTTATTCACCAGACAGTGCTGGGACGGATGGAAGTGAAGTTTTAGTTCATTTACCCTGCTACCCAACAGCCCTCTTACTGCCCCAAGGGTGTAGGGACTGGGGTTACATTTAACTGATGCATTATGAAGCCTTAATCCTATCCCTAAACATTTCATAACTCTTCCAAAAAATTTACCTTTTCCAATGTTTGACAAAAATTAATTACTTCATAGATAACAATTTACAATTAAAGCAGCGTTAAAAAATTTTGCATTTACAAAATCCAATATTCTGCATTTACAAAATCCAATATTTATCTTGAACAAGAATATTACAACATAATTTCAATATCCAATTTACTAACTTCAATCATGATTGGATTATTTTCAATTTGTACACCCTGGAAAAAGGTTAACACATATTAATATACACATAGGTTACGTGATCAGAACCGGAGTTCCGGTATTTGTTTTGTTAATGTGTAAATACGAGATCAGAACTGGACTTCCGGTGCTCGTTTTGTTAATGTGTAAAATGGTGATTTACTACACATTGTTAGGAAAGGATCTGACATTCTGAGATAAAAAATAATATGTACTTGGTGATTTACTAGAAAAATCTTAGGAAAGGATTGGACATTTAGACACAAAAAAAAGGGACAACAACATTGGTAAGGTCCAGTTAGTGTACAAATTAGGATGGCATAATGCATTAAAAAAAATTGTGCTAAATTTTTTCTTTCAATAATTCAGTTTTAAAGTGACATTATGCCCATTCAAGAGGAAATGGTGAGTTTTATGGTAAGTTGAAATAACTTTACATTTTGTCATATTTGTTTTCAATTTTATGAGAAACATCACCTGCATAGTGAAATATCCCTGTGACCAACATGAATATCTATAAATATCCTTCGAAAATCATCTGTTATGCTCAATCAATCAAAAGAGTGGGGCAGACTTTTTTTATAATTTAGGCAGTTCTTACATTTGCCATTATCAATAATTGTTTTATAATTGTATAAATGTCAATATTTTGAAATATCAACACAAATTCATCTGAGTTTGACAGCGAAAAAAAATGAGCATAATGTCACTCTAAATGGTTTCTGTGTATTTCATTTAATCTAACAATTTATTTTATAATAACAATACTTTATGAATATGTGACAAGCTCAGCGATTTTTGGCCCAAATGTGATATTTGGGCGAAAATGAGTTATGACTAGTTTGTGGTAGAACAACATCTGCTGAATAGCTGGAAACAATTATTTTTAAAAAATACTTGATATTTTATGAAATATTCGAATTTGTATAACATCACCATAACAACAAAAATTACATTTTTAACTTTTATTGGTATATACAAATTATAAATAATTCCATTGTTATACACAATAAAATAAAATAAAAAATTAAGTGATCATTCATCTTAGTGTAATATATGTAATATCTTGATATAAAAACAATCGTTTGTTTTCAAAAAAATCGGTTGCCATGGCAACAAAAATATTAGAAAATCATCAAATGCAATATTTTTGCACTTAACATGATTAATTCATCACCAAATTAATGCATATATTATATCAAAAGACAACAATATTAAAGACTTTACAGAAAAAAAGGATTTTTCATTTTACCCTTTAATAGTTATTGATATTAACTCTAAAACCTAAGAATTAAATTCTCAGAATTACAGTAACTTTTCCATGATTAAGGTTAATATCATAACTTAAGTTAGTCAACTTTAAAATGCACATCTATAACATGATAGCATATACAATATGAATCCAATGCAAAACAAATATTCTTTAATGCACTGATTGCAAAAACGGTGTATTTTGGTTGCCATGGTAACAAAAAATGCAAAAATAACTGAATGATTTAAAATAATTGCATTTTATTAAAAAAAATATTCCTTTTCACAATAACTTCAAAAGTCTTTCAGAATTTTAACCAAAAAAATAAATAGAAAGGGCTTGCACTAGTTATGTTCCTGACTAAATTTTCAGTTACAGATATTGACAGTGTAATCATATTCTGATCAGTGTGTTTTAAATTGTATAATATGAATAACATATTAGTATATTTTTAAATTGAAATAATTTCAATTAATTTAAAACAATTACAATAACAGATTCTAGCAATCACATGGGAAGTCACAAATGAGAGTTCACTTATGTCCTTGAATTATAGTCTTGCAACCCCATGTTGAGGGTTTGACCAAACAGGGTAATAGCAACTATGTCTCCTCATATGTCTTCAGTTTTTGTAAGCAAAAAGTGATTCATATATAAAACTTGTTTCACAATTAAGTAAAAATACTGTAACACCTGCCAATGTAGTATTCAGCTTTTTCAGGGATACTTCTAAAGACAAATTCTATGAGAATGTAATTCACTTTTGGTATACTGTCAAACATAGACAAGTCATTGACTTCCCACATGCCATCCTGAAATAACAAAAACCTGAATAAGTATAAATGAAACAATATAGTGTATATGATGATTTAACTACAATATAGTGTATATGATATTTGACTGAACAGAAATGAACTATAAGTAAATTGTTGTATAGTGTTGCACAGCTATTGGGTTCATATAATGTTTTGTCATCGTGTAAGGTCTTGTGTAATATATAACAGTCTATATATCATGTACAAGTGGCAGTAACATTCATCTTGAACATGACTAAAATAATCTAAATCTACATATGTGCATGTATTGTGGTTGGAACACCACACTCTTTATTTCAAAGTAAAGAGAATGTGGAATATTGCATAAATATACATGCTTACCCAATTGAAGTGTTTTTTATCTTGACCAATACAGTACAGTTGATACAAGGGATTGTCTTTTTTACTCTATAACCCTGGTGCTCAATAGGGCATAGAACTATGTCACACATTGTGCCTCCATTCCAACAATAGTTTAGTATATTCATCAGCAAATAGGTGAACTTTCTATGTCTTCTGAAAATTATGTATATATACTTTAAGAGCTTAGCATTATTGACAGAGTATTTGCATAAAACAATACAGCATTATTTTTAAATATAAACTTAAAATTTAGTTCATGTTACTGTACAGAGTTATGTAATTTTAAAACAATATATTTAAGATCTCATCTGACTTCATATATAAAATGCTAAATTGCAAATAAGTTACATTACTTTCAACTGCATTTCAGGAAATTTATCAATATCATTATTTGATAAAAAGGGTTGAGAATGGTCAGTTTATGATGATTATTTACATATGTATACAAAGATTACATTCATAGTAAATCATTTGATCTTTAAACCAAGTATCAAAACACTTACAAGTACATTTCCTTGAAGAATATGGCTCCAACATGCTGGATAATCATATTATCTACTTCAAAACTCTGATGAACTATGTTGAAGATCTTAAATGTATGTTGGCTGTCAGACCTAAAACAACAACACAAAATATTTCATCAGCAAAAAGTGCTGGCTTATAAATGTTAAAATATCCTGGTAGCAGGGCTTCTGTTATTAAAGTTTGGGAGTCATTTACACCTTGATTTTGACTTCAAAACTGTAATGCTTTTCATTCTTTACCTACAAAGTGATTTCCAATTACATACATTTTGCAGTCTTTGACTGCCAATGTTTGGAATTTAATGGAAACCCTGCTGGTAGAATATGCTATGTGGTATTAGTAATGTGAATATCATATGATTTATTGTAGATACTACCAAAGGCAAAGGGCTAATAAAAATAAATGCATTTTAATATTTATCTATGGTCACATCTTCAATTACAGTATTAGATCTATTTATTGTATTTCAAAAGCAGCATGCAGTACATGGATAACATTTCCTTTACTAAATTGATATTGAATTGTAATAGAAATTCATTTGTCAATAATTACAATACTGTACTGAAGCCTTGTCATATATTTCCCTTTTTAGAAATATTTTATACAGTATAAATCTACTTGATGTAGATCTTTGTCAAGCTCTTTTATTGTAAACAAATTGCAAAATATGTTTGTTTTCTTTTTTCTTTTATTGCAGCCTTGACTTCTATTTATTTTGTAAAGTAATCAATGTCTAATTTAGAAAAAAGTTAACAATAACTTTCTATAAAGACGTTAGACCATGACAAATACAAATCGAGTGCAATAAACAATGTATCCCAAAAAAATGTGTCCGTCATGACCTGACCTAGATGCCGGCCATGTTTTTTTTTATTTAAACCAGTTCAAGTGTCATGGTCCCATTTATTTTATTGTTTAAAGTAAAAATACGATGGTTATTCATATTCAACATATCAGAAAAAAATAATGAACAGAAAAAGCATAAATAATAAAAGATGCGCTTACCTTTATATTTATTTAAACCTCCAAATATGCAGTAAAATGACGTAAAAGGTACTGTACATGTGAATCTACATGTGTTTACTCGCTGACCTGACTCCTAAGTTAAAGTTTACACAGTGTATTCATTCTAAATATAGATTTTTTGGAAATGTTTATCGTGGAAGCTGAGAAGGGCTGTTCAAAAAGTATTTTTTGAGTTCTTTCTAGTTTATTTTATTCTTTCAACTCTCAAAGATACTCTGTTTTGAAGGGTAACCCTAAAAATTAAGACATGAAAACTCGCGTGACTTTACAAGCGTTTTTCTCACAATGATTAAAAACTCAATTGGGCCAAAAATCGCTGAGCGCGTCACATATATATATGTAGCATTTGGCATTAAATCATGCAAAAATCAACTAGTACATATATACATTTAAGATATCAAAAAACATAACATGGCATAATATAAATGCCTCATGCTTCTATGCATTTATCATGAAATAAAATGATAATTATTTGATATTTATAGCAAAAAATATATATTCATATAATAGTGTATAAATATATATATGAGCAAAATAGCCTTTTAGCATACTTGTCTATATATGAAATAAAAAAAGTACATGAAAATATGCCTATAAACAAAATAACTAACTTTATAACGCTAGCTTTAAAACATAAAATTGTTGTAACATAGTTTTACATGTATAAAATTGCCTAACTCTGGTCAAAAGTTTAAAAGGAACAAAAAAAAAAAATCTTTAAAAAAAATCTCAAAACTTTACTATTCTAAATTAAGCTCTGCCCTTTTGGGAGTCCAAACACAAAAACAACTCAAGGGGTATAACAATGTTTGTTTTGTTGTTTTTTTTCAAGAAAAAAAAATCAGACTAGTTTACCTTGATAGAGTTGTAGGTGATTTCTTCAACCAGTCTGTGGAATTTTTCAACTTCCTTTTTGTATTCATCAAATGTGTGGGTTTCCTTGAGGAACTGCTCTACATCTGCATCAGCCTAAAAATTATCAAAAATCACAGTTAAAACTTCATTCTGGTTACCAAGGAATCATATTCTAAAAAATCAACAGAAAGAATTAAAAAACTGAAATATGCGACATTTTATAAATTTGAGGATTTTAACATTTTTGATCAGCTTTGTCTCAATCATGATTTCTTTATCACAAGTTAAAGCACACAAGTAACTGGTACATAAGTGATTCAATAAAAAAAATTGCAGAAATGAGGACTGTACTTATGTTTAAACCTGCAGCTGTTTTTTCAAAACGCTAGTCTTGTATTCTAGTAAACATTACAATCATTCAATGTTTACATCAAACATCATTTACTTAAGTGTTCATATAAAGCTTGTAGTTGAGCTGAACCACTTTCCGTTCTTCTTCCCAAAACCAACCAGTACTGGTATTAAATCAGGAAATTATGGCCGTAACCCAGTCAGACTTGAACCCATGATTCTTGGGTTAAGAGGCAGACATCTCAACCACTAGTCATATCATCCAAAAGGCTATTTTTGCCTTTTATTGTGAATCTCTTCTAGAACACTAAGAAAGAACTTATTTCTAGAACACATCTCAGAAAAACCTTCATTATATGATGTTAAAAGGCATTTTATATGTCAGAGTTCCTATAAAGTTGTTGTTGTTACAATATGACATACTGATAACGGGGCTTTACCTGTTTAGAGATGAGGAAGTTATACTTGTCATATATTTTACAATGTTCAATGGGTCCGACAGATTCTTGTTTGATCAGCTCCTTCACACGCTCCTTGTGAGCCTCGAGGATGTCCTCCAGTATAACTGGCTTCAATGTGGCCTTTGATTTGTCCCCACTCTGTACAATGCACATAATTATAATCATAAATAAAATGATCAAATAATAATAATCATAATTAAATAATCATAATAAAAATCATCATCATCACATCATGGTATCATATAATAATTATAATCTCATAATCATGTCATAAAATTTTTTAATAAACTATCTTATAATAATAATACTAGTCACATAATGATAATCTTGTAATAATAATAATCACATAATTATAATCTCATAATTGTAATTACATAATAAAAATCTTCTAATCATAACCTCATAATAACAATAATATTAATACATGTAATAATAATAATCGCATAATAATGATAATTTTCACTTTATAATAATTATCAAAATATTTCCAGAGTTTTTTTTTAGGATTTTGCTTAAGCCTTATAAGATCAGTCTATGCGAAAGTCAATTTTTTTTTCAGGCCACAAGGACCGAGACCCTTAGGTTTATTTCCGGCCCGGATGATATTTTTCCGGCCCAGACATTTCAAGCATTATTTTATAATAACTCGGTTGAATGTAAAACTGATTGTCTTTCTTTAAATTAGTGAGACTATCAATATAGAAACATAAGAAGATGCTGACCAATTGAAATAACTTAAGCAGGGTTCTCACTAGGTTTTTAAAAAGAGGAGTCCTTGGACTCCCAAGCACAGAAAAAGCTTATTATTCAGGAAAATGGTAGTATGTCCCAAATGGAATACATTGAACCATAAAAGTGATTGAAAAGATTTGAAATATAATTACAAAAACCCTACATCATCAGACCATTATGCTGTTTTCTTCCAGATTCACTCCACACCCCCCCCTCCCATCAGAAAATATTCATTGTATGTGACAAACACATATACTGGTAAATACCTCCATCTCAACTAATGTGAACAATATATTTAGTAATTTTAATTCTTAAACTACATTTAAGTGTTATTACACACATTTTAACAAAACAAAGTTTCCTTTTAGTTACGATTTTTTAATGATAAAAAGCGGCATCGCGAAAATATGTGACAATTGAAAATTTGTCTGTTTCCTGCAGAAACATTCACAATTCTACTTGTTGTTGATTTTGATTATATTAGATTAAATATTTTTTGATTATTTTAAGATTGTTACTCATCGGCTATTTCAATAGGCATCATAAAACAAAATTTTCAAATCTGTAATTTACGGCAAAATTTACCGTTGTTGATGAAACTTTTTGAAGACAGAGCTGACTGGTATTTATTTGACAGGTACAAAATAGATCTAAGGTTGGTCAATATCTTTTTTAATAAATTCTTCGATCACCGGGTACTTTTTATCAATCATGTCATTGATATTTTTGACTTTTTAAAAATTTTATTCGGACATGAGGACTGACGGAAAGGAATTTTTCTCGGACCGCATGATTTTTATTCAGCCAGGACCGAGGACCGACGGACTTTCGCACAGACTGTAAGATATCACTCTACAATTTAACATTTTTGGCTTTAAAGTTAAATTGATCCTAACAAACTTTGGGGTTATTAAAATTCATACTTGTACTATTAAGTAAAAGATATTGTATAATGTGACAGACAATATGTTATCTTATTTGTCTGTGTTTAACAGTGGCTCTGACATATACGCACGACAGACAATATGTAGATACTAATAAAATCATACATGCATTATTACTCAATTCCCTTAAAAAGTATTATAATTTTCATTCTTCCAATGCTTGACCTAATACATTTATAACTAAACTTAAAGGGCTTATGTTTCAAGAAATTACAAAAAAGCTCGCTAGTATAGCACATTCAAGGCAAAACATTTAGAATTCTGTATCTTACCCATTCAGAGTATAGTTTAGTTTCTACTCGTGGGACCACCTGTGATGCTTTGATCATAACATCAAACACGTTCAGAAGGACCACCTCAAAGTCCTTAAATGTGGGCTCAAACTTGATCTGGGTGTTGTCCAAGATCAGCCTCATAATGAAACCAGGGTGCTCATAAGCCCTTGTTGATATCTGCAACAGAAATAAGAACATTTAAATAAATAAATAAGCTTTAATTCAACAAACTGAAACATGTTTTACTTATAATTTATGGAAACTAATTTCAGTTTAAACAAAAAATCAAATTTGGCCTTTATTTCTTTAATATCAAGAACCCAAACCCCTCTGGTAAAGTAACCACCCTGCAAAAACAGTCAGAAAATGCACCAACAATGCAATTGGGCATATCCCCTTATATTTATGTGTGAGTCAAAATTCCTGGACTGTGTTTCATAGAAATTCCTAAGTGTATCCTAAGTCTTAGAACATAACACTGTAAGGATTAGCTTAAGACCGATAAACATTTTTATCTTCAAATACTGTAGACCACAAATAAATTAATTCTATTGAGTTAAAGTTAAGTTAAGAACCTTTTTATTTGCAACTTTCTATAAAACGCTGCTCTGACTTGGCCCAACAGAGCAGGAAAGGCATTAAATAATAGCACAGCGTATTTCCTGTTCTCCCTGCACAGGCCTGGCAAGTTAGAGGTGGGCCAGAGTTACAAATAAACGGTGCATTTATAAATAATGACTTATAAACAATATTAAAGCAGTCAATTACAGGTGGTTGGACAAGGAGATCCTGGTAGTCTTGTAATGATAGCAGTGTCAGCTGCTGTAGATTGTCCGTCATCAGGGTCGCTGCACAGTTGAAGAAAGATTCAAGCTTCTCCTGATCCTGATTGCTGGGTACCTGCTTCCTCTTATTACCCTGGTAGAATATGTTCTGTACCTCTGGGAACCATCTATGTAAAAACAAAGAAAACATTCAATACTAAAACATCCAAACAGATAATGTAAATGTTTCAAACAATAGTAACATGAGTAACAAAGAAAACATTTACAGGCAAGAATATCACTTTCAAATTAAAGAAAATTCTAGACCAATAAATACCCATTAATTATATAAACTTTATTTGAACCAATAAAAGAAAGAATTTAATTCAAATTTCTTTAAAGTAAGGAATGACAAATCAATAGATTGTTCTGCAATAATGAATCAAGTTTTGTTCTTTCTTTTTTTTAATCTTCCGGACCATACATATTCATAAATAAAATATGAGCTGCAAACAGTAAACCTTTTATGCAAATAAAGCTTTAAAAAATGTAAAACATTCATTTTGGTGGGTGGCATTATATACTTAAAACATAAAAAGAATAACAGTGACAGGCTGTTTGTGGTATATTTTTATTTAGAGGTGGTCTACTTATTTTGAATAGGTAATTACTTAGTAGGTAGAAATGGCACTATTTATGACTCCATTTCATCCCGGATTTGGCTTATCTATCAAATGTTTTATTTCAGACCTGTAAATAATACTCTCTTAACTATAAATAAAAGATAGCATACTTGCCATAATTTCTAGGTTACTTAGGTCTATCTGTATATTTAATTCTTATTTCTATTGTTTATAGCTAAAAACTGGCAATAGCATATAAATTACAATTGTAGACAGATGGGCAGAAACACTGCATACATAAATTTAAAGTCTTTAACTAGGTCAGAAATGTTCTAATTTAATTAAATAAATTTAAAGTCTTTAGCTAGGTCAGAAATGTTCTAATTTAATTTGATTGAAGAGATTAATTTATCAATTGATTACTGAACAAAAAGGAATATATTTAAATCATGGACATTAATAGTTGTATCAAATCATCATGTTTTAAAATTTCCACCACAAACCCACGTGTTCTAGATTTTTTCTTTTTACGCAGTTGGTACACACTCAAAATACTTAATTTTTTTTTCGTCTGTTATTTAACAAATTTATCTACAGTTTACCTCCTGGTTTATAAAACAAGATTTGATAATCTAATATAGGATGGCAGTAGTCTGACCTTTTATCTAACAATAAGTATTGATTTAAAATCAATGATTTTGAATGTAAATACATTGAGTTTATGCCAGGTTTAAATCATAGGGGGGATTTCTGTACTGTATACAAGATTACACATTTAAATCTAAATAATTTACTTTAAGAGACCAAGATTGGCAAAGGGAGTTTTTTTGACTTAATATTATTTTTAGTACTTACATAAAAAAATTTTTTCATAGTATAATGTACACAGCAGTCAATTTCCTGATTTTACAGCAGTAATTTTCCTGATTTAAATTTGATGTACATGGCCAAGTTGAAAAGGACATGAATTTCGAAAAACTTGTTCCCTACCCCAGTGGGTTCAAACCCTAACAGGGACTTTGGCTTCTTTCAAGTCAGAAAGCCATCCAGCTAGCTTACAGAAAGTCATGCTTGAGCCTTAACCCTTTCCCCCATGAGCATATTGTGAAAAATGGCCATTTTCACTGAAAAGCCTCCTCTCACAAGTTCAAACTGCTATGAAACTATGAAAAATGCTTCAATACTAATCAAACTTGGCACAAATGTTGACTGGACCATTGCCTTTGTAACGACATGCTCAGTCTTAAATTTCCTGTTACCATGGCAACGAGGGGACATCTCAAAATTGCCAAAAATCACTTTTTTGCCTCGATTTTTTCCATCAAAATTTATTTCAAAGTGCTGCAACTTCTCAAGGGATTGAGATAGAGTCAAAGGCTTTTCAGCGTTGGTTACACGTTACCTTATGATCGACCTGGGGTCATTTTAAGCCTCTCACAAGTCCAAAATTTTCTTGGCGATGAGGGGGACTCCGCCCCCCTTCAAACCCCCCAAACAGAAGGGGGCACATCCCCCTTCTGGCAACCCCCTGATGTAATATTTGGATGGGGGACGGCGCCGAAAAAATGGTCAATTTTTTTAACAACATTTCTCAAACGAAAAACAGTGTTTGGGGCCTAAATAGGGCATTTTTTCACTGATTGAGGCCTCAAAAAGGGGGGGGGGGCAAAAAGCCGTCGAAACACGCTTATATAAGGGAAAAGGTTAAATAACATGGAGGGAAACCTGAGGTTTTTGTCCACCAGAACAACTTAAAAGTCAAACCCTCAGCAGTGAGGGGCAAGTGGATTGAAGTCGCTTCCTTAATCACTCAGCAATGGATGCCCATCAAATGGTCTGACAACGTTGATCTAAATCTAAGAATACCTGCCTTGAAGATCACCTCTTAATACAAACCAAATACAGAAAAAACCTGTCACAGAAGATCAGCATTTTCCTTTGACAACCATAACACAAATTTTTTTTGAAGAGGACTAGATCTTCTGTTGAACAAAGACCTATTTTACTTTTCACTACAAAACTCATTCTGAACAAGTTTGCACTACAAAACTCATTCCGAACAAGTTTACCTATCTATATGGACATTTTTTTGTTAGCTTGTTACAAATTTCATAAGAAAACAAAATTAATTCAAAACACTAGACCAAGTAGAGTAGACAAACAATGTCATACTAATTGGGTCGGTGTGTTGATAGTGGGAAGTTACTTACTTTTTCATGAGTTTTTCTTTGGCTGCCTCAATATGTCTCATACACAAGTTCTGGAAACCTCCAAGTTCCATGGACTCTAGACGATTGTGGAACTCCTCTATATCTATAAATCGTAGCCGTCTGAAATAAACAATAACTCATTTAATCATTTTGTCTGTAGTTTTTTCCTTTTTTCATAAAATCTATGAGCAATCATTTGATTTATTTGTTTGTTGGAATATTCATTTAATATATTCAGCAATATTGGTTCCATGAATATTCATTCATTATTATTTTTTAACTGACTTCTGAATATTCATTAGATTCATTTTCATTCATTGAATTTATAAATATTCATTATTTTTGCTTGACTGAATTATGAATATTCATCAGATATACTTTTGATTTTTGAATATTTATTATATTAATTTTGCTTCTTTGGAGTTACAAATGATAATTAGATTTATTTGGCTTCATTGGATTTATGAAAACTTATTAGATCTGCTTAGCTTTATCAGCATTTGGTTTTATGAATATTTATTATATTAATTACTTTATCAGATTCATTTATATTTATAAGTTTTATCTAGCTTACTGGATTTATCAGAGCTTACAACAAAGTTACAAAACAACCTACCCAAATGAAACATGCCAAAGGTCGAGGACCTGTAGCATGCATGGGTTGGTGACGTGAAGGTGTGATCCCATAAGATCAAGACCCTGTACATAAGATTTGTTCCAGGGCTTGGGTACAACCTCAAGTTCCTCTCTGTGGGGTGGAAGTTTTACTTTCTTATCATCGTCCTTCTCTCGTGGATCTTTCAGTACAAAATCAACTAAAAACACAGAAAATCATCAATTATAAAATTGTTCTTATTTTTTAACAATACATTGCACATATGTTTATAATGAAATGCAGCTAATTTTTGCCAATCTGTATAATACAAAGTTTTAAAGTAGCAGATTCATAAAATAAAATTGATGAAAAGTTTCTCTTGACCGCATCCAGCCCATATCAACCTCAGCTGATAAAACTGATATTGAAAGACTGAATGTTATTTGTTATCATGTTTTACAAATGTATTGGTTTTAGCTATGCTTTGGCACCAACTGTCCCAGAGTCTACATTGTTAACACATTGACAATCCGTAGCATCTGCTAAAATGCCATTAAAATTGGTTATATTTTGTACTCAGTATATTAAAATACCATCCATGACCCTTTGCTAAATTGTTTTTTTTTCTTAAGCCCGTCTGTTGTTTCAAATAAATATGAAAACCTTGCTGTCCACAAATTATCTAAAATTATCCACAAATTATCTACTATGTGTTGAATATAGGTAAATGTATATATGTATATATTACCAATAGCTTTCTTCACACTCAGTAAATAATCTTCTCTCATCTCGTCTGATAGATTGTCTATAGTATCTAGATGTCCATCCTGTTTATAAGAAAAATCAGAGACAGATGTTTACTTTCATGCCAATCCTCCCTCAACTGGGTAAGGCTTTTAAACCTTAATACTTTTTTTGTAAGTTTACTTGCTTTAAATTTGGCCCCTTATTAAACAAGAGCTGTCCGTAAGACAGCGCGCTCGACTTTTTTATTGCTTGCCAATAAAAAAAGTTTTTGCAGTAAAAGGCAATACAAGAATCTCTGTATTTTTAAAGTGAACTAGTTGTTTGATACCCTTGAATATTACAGCAATGTTTATATGACATAATTTATGGTAAAGTGAACAAGTGGATAGGAATGAATTTTTTTAGATTTTTTAAGTTTTTTAGTGCTTGCCTATAATACAAAACATTGACAGTTAAGGGCCATAATTCAAATAAAATCTTTGACAGAATTACCTTCTCCTGGACATGTTTGGGAATCATGATTGTAAACAAGTATTCCAACTTTCAAATTAATATCTCAAACAGTTCAGTCAAAAAGTGGACTGGTACTAAAACTTAACCAAGATTCTAAGTCGATAAAAGGCCTTAATTTTTAAAACAAATCCTTGACAGAGTTACCTTCTCTTGCGTACAGATGGGGGTAATGATGTGAAATAGCATTAAAAGTTTCAAAGCAATATCTCAAAGGGTTAAGGCAATAAGTGGATTTTACCCATATTCAATGTATTTTCTAAGTCAAAAAGGGGCATAATTCTGTCAAAAACCTTGACAGAGTTATGTCCTCTTGTCTGTTGATGAAGGTCGTGATGGTAAACAAGTATGGTCAGTTTCAAAGCAATACCTCCAATGGTTTTGAAATAAAGTGAGGTGGTACAAAAAACTTAACCAAGCTCAATACACTTTCTAAGTCAAAAAAGGGCCATAATTCTGTCAAAAACCTTGACAGAGTTATGTACTCTTGTCTGTAGATGGAGGTTATGATGGTGAACAAGTATGGTAAGTTTCAAAGCCATACTTGTAATACTTCTGAAATAAAGTGGGGTGGTACGAAAAACTTAACCAAGGTGTGACGCCAACGCCAACGCCGACGCCGGGGCGAGTAGGATAGCTCCCCTTTTCATAGAAAAGTCGAGCTAAAAAAGATCAAAAAAAGGACTTTTCTCAAATGACAAGACTGATATATTTTTTTACATTTTATCTTGAAAAATTCCTAAAATTTTAAAGATTTCTGCCAACCAGTTCCAGTTATCAGGCACATGTAATACATGACATTCTATGAGAATTGAAATTTTTTTTACATTTGTAAAATCATCTGAAAAAAAAGAAAAAAAAAAGACCTCAACAGGTTTTTTTTATTTTCCCAATTTTCTTACAGAATTTGGCAATTTTAAATTCATGACTTGTTGTATATGAATCAATGCAGTTTATTAATTGCAAGGCTTGTTCATACCTTTAATTCTGAGGAAATTAAAGCGAGAACATTTTCTAGCCAGGAGTCTTCCATAGGTGCCACATGCTCTGTGTCAATACCATGGTGAATATAATAATAATATCTCTGAAAAAAACAAAACAAAAAATATTACAAATATTTAAATCAATTTTCATCTTATTTATTATAAAATGTCATATTGAACCTTGATAAATTGTACCCTTATTTGAGATTGTTTGTATGAAAGAAATGAAAGAAGAGCTGAGCATGTGGTGTTAACACCTGTCTGTTAAAAATTCTTAGTTAAAAACGGGCCTAACTCTAAAAATATAGCTTTTAGAATGATGCTTCTTGTCAAACTACTGTGCCTTATCATGATAAGCAAGCATTCCAAATTTCTTATTGCTGAGACAGAGTCTGGTCAATGTAAAGCTAACTCTGACTTCATAACAGCTGACATTTATACATGTATGTCATTGCTTTAAAGACATTTGCACTGCCATTGTTAGAAATTTCAACCAGTTTATTTTCATTCAATCAAAATGTTTTATCTTTCTTTAAAGAGATTTAATGGGGGAGACTGTCATGTAATGTCTCCTTTTACAATTAAGCAATGAGATTAATGAATTATTTATACAGATGTCTCTGCAAATGGCCAATAGGATTTTATACATGTAATAAAACACTCTACATAGCACCAGTTTTTAAGCTAACCACTCTTAAAACAATTAATCAATAAATTATTGATTTAGAAAATAAACAGCAAACTCTTTGATAAAGAGGGGTAAAGAGGTCTGGAGTTAAACTCCTCAAAACATTTGGTAAACATTTGTGACTTTCTGAAACAGTTTTTTTATAAGGTGTTGTTAAGTTGTATAAAAAAAAGTTTGGCACTATCTAGATATAAATTATTTCAGTTTTCATCACATACCAAGATGTCTTTTTCGGCAGAAGTGGGTGTACCGGTTCTTGACAAGGGCTGTAACTCTCCATTTACTGAAGCTGTAGTGCTTTGTGGGATACCCTCCTCTTGCCTAAAATAGATTTATGATAGATAAATAAAAATGCAAACAATAAAAAAAAACACTTTTTTTCAGTTGATTCAATATTGTTTATGGTATCTTATTCAATTATATCTTATGTTAAAAATTCAATATCTTATGTTAAATTCAACGAACTCCGTATAACTAAGCTCTTAAATGAGCTTGATGTAAATGTGCTCTCTTACAAATAAAATGAAAAATCTATGGCAATTTTTTCCAATCATCCCAATTTGTTTTAACTCTCATAATATTCCTTCTAACACAGAGTTGAAGCATTACTTACATAATAATATCAACAAGAGCTTTTCTAAAGTTCTCTCTGTCTTTCTTTGGTTGTTGAAACTGTGTGACATCAGCTCCATTTTGTTTCTCTATTGGTTTTAGTTTGTTTGGTTTTCTCCTTTTTGGGTCTCCTTTAAAGACAAGAAAAATTATGTAAAAATATACCTAAACATAACAGTTTCTTCCTGGGGGCGACCTAAATCAATGACCTAGATATGAATCCAGAAATTTAAATTATGATTTCACTGTTTAACTTCATAAAGAGAACTTAATTATGATCAGTGAGTTTTCACCTTCTATAACATAGGCCTATATAAGGCATCTTTCAAATCGAAGTTTTCTTTAAAATCATGCAGTTTTTCCTAAAAAGCTTAAGTTACACCAGGATGTCACAAATAAGCAGTTTTAGCAATAATTCTTCCCAAAATTAAGAGACTAAGGCCTCTTCCCAATTAACTCAGAAAAAACACTGAACATATATCTAAAGTGTTTTCTTTTGTCTTTATGAATCATTTAATAGAAAAGGTAGAAATAGTTACTTATGAGATAGTATTTGGCTTATTTGTTACAAAAGCTGTAAGTTTATTTGAATAATATTTACAAGTCTCCTGAACAAACCAGAAAAGGTGTCTTTGATAGAAAATTGTCTTGACCCAAATAGTGTTCAAACCCATGATCATGATCACTTGATTAAGCTGCCAACATCTTACCTACTAAACCAAAATTCCCTTTCCCTTATCCAATAATCCCCTACAAGTTGACAACTATACCTTTCAGTGCATGATTTACATTGTATCATAAAATATGGACATATGTGCAACAAAAAGCTTCACCATTGTTCAAAAAACAAACACATAATGCTTTCATACTTGCATGATTTTCTTTCAAAAACAATTTTTTTTTCTTTTACATATTTGTTATTTTTAAAAATCAGTTTATTTGATTTTTAATACCATTGAAATGTTGTCAACAACCAATATTCAACATACAAATCAGTGCAATCAGAAATAAAACCTATACAGATAATCTTGCAAAGTTCATCTGCCTATCTAGGTGAAACATAACAACAGACACCAAATAAAATGCATTATCAATGTGTTTTGAAATCTTACCAAAACCATTATGGCTGAGCTCCAATCTTTCTTGTTTATCTACATATTGAGGACAGATACATGTACTGTGTGCAGGTATCATTTATATATGTATGTTTCCTATATATCTAAATTAATGATACTTTAATGACAAATAGCTTTGACATGATATACAAGTATAGACCAGGGACCTTTTACAAGAAGCACTATATACATGTATTTCTAACATTAAGACTATAATAACGTTTCATAAGACATGTTTCCTGTACCACGAGGGTATAAAAATTACATTTTGTCCAAAACAAATTTGTTGTTTTTCTAAATATAACTTAACAACACCTCCTTTTTCTTCATAATTGTCTCTAAAATAAATAACTTTATTCTCTGAGTTTAATATTTATTTGGTCATAAAATGGTTTGATCTTTGTTTAGCTATCTTGAAAAATAAATGTAAAAATAACTTGTTAAAAAATAAATGTTTTTATTGTATTTTTTTCAAATGAATTTAAAAAAAATCTTAATAACCCAATCTGAAATGTGTCTTATTAATAATTTTTTTACAAAGAGGGCACGTTTAAGTTTTCAAGTAACCCTGAATAAACTTAATCAAGTCAACAAAAGAGAAGTTCCATGTCATATGAACTATGATTGACAACAAATTTACTACTGATTTCAGCACAGTAAATACCTCTATTGGGAATAGTTTCTAACACTTTATATACTTCTGGATTTTCAATTCTAGCTTCAATTAACTTAAGTTCTGCAATAGCTCTAGATGACACTGTAAATCAAATGTGGTGCATGCATTGTCCCAAATATTTAATTTTAATTCACATCTTCTTTACTATCATGTTATTTACAAATGCAAAATTACTGTAAGAATTACTGTAAGAAATCACAGAAGCAGGGAAGTTTAAGATGGTTAGTTTGCATTTAACACCCTATAGATGCATTAAAAAATTTATGACATATCATTAAGACCAGGTTTCAAAGTTAAATGTATGTATGAGTTCTATATCAAAGCTCAGGATTTTCATTGGTCACTGTACATTCTTCGGCAGTTTCTGACAAATCATATACCTAAGATCTGAGTTTGAACTTAGGAGATTTTTTTATAACCTTGAACCAGGGCATTTCTTTCCTTTTAAAATCTTGCATTTTAAGTTTGTAGGTGTATTTTTTTTCCCAAATTTATAGGAAATGCCCCTTCCCCTACCTGTGAAAAAATTGAATGCTGATTTACAAGGAATACTTACTAGCAGTTAGTTCCCCTATCAAATCAATGTGATCTTTTCCATCATCTTCAGGCACTTTCCCAGATAATACAAATGATGGTGGATTTTGTTCCCACTGCGGTTTGGTCCTCTTGGAAGGCAACACAGGAAGGAATCTGATAGGATCATTTGTCCCCTTCCCTTTACTGCCCCCATTGGTCCGTGGGCTAGGCTGTAAACAAATGAATATTTCAAAATCTTGATGAAGACTTACAAGTCAAAATGTAAACTTATATTCAAATAATGATAGAAGTACTTTTTATGTATCGTATAAGTACCTAATCTCACTGTCACACCCAACCTATTCTCAAACCTTTCATTCATAAGCTGTTTATTTTTTACTAGAACTAGTAGAAGTGCCTATGTCATCATCAACTTGTGTGCATAAAAGCTTGGTTTCTGACAGACATGTCTGTTGCTGTCAAATGAAAACAATGCATAGGAAGGGATATTTACATTACATATGTTATTACTAAGCATAACTTCATATAAATTTCTATTACCTTTGTAAGTCATGTGAATACACCAGTAACTATTAATGAAAACGAATATTTAAAACAAAAATATCTTTAAGCAGGTACCTGCTTTCTGTAGAGTACTTCAATGTAAAATGATAATCATATGACAATCACTTCATTGGCTAAATGAAGAAGTAGAATTTAGAGATACTTGGAGAGGTTTGAGATTAGGTTATTTAAGAGGCCATGTCAAATTGCAAAGAAGGGTTGTACTTTTCCAAGATGAAAGGAGAGCTGTTTAAATTGATGAATCTCAGCCAAAATTTACTGAAATGTCAAATAATGATTTAAGTGTACATATGTTAAGAAATTTATAAAATTATATTCATTTGGGCTCTAAAAGGGAATTTGGAGGTTACGTACCACGGAGGTGACGTACCACTGCATAAATGTACCATTTTTGGAGGTTACGTACCACTATAGAAATATATAATAAAGTGATAATAAGGGATAAGGTGTGAAACTATCAAGTTTATTGTTCGCGCATTAATTGTATTAATTTTGTAATGAGATTAAATATGTATGAATATAAAAGAATAAACAACAAACCAATTAACGATAATTAATAAACAAGTTTTATTTACAACAGAAAACTGAAACGAACAAACGATGAAAATCATTAATAACACTAATATAATTACACGCACTAAACTGAAATGAACAGTACAATGAAACAAACCACGGTAAATATAAAAAAAACACTTTATAGTATTATTTTTTTATTTATACGCATTTCACTGAAATTAACTGAAATAAACAAAATAATCAATATAATAATATTTCATATGCATGTTAATATATCTGGACTCTTCAGCTTGAGACTCCAACTCAATGAAGGTGGGTCTCACGTGCTCCGCAGGAAGGTATGGAAGGGCCATCAGCTTTCTAATAAAAAGGAACTTGTCCCTCTTATCAGAGTATGCGGTGGCAAATAGGTTTTCTTATTAAGAAAGAAATTATGCATGCATGTTTTGTGTGATCGCCGCGAAATTTCATTAAATTAAATTCATCAGTAATACTTACCGGAGTTTGCAATTTGTTTGTGATTTGTTAGATTACTCATTTCTGAATGTGTGATAATCATACATAAAACGTTTGCATTTATATTAATTGCTCATATGTGATTTTTAAAAAGTAATATTAATGTTATAAAATTCGGTCTTTTTTTATAATTGTTATGCTCTATATTATTTGTATTTTATATAAATTATATATATGGTACGTATCCTCCAAAATATATAAGTGGTACGTAACCTCCAAAAATGGTACGTAACCTCCTGGTACGTATCCTCCGTGGTACGTAACCTCCAGTAATCTCTAAAAGACCCCTTGAATGCTTAGAAATTTGAGAACTGGTTTGTCTACGTCATTTCATAACACTGGCACAATTTACTAATCTAATATTTTTTTCTTCTTCTTATTTCTATTCCTAAAATGACAGCCTGCAAGTTGTCAATATAACATAATTGTGTTTGGATATGCATGTGATGCTGGCAATCAAATTTTCAAAATGAATGTATGAGAAGACAAATCTTAATTGTGAGACGTTGATCTACATTGTATTATTAAAAAATTCACCAATTCATTGCAACTGACAATCTTGCCAAATCAAAAACTAATTATTTTTAGAATGCCTTAAGCATTTATGATGAAACAAATGTAGAAAGATGCATCATTAAAACAATATCAAGATATCAAAACAAATGCAAACATCGAAGTACAATGTAAATGTTATGCAACTGTCACAAATTGATAATTTCTACCTATTTTAAATGTATATAAACTGCTTTAGAAATATAAAAACCGAAACGGTTATCACTCTCAAAGAATATGCTTTACTTTTAAAATAAATGTCAATTACGTAGAAGACTTTGACTTTGTTATAAATTTGTGTATTTGTGATTTTGTCATAAAAAATGCCAATATTTTTAATGGGTACGGATTTACCTGAATTTCAGCCATCCTCACAAGTTGTAAATGAAAAACACCATAAAAATTATCCTGTGAATCGGTTTATCTGTCCAATGTTTTTCAAAACAGCTGTTGGAAAGAAAAAAGTGAAAATATCCGATTGTTTTACTGCAAACAACCTGCTGTTTGAATTACAAATGGCCGATTTCGGCTTCTCTCGTTGCTATGGAATAATTTTTTTTTAAAAGATTACTTTTGATTTTGTTATACACTTAATCCTAATATTTTGTTATTTTAGAAAAGGAGTTACAAGTGAAATCAAATTTTATTGTAATTTAGAAAAAAATATTTTATTATTTTTGACTGTAAAGTTATAGTCTGTTTATAAAACTCCTATGGTTACGACAGAAGGAAAACCCGACGCGCACCTGCAAAAACGCAAATGTTAACGATTCGTTTCATTGATAACTCGTAACACAATAAATCGCCCGATTTTAGTGACAATTTGCCTCTACTTTAGAATAATTTTCTGAAACGTGCATTCAATAATTTGCATGAATTAATTACTAAAGTATTGTTTGTTTTTGTACCGAGCTTCAATCTAAGTCTGTGACTGTGCCTCCACTATAGGGGGATTTGCCATTTAGGGTCCGTTCGTTCGTCCGTTCGTGCGTGCGTTCTCATGTTGTCTCATGGGAACAAGACACTCTATTCAGACACTTCACCCCTGAATTTTGAAGACACTTAACCCCTCAAGACACTTCATTCCCCAAATCAGTAAGACACTTAACTCCTCATCTAATAGCTGAATCTGTACATAAATCTTGTCTCACATGTAGCTACACCGATGTACAGTCTTCACCTCCTCGACGTCGATGTCTACCTGGTGGGTATTGTCGAGTAACCCCGTTGAAGTTGAAGCTCTAAAATTGCTTGAGCCAGATCTAGAGTCAACAAAATTTTGTACAAAATTTGTGCACCTGTGGTTTAATTGTGGATTAATTCAGTTTGCCACAGAGTTATTGCCCTTGATTTAGTAAAAAAAAGTATCGTGCGTAGCACAAAAAGTATTTGACATAGAGTCATGAAAATTCACAGAAATATTGATCAGCATGTGAAGTCACAAGTGCACCTAGGGTTTCGCTTTAGATTTATTCAGTGTTTGTAGAGTTATTGTCATTGACTTAGAAAAAAATGCAATTATAAACTTGTGTCGTTCGTAGCCAAAAGGTATTTGACACAGGATTATGAATTAAACTTTACAGAAATGTTTGTCAGCATGTGAAGTTGTGCTACTTGGTGTTTTGCATGTGGACTTTTGGAAGTTTGGAATTTTCAACTTATGTCGCCCGTAGGTCTACCAGAAGATACTTTACCTTTAATTATGAAACTTTACAGAAATGTTGGTCAGCAATAGTACTAGTTGTGGGTGTACTGGGGTGTGCTTGTATATTTTGTCATTAAAGTTTTCTTGACTTAGTGTAAACTATTCCAAAATGTTGTGTCATGTGTACCTCTAAAATGATTGAGCTAGAATTAACCGTCAAACAGGAATGCTAATAAGCATGTAAAGTTGTGCTCCTTGGTTTTGCGTACACGTGGATTAATTTATAGTTATCCACGGATTTATATTACAATAATATAAATCCGTGAGTTATCTTAGAGTTTTTGCCCTTGTCTAAGTATTAATTTTAAATTTCAACGTGTGTGCCTGACGAAGCCCAAAAAGTACGTGTATATTTGATTGAGTCATGAAATATCACAGGACTGTTGGTCAGCATGTTTACGTTTTGCTTGTCGATTTATTTAGTATTTGTAGAGTTATTGAAATGTACGTGGGGCACCAGTGTCCTATGTACTCATTTCTATTTTTTTTGACAGAGCTATAATGTTTACAAGTACTAGTATAATGCTATCAATAAAAGGAATATTTTGTGTGTTTTACGAAAGGAAAAACATTAGTTTAATAATCTGTTGGGTATTTGAAATTTAAAATAGTCATCCCATTCGAATAATCATAATCATATTTGACCTCTAATGATATTTTGATAAAAAATCTTTTTTTAAGAGAAAACTTTTCAGGTTTCCTTGATCAAATTGATCAACTTGATCGTTTTGGTGTTGCTGTGGCATACGGGTATAAACAATCTACTTTGACTGCTTGATGTTACAATGGTGAACTTATTAAAATGTGTAACCATCTATTAATTTTTTTATATAAATCGTGAATACCATGGAGCTTTCCCGTTAATAATAATTTGTCATGAAAGTCTTTGTGAATATTCACGAATTCGAAATGCCGCTATACACACGGGTCAATTTATTTGTTATATCTTGGACAGAAAGATCCCAGATTATATCAATGTTCATATTGCCGTGCGCTGTTCGTCATTTAGTCGCGGGAAAAGTATACTTAACGTCCGCGCATGCGTCGATTATTATTTGTCTCCGTGGCTTCTGTTATCACCTGCTATTGTCTTGTATAACGTACGCTTATTAGCGGAAATTCACGAAAACGGCCGAAACTATTCAACTATGTCTTTATCTCGTGCAATTTTGTTAATTGTTTTTGTATGTCCAATCGTATTGTGCGTTGTATGAAAGAGATTTGAGAGAAAGTTTTACATTGTTTTTTTTAGCATTTCCTTTCTTCCAAATTCCCGCGAACTAAATCCTTCTCCAGGTCACTAAAATATCTTTATTCTTTTACGAGTATAGATATACTGAGTGTACTTAATATATAAATTCTATTTGTTTAATAAAATTTTTGGAAATATCTTATTATTAAGTTATTTTCTTTATTTATTGAGATGCTGTACGTGGTAGGATTTTTTTCCATTTCATTAATTTACTTGAAATTAGTTCTTATTTGCATCGCTCAATTGTTGTATTGTTATATTTAATGTATGTTTTAATTAACTTGTATTATAATCATGTTTAAAATTATGTTTTAGGCTTTTTCCTCGTATATATTACAATTAAATTGACGAACCTACGTCAGGAGTTGTAGATATAATTCTACCCAGAGACACAATCTTTAAAGAAAGACTGACAGTTCCATTCGAAAATATACACATGGTATTAGTAATTATTATTTCTGTTGAATAAATAAAAAATTATCTTTATATTATCCTTTAAATGATGTAAAGTGTTATCTTTCAAAATACTTTTAAAATTTCTTAGGGCGAATCGTTATGGAGCGAATCATTCTTGGTGCAAAACATTGTATATCTTTCCAAAATGTGATCACCTTGATAAGAATTGTTGGAACTTAAGAATGTTCCATGGTTTTAGAGATTTGGCTGGACTGGCATTCGGTATTTTTGTCGCTGGAGTAGGAGGAATTGCTGTATTAAACAGGCAAAGTCACCGTAAATAAGCATTTTACTCTGATGATTATTAAAACGTCCCCTTGTCAAAACGTCCCCATTTTATGATTTTATTTACAAACACATTTAGATATTTAGTATAGTATTATAAAAGACGTTGAGATATGATTCTTTTTCTTAAATTAACGGCTAGATCTATTAAGTTTTGTTGATATATTATTTCATTGATATGTATATATATAATGATCAATAGCCGCATGTGTTTAAACCCCGTCAGGTGTTTAAAGATGTTTCCTGTGCTAAATTGTTTCCTTGAGCAAGAAACTTTACACTCATTGCTCATTGTGGTTGGTTCCAGGAACAGATTCGAAAATGTATCAATAAGCTTGTAGCTTCCTACACAATCAAACTAAAATAAATTCTGTATAAACCAATGTAATTATATATTTTGACTAACATCCAAAGATGCATTCTGAGATATACATGTAATGTATGGTTGGGTTAGTCTCTATATTTCGACTGCAAGACAGACAGATTTTATAATCTGATATTTCATAGATGTCTGTCTTTAAGGGCAACTATCATCTATATAAAAAAAAGCCCTTAAGCGCACAATTTGTTGGGCTAGGTTATGGGTCAGAATCTAGCCTTTGCTTGTGAATTAAGAGACATCAAGGTAGCCTAATTTTTCATAAAAGGGTTTCAAAGTTAGTGTCAGTACCATTTTTTAAATGCCCCAGTTCTATGTAAGAAATTCAAATTTTGAGTTTTAAGGCTTATATGCCATGGACCTCAGAACTTTGAGTTTCTTTATACATTGTATGAATTTTATTTTATTTAATTTGATAGTGTTGGAAGCTGTAAGTTAAAAAAAATAACCAGAGCTATAATGAGTGATATGTTTACTTAATTTATATAATGTTTTTTTTTCTACACAAAGGGGAATAATTCAGTAAAATCCATGCTAGAGTTGCAGACCTTGACCAGTTTTCTACTTACTGTTGTGAGCTATTAAAGATCCTGTATGTTTTGTGATTGATATTGTTACTTGCAAAAAGTATATAATTTATATGCAAATAAAACAATTTTCAAACATTAAAGAATATGTTAAATGTGTACTGCAAATATTTGTGCATATTGTTTTTAATCAATAAATTACATGCATTCAATTCTTATTGACAAAATTTGACATAGAATTTATAGAAAATAAATTTCTAATTACCTCCCTTTATTTACATGAAATGTTAAATTGGGCAATATCTTTATAAATAATGCTTATTTGAACTTACAATATTGACAAATCTTAATTTGAGCATCATATTTATGAAATAAAACCATGAAAAAATTGTGTTACAGGATCTTTAAGTCTTAAACCAGCATGTCTCCTTTACTTTCATAATTTTTTTTTCAAATGTATTCAAAAGTGATATGTTATGAAGTAAAGAAAGAAAGTTGTTTACCTATTGCAAGCGACACTTACAATAATATATTTAACCATAAAGAGGTAAAAAAAAATGCAAAAAGTAGTCCCAACTGCATTAATCATGCAGTAGAATAATGATGATATATGCATGTAGGAATTATGACTTGAATCTTGATTTTTTTATAGCAATTCTTAAAATCTTAGTGCCTTTTTCTCAAGTTTGATTTTCTTGAAATCTTTAGCTCATTTGGAGGCATGCAGCTTTAAACTGAACCCCAAAGGATTGGTTTATGTTTAAGTACTATAAGCTTAAGTAGTGTGAAGAAGCTTTAGAAAAAGGGGCGATTTATTTATACATGCATGTATGTTACTTGTAAATGCTTCTGCACTGGATATTTCAGGCAAATTGAATGAAGCCGATTATATACAGGAACCATTTCGTATTCTGATGGAGTATCCACATGCCGAGGAGATCCTTGGAAAAAATATCAAGAAAAGGAATTTGAACCTATCTGACCCATTCAACGGGAAAAATGATGACTTTGCACAGGTACATTTATATTTGTTTGTTTGTTTGCTTAATTTGGTTTTACGTCATACCGACACATTATAGGTCATATGGCGACGTGCCAGCTTTACTGGTGGAGGAAGAATTCAGGTGCCCTTCCGTGTATTATTTCAGGCACAAACAGGCGCCTAAGTAGAATGACCGATGTTCTGTAAGCTAGATGGATATAGCTTCCACATATTAAAGAATCCAAAGTGCCTGTCGGGATTCGAACCCACAGCGGTGAATGGCAAGTGGAGGTACATTATATGAAATATAGCATCTGCGTTCTTTGCAATTGTTGCAATTGTTTTCTACTTTAGCGAAGGCTGTGGTTCTGATAAGATAAGGAAATTCATAAAAACAAGAAATTGGTATATTTTTACTTTTCAAGATTTTTCAAATTCTCAATTATGCCCCAGTTTTTTGCTCATCTGAGTGCCATGGAGTTTTATGCGTTCACTGAAAATTTATTGAATCTCAGTATTATACTATTTGCAGTGTTTACAAAATAGCATAATATCCATAATATCCTTTAATAATTTTCCTGTCACAGATTGTAATTCCTGTTGTTGGATCTAAAACTCAAGGAATGTTGTATACATGGTTATCAAATACTGCCGAGGAGAACGATTCTGGTAAAAAAACAGAAGAGAAGTAAGTGTAACAGCATTTTAGTATTGTAACAAATAAACCATGACAAGACGTTTTACACATATAATTATCTTCTTCAGACTTTCTTACTTGACTTTATCTCAGAAGTATATTAAAGGAACTCCACTGAGGCTGGAACATACGATACGCACCTCATCCCAGACTGAGGTCAAAAAGCTTAAAAACATAAATTATAAGATTCTTACAGTACATAAATCAAGTGAATTACTTAAAATGGAAAAAATATGCAAAGGATACATTTTGTAATTAGAATACGCTCAGAATTGAATCTAAAATCAACTCTTTGTCCGTATTTAGCTTGATTTAAGTTAAAAGTGATGCCATCATTTTTTTAGTTATTTTGCACAATGGAAATGATGATTTTGGAAATTATGCCTCAGAAATCAATAGTTTATTCATTGTTTACAAATGTCATATTTGGTTTAAATAATGAAGTTAGAGCATGCTTGATGTTAAACAACTAAAGAAAGTACCATTTGACTCCCAGGAACCATCATCATAAGTTTACCAACTGCAAGAGAAGCAAAAGATAATTCAAGATATTAAGACAAATTTTATTTGTACTACATGTACTAAGTTATGACAAACAGTACAAAACATAAGGTTTAAAGGAACTCCACTGAGATTGAGTAGCATAAAATAATAAATTTTGAAATTTTTTCTTAAATAAACTGATAATGTTAAATTTGAAACCAAGCAATAGATGAAATATAAATATACACAGTATTAAATTCATAATCGATTTTTAAATGCCATATTTGGTCAATTTGATTGAAAAGCGTTGCAACAGTTTTCACTTTTTCTGCCAATATGCACAATGAAATTGATTATTTCTGGTAAACTGATTTAGTGAATGATCTGAAATTTTGTACACAAGTTATTGGTCTAGACATACATATACATTTAGTTATACAAAAATCTTTTCGGTCCCTTCACATAAAAAAAAACCTCAGTGGAGTCCCTTTAAGCTAGTATCCAACATATTGCCGATGAGTAACTTTTTAGAACATAAAAATGTATACCAAGTTTTTGAGAAATAAAAATGATAGCATTTCAGGGGATTAATGGGCCTTTAAGGTAACAGCTATTTTGCTTAACTTCGGGATTTATATTTTCAGGTGGCGTGTGGACAGAGCAGACATTATGTTACCTACTCATAAAATACCCGTCACATTTTATAAACATCCAGAAGCTGAATATGTTGAAGATATCAAATTTGAAGAAAAAGATTTTCAGAGATGATTTAAGCAATTTGTTTAATTTTAGATAGTGCTAATGTTCAAATGTGATTCATTATTAATGTGAAAATCAAGTGCGTGAAATTGTTGTTGTACATTTTTCAGGTATTACAAATGTTCATGCATTATAAATAATGGATTATATGAAAATCTTTGATATTCAGATTGGTATACATTAACAGTGACATTATGTCAAGTTGAGAAGCATTGGCTATTTATTTAAAATGACTTCTATAATTAACCAAAAATTGATCATGACAAATCATGAAATGGTTGGGATACAAGATAAAACCTGCCTAAAATATAAAAAAGACTGCATTATTTATGAGTGATAAAATTGCAAAGGATATTTATTTATTTATTGTAAATGATAATGATAAAATGTAAAGCTATGTTGTCTTTTTACTTATTATACCCCTGAAACGAAGTTTGAGGGGTATATAGGAGTCACCAGGTGGTTGGTCTGTTTGTTGGTTGGTCGGTCCAGCGGTCTGTTGCATTTTTCTTTGTCCGGAACATAACTTGAAGACTAATGGTTTGAATTCAAAACAACTTCATACAATGGTCAAGCTCATTGGGAGGAAGTGCAGTGCACAAGAACACTAACTATATCTTTACTAATTAAAGAGTAATTGCCCTTTGTTACCTTTCCTTGTCCAGAGCATAACTTGAAAACTATGGGTTGGAATTCAAAACAACTTCATACAATGATCGAGCACAATAAGGGGAAGTGCAGTGCACAAGAGCCATAACTATATCTAAAGTAATTACAGAGTTATTGCCTTTTGCTACTTTTCCATTACTTTCTTTTTACAGACCATAACTTGAAGACTAATGGTTGGAATTCAATATAACTTAAAACAATGGTCAAGCACATTGGGAGGAAGTGCAGTGCACAAGAACCATAACTCCATCTTGACTCATTATAGAATTATTACCCTTTCTTACTTTTCCTAGTCTGGGGCAAAACTTGAAAACTCCTGGTTGGAATTCAAAACAACTTCATACAATGGTCAAGCACAATAAGAAGAAGTGCTGTGCAAAAGTACCATAACTCTATCTAAAGTAATTACAGAGTTATTGGCTTATTGCCCTTTGTTACTTTTCCGTTGCTTTTTTGTCCGGAGCATAATTGGAAGACTAATGGTTGAAATTCAATACAACTTCATACAATGATCAAGCACATTGGGAGGAAGTCAGGGCACAAGAGCCATAACTGCATTTTGACAAAATACAGAGTTATTTCCCTTTTATACTTTTCCTTGTCAGGAGCATAACTTGAAAAGTACTGGTTGGAATTCAAAACAACTTCATAGAATGGTCAAGCATTATAAGAGGAAGTGTAGTGCACAAGAAACATAACTCTGTCTAGAGTAATCATTGTGTTATTGCCCTTTGTTACTTTTCCATTGCTTTTTTCTTGTCCAGAGCATTACTTGAAAACTACTAGTTGGAATTCAATACAATTTCATATAATGGCCAAGTATATTGAGAGGAAGCGCATTACACAGAAATTCTAACTCTTTCTTGACTCATTTAAGAGTTTTTGCCCTTTGTTCCTTTTTATTGTCCAGTGCATAACTTGAAAATTAATGGTTGGAATTCAATGAAACTTCATACAATGGTCAAGGGCAGTGAGATGAAGTGCAGTGCACAAGAACCATAACTCTATTTGCACTAATTACAGTTATTGCCCTTTGTTCCTTTTCCAGTGCATAACTAAAAAACTTGTTTAGAATTCAACGCAATTTCATACAATGGTCGAGCACAATGAGAGGAAGTGCAGTGCTCAAGAAGCCTAACTCTTCCTGGATTTATTACAGTGAATTTCAATAAAACTTCATCAATGGTCAACCACATTGTAAGGAAATGCAACATACAAGAACCACAACTATCTTTAATTGCCCACAACCATAACTCTTTTTCAATTCTTTTACAAGGTATTCTGTTACTTGTAACTTCCTCATTTCCTTTGTTCACTTTAAAAAAAGGAAGGTTTTTACACTATCAACACATAACAGCTGGAAATAACCAACCAATTAATATACTGGCAATAGTAGGGATTTTTTTTCAATAAACAAAATTTATGCAATTTGAAATCTGTACTTCTTGTGGCATCAGATTCTAGTAAATTTATAAGAAAATGAATATTCAAGGGTAACTCTTTAGAATTGTCAGTGTGCTACCTTATTGTTGATTGCCAGATGTCTTGTTTTTTGTTATAAAGATGACATCATTGTGGAAATATATTGACATTTTTTTACCCCCCCCCCCCCCAAAAAAAAAAAAATCCTTCTATTTCTGACATATTTGTCATTTTGATATCATAAAAAGTTTTATGTTGCCATCATGGCCCCTTTGTTTACCAGTTTGCCCAGAATTCCTGTATTACTGACATATTGGTCATTTTGATATCATAAAATGTTTTATGTTGCCATCATGGCCCTCTTGTTTACCAGTTTGCCCAAAGTTCCTGTATTACTGACATATTGGTCACTTTGATATCATTAGATGTTTTATGCTGCCATCATGGCCCTCTTGTTTACTGGTTTGCCCAAATATAATGAAAATGTATAACAGGGAGCATCTAGGGTGAAATATAAACGTAAGTGGAAAATGTGTAACTGCATGTGGGGCCATTCCATTAACAGTAAAAACCGAAAAAGTTGATAGGGTAAAGTAAAATAATTCCTTCTAGAATCTAGTACCCATTTGTAAAAAAGCAGAATTTGTTGCTTTTCAGAATAATGAACTGTCTAGCTGTAACAAATAACATAAAGAAAATATCAATTTTATAACAGCTTGAAATCTGGTGGATGAGTAGGTTTTATTTGTTATTGCGTTTGCATTAAGCAGTTCTAAGTCCTTAAAGATGACATTTGAAAACTATCATAGATCTGTGATAATACCTGTTTTAATTGATTGTTGATAATTTAGAAGGTTTCACCGTTTGTTTATAATCCAAATATCACGTAATTTTATTAAAGTAAAATGAATAAAACTGTGAGTCAATACACATTTAATGTTATAACGAACATGCCTTGTAATGTTTTACACCACTGAATATTGATTATATTTCACGAAATACAAAGGGAGGTAACAACGACAAGTGACGGTCAAATGGCGTCTTTCCAGCTTTACTGGTGAAGGCGTTAGTGAAGGCTCAGATGTAAGATGCCGCTTTATACATGATATCAGACACATACCAAGATGTACCTCCTTTCATGATACTCCCTATGTACCTGGGTAGAACCAGCGACCGTTCAGCAAGTAGATAGATAGTGGTCCTCACACAAAATAAATCCAAAAACTGTTTATGAGGTTCCAGGTTTGATTCAAAACATGAGAGGTTTGTACGTAAGATTAACCACTTGTAACAGAGTATTATTAATTAAGTAAACATATTGTTTGACCAACAGAAGGTCACGCAGGTCATTCAGTGGCTTAATCTAGTCGTCATTTCACACAGAGGTGCATGTGGTTTCCATCTTGCGTCTTTGGTAAATGATGTGGCAATAGACTGCGGGTGTTGTGAGCATATACCTCCCTGGCAAAAGAAACTTCAGTAGTTCAACTAGAGATTCACAATTATTGGCAGGGTTCAATTATTTTTGAGGCTTATATGACAACTTTTTATCTGTTCACGAGCGTACAACGTTTTTACCGCGTATCAATCATAATAAAAATATGTTAGCACGAAAAGTGACAGTCCACATTAATTGTAATATGGTTGACAATCTCAACAAAACATATAAAGCGGTCAGAATAAGTACCCAAATACCACTACTTAGTAGACGCTTGCTATTATTTTAAAACTCAAATTTAACTTGCATACCTGACCATGGAGCTAAATATATATATCTGTGACCTGACGTAACATTTAATGCTCTGAATTTTTACAAGAAAATACTCTTTTGATAAAATGGTTCACAAATATCAAGCACATCAATCACATTTTCCTGACAACGCGCCGCGAGTCCTCTATTATTATTATTATCTGTAACTTTATTTTTCAGTATTTAAAACGTTGTAGCTTAGTGTAATATTCTGAAAACTTCAGCGACCGAAAGGAACTCCATATCAATTTACGGGTTACATGCAATCACCTTTTTAATTCAGATGTCTTGAAGATTATTTTCTTTAAGTCACACACCAGGGAGCATGGTTTAGACCAAATGTATTTTAATGCAGGCCTACACAGTGCCATGTCCAGACCTGATCATGCAAAATCAATCTGTATACTTTTATAATTAAGACGATAACAAAGATGCTTAGACGAAACATAATATTTCAAGATAAAGAAAAGTTACATATACATGTACATGTACACCGGTTTATTTACTTCCGGATAAAACACGTGACATGATAATGTCGTCCAGTATTAAAAAACCGTGTGTTTCAGAACAAGAAATAATGCTTGCAAGAGTCATATGGGACTACATGAAGCTAAATCACGTCTGCCAAAAGGTATAATCGTTATTATTTGTTATCACTAAGTTCGTGTACGGTGTTACTTTAAATAGACATGGTCATTTGTAACTCACAATCGGCAAATGTTCAAAGACTTTCAGCTATTTAATTTCAATGAAATTTATGACTACCAAACCTACCAATGAAGCTGGGTGAAGTGTAGATGTCATATAAAATAAGTCTGCTTAGAGATTTAAAATTATTTCCTCTGTTTGCTATAGAAAATACTCAGTAAATTAAAAACAATACATGATACTGTTTTCAAAATCTGAATTGGAACCCCACTCACGACGATGCGATTGTTGCGCATTCATATAGCATTGTCATGCGCTTATTCTAGTCCAAAATGAGATTCCAAATAACACAATCTGACAGGAAACCATATTTATAATGCTAAATATGTGCTTGTGAAAGTTGGAGATATTATTTATTTTATTTATACATTTTACTACAGAGTGATGTAATACTTTGTATGTGTAGCTATGATATACGTGTAGCAGATAAGGCAGCATCTCTGTTTCTGCAAGGAATGGGAGACTGGCTAGTGATTTCCGGAAATACCGGAAAACTTACAGAAAGTAAGCGGATAAATTATCATTATAATTGTTGCAGGAATTGTCGGATAAAGAGTTGTGAAGTTAATTCAGGGTTGTATTTACTTATTTAAGTTAAATAGCTTTTATTTTTAAGACCACGTGGCGACTTAACTTTTATGGTCAGTATAGATGGCACTTTGTTAGGTAAGGGGCCTTGGGTAGAACCATGAACCGAGCTTTTGCTAATTTGATAGCTTCAGCTCATCATTTAAATGTATAATTATATTGTTCATTAATAACATGCACCGGATATAAAGTGATAACTTTTAAAGAACTAACGTTAGTTTTTTGTTTGTAGAAAAACTCACAAGTTGTGTAATTTGTTATTAGAGATAAGTTGTGCAATTGGTGATGATTTTTTATAAAGAAATTGTAAGCTGACATATTTTGTGTAACAGATAAAGGCTGATAACGGCATTATGAATACCAAGTCCATTTTTATATTTTTTAAGACTTGTGGACAGAGCCGGAAGCAATCATTTTTGCGGAGAGGGCAAGGCAACTAGGTGTTTCTGATGAAAAAATCATCCTTGAGACAAAATCGACAAACTCTGGCGAAAACGTTCGTTTTACGCATAAGATATTATCAGAGAAAAAAATGCATCCACAGTCGTTTATCCTTGTGCAGAAACCGTATATGGAAAGACGTGCATACGCCACGTTTATGAAACAGTGGCCAGATGCGCTTCCTCCGGAAGCAGTGGTTGTGACGTCACCGGATATAGATCTATTGGATTATCCGAACGAGGCTACAGGGACGCTGAGTGATGTAATATCTGTAATTGTAGGAGATTTAGCTAGAATTAAACTTTACGAAGACATAGGGTTTCAGATACCTCAGACAATTCCAGATTGTGTGCAAAAGGCATATAATGATTTAATTACATGTGAAAAATTCAATACCCACATGCCTCTGTAAAACATATAGATTACTAAATGTCTAAATTCATATGTTTCCATTTTGTTTTGTACTTTAAGTCTTTATAGGTAAATGTCTCTTTCAATGACACAAAAAGTCTCATAGAAAAGATATAGATCTATTTACATATTGTTAAAAATAAAATTCCATTTATGTAATCTTTATCAGTCAAAAAGTAGCGTGTTTATGTACTCATGTACTCAAATTTCAGGTCAACTATTCATTTGTCCGCACACGTAGGCTATATGTAGTAGTCGCACTTTGTTTTATTTTCTATACATAGATAGATTCTATATCCATCATAACTTCATGTTTCAAAGACAGTTACACAATTTGAAAGCCTGTTTTTCGTATTCCTTCTTTAGATAAATTAATATTAATATATGTGCAACTATATTGCTTAAATATATATAGATTCTAAAACAACAACAAGACAAAAAAAAACAACAACAAAAAAAAACAAAAAAAAAACACCCCCACCAGAAAAACAACAATTGAAACGAGCAACAATAACACAAAATATTAACGAAAGGTTAATGATGGTCCTGGATCGCTCATCTGAGGTACGTTGGAAGAAAGGGTCGCATTCTTTTCCGATACAAAAGTAATTTTAACATTGGGTGTGTCAGTTTTTTACTACAGCTGCATAATCGATTAAATACTCAGAGATGGCCACATATTTAGACTATTTACAATGCGTTTTACTATAAAAGTCTATATAAATAGAAAAAAGGGTAGTCAACTGCACATTCTATAATGTTCCAAAAAAGTATTTTTTACATATAGTTTTGCTTGTGTTTTTACTATTTGAACAATAAAGGTCTATATAGTTAATACATGTATTCCAATTGATGGGGACAGGGTCAATTTTAATAATGAAACTTATAAGTTATAAGTGATGTTAAATTGCAAATATATATGTTCCGGGCATTACAAGATTTAAAAGACATGTTACCTATGTATGTAAAAAGTCTATACAACCATTTTTATCTAAGAAGCAAGATTGATATAACTTTTATCATGATTCACAAGGCAATGCTAATGGTGAGTCGAAATGACGCGTGCAAAAGTTAGGACCCTGCGGCCAAGATCATAGGAGTCAAATTTCAGGTAAAAATATGAAAATGTGTACTGGGACCATTCAGTCATCATTCATTGAGGGATTGAAACACAAATGGTCATAATCATGACTACTGGTGTGATACATGTGATTAAGGTTAATATATGCAACGTCAAGGTCACTAAAGATGATAGTAAAGGTCACTAAATATAATACAATATAGAGATTTGTCCAGAGCATATCTCCTACACATATACAGGGATTCTAATGAAACTTCATACAAATGTTCATCATTATGTGTAGCAGTGGCATGCGCATGTAATAGGTCTCCAGGTCAAAGGTCAAGGATACACTTGTAGGTCATTAAAAACGCTTGTCCGGAGTAAAACTTATACATGCATAAAGGGATTTCAATATAACTTGACACAAATGTCCCCGATTATAAAGCGGGATGTCGCATGCAAAATTTAGGTCCCTGCGGCAAAGGTCAAGGTCACACATAAGGGTCAAAGTTCAGATAAAAATATGAAAGGTATCATTTATTTGGGGGATTGTAACACAAATATAACTGCTGGTGTGAAACATGTAATTTAGGTTAATATGTGCCCAAGGTCAAGGTCACTTAAGATTGATTGAAAATAATAAAATTTTGTCAAAGAGAGCCATATCTCCTCCACGCATTGTGAAACTTGATTAGAAATATTACCACCATTTTGGTTTGTTTGTTTTTTTTGGTTTTTTAAAGGGATCAGTTGTCAAGTGCATGAACCATGCTTCTAGGTCAAAGGTTAAAGTCAAACATGGAGGTGCCGAACTTCTAAATTCATTGGGAGATTTTAATGAAACTTGGCAAAAATGATCTCCATTGTGAGGCTTGTTAATTGCACAAATTATTCAGGTCCCTGCCATCAAAGTCAAAGTCACACAGAGAGGTCAAAGTTTGTGTACGGGGCCATTTAGTCATCATTTATTGATGGATTGTAACACAAATTATAACTATCATGACTTAAGCGTGACACATGTAATTTAGGTTAATATTTGCAAGGTCAAGGTCACTAGAGATGATAAAATATCCAAATATTTTCCGGAAATTGTTCAGAGCATATCAGAGCATATCTTCTATATGCATATCTATAATACTCACATCTCTGTCAAAAGCTTTTGCGCCGGGCGTATTTTGCGACAATGTTGCCCTTGTTCAGTTTCAGGAACTTAAAATTCTTTAAAAATAGGTCATTTAAATTTTTAAGATAAAAAGCATAGGTTTAGAGAAGTAGGAGAAAAAAGCAGACCCGCTCTTTTTTCGTTTTTTAAATTTTACACACAGGCTCAAACGGAAGTAACCTACATGAAAATAAGAAAACAATTTTCATTGTGAATTATCTGCCCTTGAATTATGCAAACAAATCCAATTTCGGGCAGAAAACTCAAAAACAAGAACGGTGACCCAAAAATGTTTTTCGCTTAAAAATGTTTCTGTTATAATATTCTAACAGCACACCAAGTCTAAAGTATTTCTATTGAACAGTTTTAATTTTGCCTACATATCTATATTAAAACTCCTGTAAACGTCTTTAAAAAAAGGACACCGGCTTATCTATCGTGATTAGGGTTCACATGTCTTTATCTATTTAGATTGAGTCGTGAAGTTAAGAAAAAAAGAAACAACCTAATTTGTTAGACAGGAAAGATGAGACAAGACTGTCTGACAGGTAACAATTTTAAATGATTTAATAAATGTGTTTAATTTAATTTTCTTTTTGGTTCAATATTTGTATGTTTTTGGCTTAAGTTTTCTGCCTTGACAACTCCAGCAGACGAATAAGATATCGGACGAGAAATATAAATTTACATACAAGGGGGTCATTCTTGTTTGCAAAATGTGGCAATAGCGTACCGCAACGTTCGAATTGAAACCAGATTATTATATTGATATTTTGGTAATATTTTCTATCAATCGGAACATCTCGGCTATTATCAATAATAATAATACATATCCGAAGCTTGACGGAAATTGTCGAAATGTTGCAATTGTTTTTCTCGTGGTCATATTAAAACCCACAGATAGCAGATATATAAAACCCACTGATAGCAGATATCAATCATTTTAAAGGATGGCACAAAAAAAACCAAAACAACAACAACAAAAACAACGGAGTATATAGAGCTATCTTATTTCCATTGTGGTCCCATATTGATCAAATGAAAATTCCAAACGGACCGATAAAATTTCCAAGTTCTTATGTACGAACGTTCGTAATCGACAAAAGCTTTTTATGGACATTCTTTCTCTGATGTTGTTTTAAAATTGTTTCATAAAATTATCTTAAAGTCATGCGATCCTAATCTTGTGTGATAAGGAGTGCTTAAATTAGAGACACCATAGAGAGTTGTTTAACATGTCCGCTTATAAAGGGTTTTCCGACTTTTCTGCGTCAATTATTGACGCTGTGATTCAGTAACGTTAATTTCTACAATAATTAAAGATCCCGTATGTTGTAATTAAGGATGTAACAACACTTTAATGAAATCTTATATATGTATATAATTATTCTTCTAAAAGAATTTCCAAAAATACAAGAGTATGTTAAATATGTACTGTAAACGTTTAATCGCATGATAAGTAATCATTAAAATCTAGGCATTAATTTCTTATTGAAAAATATCGAAAATAGATTTCTAGTTACCTCCCTTTTTTACATGAAATATAAATTCGGTAATATCTTTAGAACTTACAATTTTGATAAATTTTCATTTGAGCATCAGATTTATGATATAAAACCATAACAAAATTTGATTTTATTGTTTTAGAATAATGATTCAATGATAATGACCACCCAATCGTTCAGTATAGAACGCATGATACCTTAATTTTTAAAGGCGCGTTGTGACTCAGAAATGCTATCAATTTTTTTCACAAGACCTTTTTGAGGTATCATGTAACAGTTTCCAAAATTACACTAATGTTCCATATACATGAACTAATCTTTTGCTGCTTTTGCTCTGTCAGAAATTGGTATATTTAAAATAAATTAGTATTTTGTATGGAAGTCAAAATACTACTTTGTTTACATTTTGGTACCTTTATGACACATTAGGGCACGTTCAGTGATCCTTTCTTCAATTTTTATACTTCTTAGATGATCATTATTATGAAAAAAATATTACAAACAGGCTTGACTTTTTTAAAAGAATTTGAAAAAAATATGGATTCCTGAGGCAAAATGTGCTTTTAGTGAAAAAAAGAAAATGTTATTAACACAAACTAATGGTGCAGTGATTATGACCAACATACTTCCAGTCAAATTGTTAAAAATAGAACAGAACAGAACAGAACAGAGTTTATTTCATAACTTGTACACACATAGGTACATCGTTATTACAAGCATTTTTAAATATAATTATAGGTCAGATATTTTACAATTACACATAAAGAAAAAAAACAAATCAATACAATACTGAGCAATGGGATATTTAATACATACAATGTGATACATTACATACACTGACAAAACTCCATTAATCAATTATATATCCATTTCTTTAAATTACTTCTGTAAATGAATAATGAAGAGTACTAAATTTAAGCAGAGAACAAACTATAACTTCGCTTTTAATCGAATTTGTTTGATAAATTATTTATATAATAATACACTGAAAAAACATCAAGGTATATATAATCAAAACTGCATCATAATACTATTGAAGATTTCTGAAGTAATCATTTCGTTTGATGTTTGCCTTTTTTAAATAATAACATAAGTTTGTAAGTACATTGTACTTTATGACTTTTAGATTGTAGTAGTTCTATAAATTTGGCCATACTAGGCCTAATGTAAAAATATCGCTTAATATATTGACTACGTAGATTTTCATAAGATAAGCACTGCATTTTAAAACAAAATGATATTCGTCTTCGAGTTCGTTAGTATCACAGAATTGACAAGTTCTTTCGTGGCGTTCTACACGGCCTCGACCATACCTTCCGGACTCAATTCTAAGTCTGTGGGAGGACACTCGAAGGCGTATAAGAGCGCTTCTTAAAGATTTACAATTAATCTTATCTCAATATAATTCATAACAGAACTGATCTTTTACATATGAATATAGATGACTGAGCACACCATTACTAGATACATTTGCACGCCATTCTTGTAAATAACAATCGATAAGTCTTTGTTTAAAAACAGGTAAGAACTGTTTTAACAATACACTATCGGGAAAATTCCATATTTCGGCAAAACCAAGTACCGCAAGCAGTTTTTTAATTTTACATGGCCAGTTATTTGTGCCATTTTCACATTTGTCACGGGCATTTTCGTAAATGCATTTTAATATAATGTTATCCGTATTCAGTAATTTAAACCAATACTTTATTATATGAGTGTACCTAATGATAAATAACGGATACCTCCCTAATTCCCCGTAGACCGATACGTTACTTGTACTTAATTTAACGCCCAAAATCGTTTTACAGTATTTGAGATGTACACGTTCTAACTCTTTGGACTTAGTGAAGCCCCAAACCGGGCAGGCATAGTTTAAGATAGATCCCACAAAAGCATCAAACAATTGAAGTGATATCGGAGGGCTAATTTCATATTGTTTTATATTATTTAGCAGTATATTTGAGGCTTTTAAGGCCTTTCCGACTATGTACTGGTTATTTAATACGAATGAGCCGGTATAATTAAACACCACCCCAAGGTAGTTGAAGTCATTAACTATTTCTAGAGACACATTATTGAAATGCCAGCGCTCATTACATTTTAGCCCACCCCTACGACGAAACACCACTATCTTGGTCTTAGATGTGTTGACTTGTAGGCCCCAGTACTGGCAGTTCTCGAATAATTTGTCTAAACTGGCCTGCAAATCTTCAACAGAATGGCCAATAATTGCCATATCATCGGCGAATAGCAGTATGATAAGGCACATATCATAAATAGATAAACCTGATTTAATGGATCCTTGCAGGAAAAGTTCCAAGTCTTCAAGAAAAAGGGCAAACATGACTGGCGAATTATTTAGGCCTTGCCTCAATCCAATGGAAATATTGAAAAAGTCAGAATAGGAATCAGAATGTTTAACACAAGACTTAACTATATTATACATAGACCTAAACATTTTTAAAAAGTTTTCCATCCAACCCAAGATGATACAATTTAAACCACAGTGCCTGTCGATAAACGGAGTCAAAAGCCTTTTGTAGATCTACAAATGCACATGGCAAACGTGACCCTTGCGAAATAACATGTTCTATGAGGTTATGTAATGCAAATATAGCATCTACAGTGCTGTGACCCTTTCTGAAACCGAACTGGGCGTCAGATAGAATATTATAACTTTCGAACCATTTCTCAACCCTAGCTGTTAACACACCAGTGAATAATTTTCCAAGGTTACTCAAAAGTGTAATGCCCCTATAGTTGTTAGGGTCATTTTTACTTCCCTTTTTGTGGAACGGTATTATATAACCTTGTGCCCATATATCTGGGAAATAACCTGAATTAAAAACAATATTAAAAAGATCTGTTAGATGGCCTCCAATGATATCAATCGATTCGATTAAGTATTCATTTAAAATATTGTCACTGGGACATGGCGATTTGTTTCGGCCGAGTCGCTTGACTGCAGCGGTTACCTCCCCTAGTGTGATAGGTAAGTTAAGCTCACTGTATGTAGGATCATGTAAATTTAAATCATTATTATCGTTAAAATTTTCAACCTCATTTATAACAGTTGTCGGAATATTATTAAACAAATCTGAAAAATAGTTTTTAAAATGCTCTACTGTTATATCATTTTGACATGACTGATTATTAGATTTAAAATATTTCCAAAACTCACGCGGTTTACTTTTTCTTAACTCCGAAAGCTTCCTACCTTCTTTCAATTTGTAAGCGCGTATAGAACGCGCGCGTGAAAAACTAAATTTTTAAGGAGTTAAACAGATAATAACTTTTTAAAACAGTTGTGGAGGATGCACAAAGAAGTTTTTAATCAAAGGGCTGCAGCTCTATGGTATTTTCTGATCTTTGCAATCTAAATCATACTGACTATCTGTATATACTTTCCTGTATAAGTTTTTTATATACTATAATTCATCTTACGCAGCGACAGCGTTTTGATTTTCTTCTATAACAGTTTGAAATTTACATATATGGAATTTTGCATGAAAAAAATAGAATTGCCTCGACTAGGATTTGAACCATAGGCCTCTCACACCCTCAACGAGACCGCTTACCTCTGCACCACGGCGAAGTTATACATATGAACCTTGAATAAAAACGAATACATTATGTAATTCTAAATTGAGAATTTCCATTTCGTGTTTGTAATCCTTATTAATTTCGAGGTATTTTGTTCACGATAAACGTGTTGTTTAACACTGATGAAAATAATTTATCGAAAATCTTCTCGCCAAAACAGTCCAACATGTATATATTCCACTACTCGACGTGTAGTACGCTCTGGAGTATTCGGTAATCGGCATAGCTAAAAATAGCATTTTCTTTGATTAAAATAATATTCATGATAATCCGAAGCTTAACGGAAATAACCGAACATTTTTCATTTGGTAAAAAATATATTCATCCGCGAAATTTGCGATTGTAACCTCATATTTCTATTGTTTAATCTAAACTTTTAATGCAATGTAATTTGTTAAATGCTTTCATTAAAAATTATTCTTTCATTTCAATTGCTGGTTTTTAAGCAGTTTTGAGTGAGAACTACTTTGCGTTGTTAGGACTGTTAGGAAATTTTGTGTTAGACCGTGGATGTTAGCTATGTATTTACTGATCTTACGATCAGAAAATACAAAAACTTTTGCAAGTGTGAAATGACCATCAAATAAACTTAACTATAATCAAAGGAGATCAGCATGGACCATGTCTTTATCGGATGGATGCATTATCAAAGAAATGCGAGACGATTTTCTTACCACAGTACCAGTTCTGTATCGATCCCGGGATCTTTACTGTATGATATAAATCGGTGAACATTCGTTACCATCTCGAGGACTTAAATTAAAAAAAAATGTGCATTAGAAGCATATTGAAGAATTTTTTCACGTCTGTATATGTTTTATTTTCGGACGAAGTCCGTCTGAGATCTTTTGACTTCCTGTAAAATTTACATAGAAGAACTGAATATTAGAAGGATTTTCATTTGTCATTTTAAAATTTCAAACATCATTGATCATTTTAAAGGCAGCGTATACACGTCCAAATTATCAACAATCGATAGCAACTTATCGGAAACAACCTTTCCAGTTCAATTTCTGGGATATTTGAAATCTGTGAACTTCCTCCCAATAGATACTTTATATTAATTCTCTCATGAATATCTTATTCAACATGAGACTTTACCGAGTTATGAATGATATTCTAAAATGACGAGACTACCAATAAAGCTACAATCTCACTTACATCCCGGCAGAGCACCGGTAGACGTCCGGGGTGATCCGGGAACGATCGGGGTACGACCGGGAACAACCGGGGTACATCCGTAACTATGCCGGCAACGTCCAGGATGATCCGGGATGATCCGGGAATTCGGCATTCGACCCCGGATGGAATCAAATATTTAATATCACCGGGGTGGTCCGGGATGATCCGGGAATATATAGCTTTGCCGGCTTCATCCTTAGCTCTGCCGGGAACGACCGGGGTTATACCGGGAAAGCACCGTAGCTCTGCCGGCACACACCGGGGATGATCCGGTATGATATAGCCGGTTGAGCTACGGTAGAGCCCCGGTATATGCCGGCAGAGCCCCGGTAACTACAGGCAGATACCCGGAGGATAAAGGTAGAGCTACGGTTGATCCAGGTAGAGCCCCGGCAAAGCCCGGATCATTTCAAAAGAATAACGACAATTTGCGATGATTGCACATGTTTGTATTAAAAAGCCTTCCCATTTCCCTTCTTTCCAGTATGGCATAAGGATTTTTCAGAAAATCATCATGGATAGATATTATATTAAATAAAAATTATGTATCAATGTTATCATTTTCGGGCGTTTTCAATCCACCGGGGTTCTACCGGGGCTCTGCCTGGATCGTCCTGGGCTCTGCCGGGGCTCAGCCTGGATCGACCGGGGCTCTGCCTGGGTCAACCGGGGCTCTTCCGGCGTCATCCGGAACGACCGGGGAAGCACCGGCATGATCCGTAGCTTCACCTGGGCTCTGCCTGGATGATCCGGAGCGCATCCTGGGTGGTTAGTAGGGAACTACCGTAGTGCTGCCGAGGTTAGTGTGACCGCAACAATAATTTCATCCCGGATCATCCCGGTAACTTATCGGGATGGTCCTGGGCTCTGCCGGGAGTAAGTGAGACCGAGGCTTAATGTCCGCGATAAACTTGTACAAACACAAGTAAAAGCAGTTTTACCTCGTCCGAGTATCTTTTTAAAGAAACTTCTTGTTTTACATATTTGTTTTGTTTCAGTTTTGTCGGTGGTAGCCGTGTTGAGTTATTTATGTTTGGTCAAAGGAACAGAGGGCAGTAAGTGTGTTGTTTTTTTCCAGAGATAAGACATTAGTTACTTTTATTGTAGGTTATTTGCATCCATTTTGAATTTTCTGTAAAAATTCAGGTGTTATTTTAATAGGTTATTGAGTATTGATATAATCGTATAGGAGCATAAAATATTTCACAAACCTATGACTTGGGGAAACTATTGTTTCTATTTAGACAACTATTTCATGCGTCACAGTGACCTTGACTTACCTTAAAATGTATAGAGGTTTCCTACAGGTTATGGTCAATGACCCTACTAGGTTAGATAAAAACTTGGACACAATTTATCTCACGTTATTGATAAGATTGACGGATTTACACAAAGTGTCTCTATGACATCGACCTTTGGCCGTTTACTTTAAATTTTATAGATAGCCTTAGGAACATTATCACCCTACGGACTGTAGAAAAAAGTATTCTCTAGATATTTGTCGTACGAGATTGTATTTGTTGGTGCCACTCACCTTTGGCCTACTGACAAAAGGTCAATAACAGTCATCCATAGGGCATGACTAACATTAGCCCAAAATCTTAGGTCTGTACGCCAAAGCGGACAAGTTTTCAGTGGTTAAGGCAATGGTGATCATGACATTTGACCTACTGACTTGAAAATCGAAAGGGGTCATTTAATAGTCATGACCAACCTCATATCCAATCTTAGACTGTGTGTTCTCTATTTACAAGTCGCGAAAGATTTTAGTTATCAGGCCACACTGACCTTGTTCTTTGACCTAATAACTTCAAAATGGATCATTTACTAGACATGGCCACATCATAAGAATGTAGGCCAAAACGTTCCCTTGCTATTGACCGGACAATCCTAGCTCTAGTGAGCAAGATCATAGGGCTTTGGCCTTTAACCATTAACTGACCAATATCATACAAACATCATGTATAATTATAAAAAAAACAAAACAAACAATCCTTGTCCATTCTTCGAAATTGAAGAACTAAGAGTGACTTTAGATGTAATTTTTTTTTAGACAGTAATGTATAATTAATGTATAAATTTTACATCTAGCGGAAAATGAAGTCATTTTTGGTAAAATTATTATTTAAAAATATGTCTGACAATTAGAATCAATTAAAGAAGGTCCATTGTAACCAATTAGCACTGAATCCGAAATATAGTCAACAGGTAGACCGTTTGTATTTCCGGTTTCTAAAAATATTGTACATTTTACTAGTATATCTATTAATAAATGTACTAAATTTAAGCGGACTGGTACACTATTTTATCGTACTATTCATGTGAAAGGGTCGATAAGATGCGGTTTGTGTTCGCGGTCTTTATCTGGTTCGCGGTCTTTATCTGAAGTTTGACGGAAGGGGCCGATGAGATGCGTTCCGACAACAAAAAACAGCGACAAGACGGAAATACTATCTTTTTAATATGTTAATCTTGAACAGCACTGGATATATTAAAAGGAACGATGACCTTTTTTACAAGACTTATACTTGTGTATTTTGCGTAGTCATTAATGTAAGACATGGATATTTTATACATAATTTTTATATTTATACATATTTATTTTATCTTCTTCCAGGTGACATATTACGACGATTCATATACGGAGATGCACATCATTCGACCGGTCAGTTTATTAGTTACTTACTTGTTGTATTTATATATTGAGAGGGAAATTGGTTGTCTAGAGGCCAACATAACTGGTTTTTGTTTAAACAGTACTTATTTTAGTTGGATTGTTGTGAGTATAATTACGTTTTTCAGAGTCTAGATTATGAGTATAAAAAGGTGTCCTGAGTCTGAGAGTTATGAGTATAAAAACGTTTTCACGAGACTAAAAGTATTAAAACATTTTCCCCGGTCAGAGTATGAATATAAAAACGTTTCCCAAGTCTATTATGAGAATGATTATAAAATATTATTCCCAGTCTTTGAGTATGAGTACAAAAATCGCTTTTCCCAGTTTGTAAGTATGAGTATAAAAATGTTTTCCCCAGTCGAAGAGTATGGGTATAAAAACGTTTTCCTCAGTCTGAGAGTTATGAGTATAAAAACGTTTTTCCTAGTTTGAGAGTATGAGTATAAAACGCTTTCCCCAGTCTGAAAGAATGAGTAAAAAAAGTTTCCCTCAGTTTGACAGTATGAGTATAAAACAGTTTTCCTGAGTCTGAGAGTATAGGTATTAAAATGTTTTCCCTAGTCTGAGAGTATGATTAAAAAAAAAACGTTTTTCCCAGTCTGTGAGTATGAGTATAAAAACACTTTCCCCAGTCTGAGAATATGAGTATAAAAACGTATCCCAACTCTGAGAGTATGAGTATAAAACGTTTTCCCAGTCTGAGAGTTATGAGTAAAAAAACGTTTTATGCAGTCCGAGAGTTATGAGTATAAAATCGTTTTCCCCAGTCTGAGAGTTATGAGTATAAAAACGTTTTCCCCAGTCTGAGAGTATGAGTATAAAAACGATTTCCGCAGTCTGAGAGTATGAGTATAAAAACGTTTTCCGCAGTCTGAGAGTATGAGTATAAAAACGTTTTCCCCAGTCTGAGAGTTTGAGTATAAAAACGTTTTCCCAAGTTTGAGACTATGATTATAAACACGTTTTTCCAGTTTGAGTGTATGAGTATAAAAACGTTTTCCCCAGTCTGAGAGTATGAGTATAAAAACGTTTTCCCCAGTCTGAGAGTATGAGTATAAAAACGTTTCCCCAGTCTGAGAGTATGAGTATAAAAACGTTTCCCCAGTCTGAGAGTATGAGTATAAAAACGTTTTCCCCAGTCTGAGAGTATGAGTATAAAAACGTTTTCCCCAGTCTGAGAGTATGAGTATAAAAACGTTTTCCCCAGTCTGTGAGTATGAGTATAAAAACGCTTTCCCCAGTCTGAGAGTATGATTATAAACGTTAACACGTTTTTCCAGTTTGAGTGTATGAGTATAAAAACGTTTTCCCCAGTCTGAGAGTATGAGTATTAAAACGTTTTCCCCAGTCTGAGAGTATGAGTATAAAAACGTTTTCCCCAGTTTGAGTGTATGAGTATAAAAACGTTTTCCCCAGTCTGAGAGTATGAGTATTAAAACGTTTTCTCCAGTATGAGAATATGAGTAAAAAACGTTTTCCCCAGTCTGCGTGTATGAGTATAAAAAACGTTTTCTCCAGTCTGAGAATATGAGTAAAAAAAACCTTTCCCCAGTCTGAGTGTATGAGTATAAAAACGTTTACCCCATTCTTCGTGTATGAGTATAAAACCTTTCCCCAGTCTGAGTGTATGAGTATAAAAACGTTTACCCCATTCTTCGTGTATGAGTATAAAACGTTTTTCCAGTCTGCGTGTATGAGTATCAAAACGTTTTCCCTAGTCTGAGAGTATGAGTATAAAACATTTTCTCCAGTATGTGAGTATGAGTATCAAAATGTTTCCTGGGTCTGTGAGTATGAGTATAAAAACGTTTCCCCAGTCTGAGAGTATAATTATAAACACGTTTTTTCCAGTTTGAGTGTATGAGTACAAAAACGTTTTCCCAGTCTGAAAGTATGAGTATAAAAACGTTTTCTTCAGTCTGAGAATATGAGTAAAAAACGTTCTCCCCAGTCTGCGTGTATGAGTATAAAAACGTTTTCCCTAGTCTGAGTGTATGAGTGTAAAACATTTTCTCCAGTATGTGAGTATGAGTATTAAAACGTTTCCTGAGTCTGTGAGTATGAGTATAAAAACGTTTTCCTCAGTCTGACAGTATAAATATAAACATGTTTTTCCAGTTTGAGTGCATGAGTATAACAAGAACGTGTTTGTTAAACACAAATGCCCCCGGCTCAGATTCTTGTCAGTAGCAATACTTCAAAAAATGTTTACCCATTCACTCAGTTATGGACAGAAAAATCGCCAAAAAATTGTGAACACAAGTTTTATAGCTTGACAAAGTCATGGCCTTTTTTATTGTGACAGATATAAGTTGCCAAGTCATTGCTCTGACTTGTGAAGTTGAAAAATATTCAACTTCATGCAAGTTATCTTCCTACCAAATATGAAATACATCTGTCATTAAATAAAGGCTGTATCGGCAAAAGTGTAAAAATCTATTTTGAGCACTGATGACCTTGACCAAACCGACCCCTAACTCTATCCAAAAGAAGAATACCATGTAAGTTATCTTCTTACCAAATATGAAATACATCTGTCAATAAATAAAGGCTACATGGGCAAAAGTGTAAAAATCTATTTTTAGCACTTGTGACCTTGACCCCTTACACCATCCAAAGGAAGAATACCATGCAAGTTATCTTCCTACCAAATATGAAATACAACTGTCAATAAATAAAAGCTGTATGGGCAAAAGTGTAAAAATCTATTTTTAGCACAAGTGACCTTGACCCACTGATCCCTACCCCAATCAAAAGGATAATTACCATGCAAATTATCTTCCTACCAAATATAAAATATATCTAACACTTAATAAAGGCTGTATAAGCAAATGTGTAAAAATCTATTTTAGCACTGGTGACCTTGACCCAACTGACCACTAACTCCATCAAAGTTTATGTTTTTATCAATTATAAATAACATCTGTCTTTAGAATAAGGTCAATACACCTGTAAAAATGTAAAAATCTATTTTTAACATTGGTGACCTTGACATTGGTAACATTGACCTTGACCCAAATGACCCCATAACACCCAAAGAAAGAGGTGTTTGTATTAAACTAAGACATCAACTAAAAAATAAAGGCTGTATATGAGCATAAAGGTTTATATTCATTTTTTAAACCAGTGACCTTGACCTTGACCCTAGAGACTTCTTAATCCAAAAAAAATTAGAGGACCATCAAAGGTATCCACCTACTAAATATGAAAGATATCAGTAAAGAAATTAAGCAATTAGGAGAAATTTAAGATAAATTCAACTTGCCAAATAGGTTAACCAGACAAGGCCCTATTTTCAAAGTGAAAAAAGGGAAATAAATGGGAAATATGGATGACACAGTTATATAACTTGGCAATATCATGTGCTTTGTATTGATAAGTAAGTGTGGAAATTAAAAAGCCATTAGTATAGATAGAACTTAAGATATTTCCAACTTGCCGTTTTAGGTTAACCATTATTCATTTTCTAAGTGCTGAAAAGGGCAATAACTTGGTAAATATGAAAGCCAGAGTTATGAAACTTGCCGCGATCATGTACTTTGTATTGATAAGTAAGTGTGTAAACTTAGAAGCCATTGGTACAGGTAGAACTTAAGAAAAATCCAACTTGCCGTTCTAGATTAACCTCGTACGGACAGACGGACAGACGGACGGACGGACAGTTCAATTATTATATGCCCGGGGGCATAAAAACGTTTTCCCCAGTCTGAGAGTATGAGTATAAAAACGTTTTCCCCAGTTTGAGAGTATGATTATAAACACGTTTTTTCTAGTTTGAGTGTATGAGTTTAAAAACGTTTCCCCCAGTCTCAGAATAGGAGTTTAAAAACTTTTCCCCAGTCTGAGTATATAAGTAAAAAAAAATTTTCCCCAGTCTGAGTGTATGAGTATAAAACGTTTTCTCCAGTCTGAGTATATGAGTAAAAAAAATTTTCCCCAGTCTGAGTGTATGAGTATAAAAACGTTTTCCCTAGTCTGAGAGTATAATTATAAACACGTTTTTTTTTCCCAGTTTGAGTGTATGAGTTTAAGAACGTTTTCCCCAGTCTGAGAGTATGAGTATAAAAACGTTTCTCATGTCTGTGAGTATAAGTATAAAAACGTTTCCTGAGTCTGTGAGTGTGAGTATAAAAACGTTTTTCCAGTTTGAGTGTATGAGTATAAAAATGTTTTCCCAAGTCTCAGAGTATAAGTATAAAACGTTTGTCCTAGTCTGTGAGTATGAGTATAAAAACGTTTTCCCTAGTTTGTGAGTATGAGTATAAAAACGTTTTCCCGAGTCTGAGAGTATAATTATATACACGTTTTTTCAGTTTGAGTGTATGAGTTTAAAAACGTTTTCCCCAGTCTGAGAGTATGAGTATAAAAACGTTTTCACCAGTCTGAGTGTATTAGCATAAAAACGTTTTCCCAGTCTGAGAGTATGAGTATAAAAACGTTTTCTCCAGTCTGAGAATATGATTAAAAAACTTTTTCCCCAGTCTGCGTGTATGAGTATCAAAACGTTTTCCCTAGTCTGAGAGTATGAGTATAAAACATTTTCTCCAGTATGTGAGTATGAGTATAAAAACGTTTCCTGAGTCTGTGAGTATGAGAATAAAAACGTTTTCCCCAGTCTGACAGTATGATTATAAACACGTTTTTCCAGTTTGAGTGTATGAGTATAAAAACGTTTTCCTCAGTCTGAGAGAATGAGTATAAAAACGTTTTCCCCAGTTTGAGAGTATGATTATAAAAACGTTTTCCCCAGTCTGAGAGTATGATTATACAACACGTTTTTCCAGTGTGAGTGTATGAGTATAAAAACGTTTTCCCCAGTCTGAGAGTATGATTATAAACACGTTTTTTCAGTTTGAGTGTATGAATCTAAAAACGTTTTCCCCAGTCTGAGGGTATGATTATAAAAACCTTTTGTCATGTCTGTGAGTATGAGTATAAAAACGTTTCCTGAGTCTGTGAGTGTAAGTATAAAAACGTTTTTCCAGTTTGAGTGTATGAGTATAAAAATGTTTTCCCAGGTCTCAGAGTATAAGTATAAAACGTTTGTCCTAGTCTGTGAGTATGAGTATAAAAACGTTTTCCCTAGTTTGTGAGTATGAGTATAAAAACGTTTTCCCCAGTCTGAGAGTATAATTATATACATGTTTTTTCAGTTTGAGTGTATGAGTTTAAAAACGTTTTCCCCAGTCTGAGAGTATGAGTATAAAAACGTTTTCACCAGTCTGAGTGTATGAGCATAAAACGTTTTCCCCAGTCTGAGAGTATGAGTATAAAAACGTTTTTCTCCAGTCTGAGAATATGATTAAAAAACTTTTTCCCCAGTCTGCGTGTTATGAGTATAAAACGTTTTCCCTAGTCTGAGAGTATGAGTATAAAACATTTTCTCCAGTATGTGAGTATGAGTATAAAAACGTTTCCTGAGTCTGTGAGTATGAGTATAAAAACGTTTTCCCCAGTCTGACAGTATGATTATAAACACGTTTTTCCAGTTTGAGTGTATGAGTATAAAACGTTTTCCTCAGTCTGAGAGAATGAGTATAAAAACGTTTTTCCCCAGTTTGAGAGTATGCTTATAAAAACGTTTTCCCCAGTCTGAGAGGTATGATTATACAACACGGTTTTTCCAGTGTGAGTGTATGAGTATAAAAAACGTTTCCCCAGTCTGAGAGTATGATTATAAACACGTTTTTTTCAGTTTGAGTGTATGAATCTAAAAACGTTTTCCCCAGTCTGAGAGTATGAGTATAAAAACGTTTCTCATGTCTGTGAGTATGAGTATAAAAACGTTTCCTGAGTCTGTGAGTGTGAGTATAAAAAACTTTTTTCCAGTTTGAGTGTATGAGTATAAAAATGTTTTCCCAAGTCTCAGAGTATAAGTATAAAACGTTTGTCCTAGTCTGTGAGTATGAGTATAAAACGTTTTCCCTAGTTTGTGAGTATGAGTATAAAAAAACGTTTTCCCCAGTCTGAGAGTATAATTATATACACAGTTTTTCAGTTTGAGTGTATGAGTTTAAAAACGTTTTCCTCAGTCTGAGAGTATGAGTATAAAACGTTTTTCACCAGTCTGAGTGTATGAGCATAAAAACGTTTTCCCAGTCTGAGAGTATGAGTATAAAAACGTTTTCTCCAGTCTGAGAATATGATTAAAAAACTTTTTCCCCAGTCTGCGTGTATGAGTATCAAAACGTTTTCCCTAGTCTGAGAGTATGAGTATAAAACATTTTCTCCAGTATGTGTGAATGAGTATAAAAACGTTTCCTGAGTCTGTGAGTATGAGTATAAAAACGTTTTCCCCAGTCTGACAGTATGATTATAAACACGTTTTTCCAGTTTGAGTGTATGAGTATAAAAACGTTTTCCTCAGTCTGAGAGAATGAGTATAAAAACGTTTTCCCCAGTTTGAGAGTATGCTTATAAAAACGTTTTCCCCAGTCTGAGAGTATGATTATACAACACGTTTTTCCAGTGTGAGTGTATGAGTATAAAAACGTTTTCCCCAGTCTGAGAGTATGATTATAAACACGTTTTTTCAGTTTGAGTGTATGAATCTAAAAACGTTTTCCCCAGTCTGAGAGTATGAGTATAAAAACGTTTCTCATGTCTGTGAGTATGAGTATAAAAACGTTTCCTGAGTCTGTGAGTGTGAGTATAAAAACTTTTTTCCAGTTTGAGTGTATGAGTATAAAAATGTTTTCCCAAGTCTCAGAGTATAAGTATAAAACGTTTGTCCTAGTCTGTGAGTATGAGTATAAAAACGTTTTCCCTAGTTTGTGAGTATGAGTATAAAAACGTTTTCCCCAGTCTGAGAGTATAATTATATACACAGTTTTTCAGTTTGAGTGTATGAGTTTAAAAACGTTTTCCCCAGTCTGAGAGTATGAGTATAAAAACGTTTTCACCAGTCTGAGTGTATGAGCATAAAAACGTTTTCCCAGTCTGAGAGTATGAGTATAAAAACGTTTTCTCCAGTCTGAGAATATGATTAAAAAACTTTTTCCCCAGTCTGCGTGTATGAGTATCAAAACGTTTTCCCTAGTCTGAGAGTATGAGTATAAAACATTTTCTCCAGTATGTGAGTATGAGTATAAAAACGTTTCCTGAGTCTGTGAGTATGAGTATAAAAACATTTTCCCCAGTCTGACAGTATGATTATAAACACGTTTTTCCAGTTTGAGTGTATGAGTATAAAAACGTTTTCCTCAGTCTGAGAGAATGAGTATAAAAACGTTTTCCCCAGTTTGAGAGTATGATTATAAACACGTTTTTCCAGTTTGAGTGTATGAGTATAAAAACGTTCTCCCCAGTCTGAGAGTATGAGTATAAAAACGTTTTCCCCAGTTTGAGAGTATGATTATAAACACGTTTTTCCAGTTTGAGTGTATGAGTATAAAAACGTTTTCCCCAGTCTGAGAGTATGAGTATAAAAACGTTTTCCCCAGTTTGAGAGTATGATTATAAAAACGTTTTCCCCAGTCTGAGAGTATGATTATACAACACGTTTTTCCAGTGTGAGTGTATGAGTATAAAAACGTTTTCCCCAGTCTGAGAGTATGATTATAAACACGTTTTTTCAGTTTGAGTGTATGAATCTAAAAACGTTTTTCCAAGCCTGAGAGTATGAGTATAAAAACGTTTTATCCAGTCTGAGTGTATGAGTATAAAAAACATTTTTCCCAGTCTGAGAGTATAAGTATAAAAACGTTTTCTCCAGTCTGAGAATTTGAGTAAAAAACGTTTTCCCCAGTCTGCGTGTTTAGTATAAAAACGTTTTCTCCAGTCTGAGAAAATGAGTTAAAAAACTTTTTCCAAAGTCTGAGTGTATGAGTATAAAAACGTTTCCCGAGTCTGAGTGTATGAGTATAAAACGTTTTCTCAAGTCTGAGTTTATGAGTAAAAACACGTTTTCCCCAGTCTGAGTGTATGAGTATAAAAACGTTATCCCTAGTCTAAGAGTATAATTATAAACACTTTTTCCAGTTTGAGAGTATGAGTTTAAAAACGTTTTCCCCAGTCTGAGAGTATGAGTATAAAAACGTTTCTTATGTCTATGAGTATCAGTATAAAAAATTTCCTGAGTCTTTGAGTATGAGTATTAAAACGTTTTCTAGTTTGAGTGTATGAGTATAAAAATGTTTTCCCAAGTCTCAGAGTATGAGTATCAAACGTTTTCCCCAGTTTGAGAGTATGATTATAAACACGTTTTACCAGTTTGAGTGTATGAGTATAAAAACGTTTTCCCCAGTCTGAGAAAATGAGTATAAAAACGTTTTCCCCAGTCTGAGAGTATGATTATCAAAACGTTTATCCAGTTTGAGTATATGAGTATGAAAACGATTTCTCCAGTCTGTGAGTATGAGTATAAAACGTTTTCTCCAGTCTGTGAGTATGAGTATCAAAACGTGTCCCAAGTCTGAGTGTATGAGTACAAAAACGTTTCCTGGGTCTGTGAGTATGAGTTTAAAAACGTTTTCCCCAGTGTGAGAGTATGAGAATAAAAACGTTTTCTCCAGCCTTAGAGTATGAGTATAAAAACGTTTCCTGAGTCTGTGAGTATGAGTATAAAAACGTTTTTCCAGTTTGAGTGTATGAGTATAAAAACGTTTTCTCCAGTCTGTGAGAATGAGTATAAGAACGTTTTCCCCAGTCTGAGAGTATGAGTAAAAAAACGTTTTTCCCAGTCTGAGAGTATGAGTAAAAAATCGTTTTCACCAGTCTGAGAGTATGAGTAAAAAAACGTTTTTCCCAGTCTGAGAGTATAAGTATTAAAACGTTTTCTCCAGTCTGAGGGTATGAGTATAAAAAGTTTCCCCAGTCTGACAGTATGAGTATAAAAACGTTTTCTCCAGTCCGAGATTATGAGTATAAAAACGTTTTTCCAGTTTGAGTGTATGAGTATAAAAACATTTTCTCCAGTCTGAGAGTATGAGTATAAAATTGTTTTCTCCAGTCTGTGAGTATGAGTATAAAAACGTTTTCTCCAGTCTGTGAGTATGAGTTTAAAATCGTTTTCCCTAGTCTGAGAGTATGAGTATAAAAACGTTTTCTCCAGTCTGTGAGTATAAGTATATAAACGTTTTCCCCAGTCTGAGAGTATGAGTATAAAAACGTTTTCTCCCAGTCTGAGAGTATATATATAAAAACGTTTTCCCCAGTTTGTGAGTATGAGTAAAAAAACTTTTCTCCAGTCTGTGAGTTTGAGTATAAAAATGTTTTCTCCAGTCTGTGAGTGTGAGTATAAAAACGTTTCCCTAGTCTGAGAGTATGAGTATAATAACGTTTTCTCCAATCTGTGAGTATCAGTATTAAAACGTTTCCCTCAGTCTGAGAGTATGAGTATAAAAACGTTTTCCCCAGTCTCAGAATAGGAGTTTAAAAACTTTTCCCCAGTCTGAGAATATAAGTATAAAAACGTTTTCCTTAGTCTGAAAGTATGAGTATAAAAACACTTTCTCCAGGCTAAGAGTATGAGTATAAAAACGTTTTCCCTAGTCTGAGAGTAGAAGTATAAAAACGTTTCCCTCAGTCTGTGAGTATGAGTATAAAAACGTTTTCCCCAGTCTGAGAGTATGAGTTTAAAAACGTTTTCAGCAGTCTGAGAGAATGAGTACAAAAACTTTTCTCCAGTGTTAGTATTAGACTAAAAACTTTCCCTTGTCTGTGGGTGTGATTATAAATACATTTTTTTCAATCTGAGAGTTTGAGTAAAAGATTTTATCCTCAGTCTGGTACGCAGTATGTGTATAAATGCTTTTTCCTACAGTCACAATTTTTATTGCAACGTAGGTTTAACTACTTTAAGGTTGTCTCCATGGATGTTTACACGGTTTATGTGTGACTCATTTGGATACAGCACAGTGTAGATGCGATCATGGTTGGACCGGAAGTAGGTGTGACGTTCATATAGGTAAGGTTCAAATCTTATAAAGGAAAGAGAATTTTAAAATCGAGTAAACAAACGTTAATTTTAATAAATTATTACTAAATTGACACTCTGTCTTTAATAATCTGCTTGGAATTAAACCAGTTTTGAAATTATTTAGATAAAATACCCATTTTGGAAATTTCTGAAGATTCATATTGTAATAATAACCTTTTTTTTTTGTATAAAAATGCATTTTTCTATTTTCGTTTATAACAATCACATCATCTAAATGTTATTATACAAACAAGGTTTTCATTGCAATTGTCTAAATGTTATTGCAAACAAGGCTTTTTTACAATGATAGCATCTAAATGTTATTACGAATATGGCTTTAATTACAATTAAGAAGATTTCATAATAACCGCTTTTATAACAATGACATATTTTAGTTCATTTACATGTACGGCTAGTAATTATGATTACAGACTTTTTTGTTCGTTTACATGTACGGTTTGTAATTACAATTACAGATTTTAGTTTTTATGAAAATAACGGTTTCAATTACATTTTATATAATAATTTTTCTTTTTCAATTTAGATTGCCACCATACATGCTTACACGGTTCGTGTTCATCATTAAGTGGACACTCATCATTAAGTGGACACTCATCATTTAGTGAACACTCATTATTAAGTGGACACTGTAGATGTCATGATGGCTGGACCGGAAGTGCGTGTGATGAACCTGTAGGTAAGACACAAACTACTTCATGATAATTCTATTAATCATTACATAATGGAAGTGTTGGGCTCATAAGTGTTTGAGATGTCTGCCACTCACCCGAAGTATTTTGGACTCGATCCTGACAACGATTAAGACAAGCATGTTTTTTCTCATATGACACCAGTCCTGGTTAGTTCTAGGACGCCAACTGGAGATTGTACTGGCTTAAATAAGATGACACCAGTACTTGTTAGTTTAAGGGCGCGGACTGGAGATGGTACTGGCTTAAATAAGTTGACACCAGTACTTGTTAGTTTAAGGACGCGGACTGGAGATGGTACTGGCTTAAATAAGTTGACACCAGTACTGGTTAGTTCTAGGACGCGAACTGGAGATTGTACTGGCTTAAATAAGTTGACACCAGTACTGGTTAGTTCTAGGACGCCAACTTGTGATGGTACTGGCTTAAATAAGTTGACACCAGTACTGGTTAGTTCTAGGACGCGAACTGGAGATTGTACTGGCTTAAATAAGTTGACACCAGTACTTGTAAGTTCTAGGACGCGAACTGGAGATGGTACTGGACACAAGTACTTGTTAGTTCTAGGACGCGAACTGGAGATTGTACTGGCTTTAATAAGTTTACACCAGTTCTTGTAAGTTCTAGGACGCGAACTGGAGATTGTACTGGCTTAAATAAGTTGACACCAGTACTTGTTAGTTCTAGGACGCGAACTGGAGATTGTACCGGCTTAAATACGTTGACACCAGTACTTGTTAGTTCTAGGACGCGAACTCGAGATAGTGTACTGGTTTAAATAAGTTGAAAATTCTCTTCAAAGTCGATTTAAATAAACGATGTTTAAACTAAAGGAAAAGAGAGCGTTCTAACAATTTTGTATTTATTTAAGTGTTTAATGGTGTCTTAGACAGGACAACATTATTTAGAGATTGCTTAATTAAAGCCCCATTATGACTCAGAAATGCCATCAATTTTATTTCTCAAAACCTTGTTATTTTTGGTATCTTGTTACAGTTTCCAAAATTATACTAATACACATGAACTGTTTTGTATGGAAGTCAAAATACTACTTTGTTTATACTTTGCTACTTTACAACAAATTACTGCACGTTCAGCACTTCTCCCTTCAGTATTTAGACATGAAACATACTCTAACTTTGTTATTGAAACTTAATTTAACACATATTTGACATATCCAAAGAATAAAAAATGAATTTCGGAGGCATAATGTGCCTTTAATATTCTGAACAATGAGTTTGGGCAGTACTCGGTTCGTGACATGTACACAGCAGAACAACAACACCCCCAAAAGACCCAACAACAACAACAACAACCCTCCCCAAAAAACAACAACAGCAACAACATAACCATGGACTTGGTTAAAGTTAAAGGTATTGAAGGTATTTTTCATGTGTATGATAAATTTCTTGTATATAAGCATAGAGTGTATAGATATACAAATTTAGATAAATAAATAGGTAAACTTTTTATTATTTTTAATGTTACTTTGTAAATACTTTGCACATGTTAATTGCAGATTTTGGAACATGTAGACACAATTCTGATTGTCACACATTAATCCGATGTGATTTAAACACCAGAGCGATTTGTTACTTTGGGCAAATGTGCGCATGTGTTCCCATTCGTAAGTGGCTTTTACTTTTGAAATACGTATGTTACAATATATACCCCGCCAACATATTGTAGAGGGGAGCTTAACTAAAATTACATTGTCGAATCAGCCGGTCAATCAGTCTGTCCGTCGTATATTCCATCCGTCTTCAATATGTCTACTGAATAAATCCAAAACTACACTGAAGGCTTCCTTCTATCTTGGCCCAAATAATCACCTCAACAAAGGTTGTGCAGAACAACATGTTGACGCTGTGCCTGTTCAAAGTCAACTTCACATTTGAAGGTCAAATGTCAGACAATATTGAATTTTTTATTTGTTCTATAAATCCTTCACCCCTTGACTGTGTCTGTGACTTGTTCAGTATCTGAGATACTTCACACGCGATTGTAAATCTGAGGGGATGAAAATGTCCGATATAAGGGGTGAAGGCAAATCCGATTGGATGAAGAAAACCAATATGTGGGGATGAAGAAGAAAGTCCTTAGTCTGAAATCGGTGTTAAGACCAAAACTGAGACAATTTTACGTTTCAAAGATAACGGCTTAACTTTTATAATTACAATATAATAACCCATTACAGATGGGTAATAAGACATTGCGAATAAAAAAGCCTCTCACTGTATTTCTTATCTTTTCTCCGGAAATGAATTTAATTATAGTCTACAGTCTTTAAATGAAGGTAAAACCGTTTATTGAAACGGACATAAGTTAGTCCGAAAGTTGGTTTTATGCCGAAGTACTAAGGACACACTTAAGACTTTCTATAAAACGCAGCCCAGATTGATATAAGATTTATACTGTTTGAGGGGACTTCAGATTGATCTACCTGTTATATAGTTATATAGTTTTACTGATTGATATATGTTTTAAACGTGTCATATACATGTAATTTTTCAGATTTATCTATTATTTTATAGTTCTACAGATTGATGTATGTTTTATACGTGTCACATGTAACTTCAGATTGACCTATGTGGTTTATAGTAGATATGTTTTTTTTTTTTGAAAGTGTTGACTCATTAATGTAAGAGTACAATAGAATGATATAGAAATCTATGTGTTATATTGAAAAGGTGAAAGACAACTTACCACTCTATTTTCGTGAATGACTTAGTTAAAGAAATAAATATTCTTAATCTTAGTATCATCAAAATCGGTGATATTAAATTGTCAATATTTTGTACGCAGTCGACATTGTACTTGACAACGATTTACAAAATACACGATTGATGTTATAAGGCAGACGACAACAAACATATCACATTTTCCATGTCGGAGATAACACCCTTAAATTGCTTGATACATACAAATTACAAATATCTTGGAGGATTTTATTTGGTAACAAAGGTGATTTCCCGCTAAATTGTGACAACTTGGCAAAAGGAGCTGGTAGACCGATAGTAAACTTAATTTAGAAAACTCATCATCAGAAAGACTTTGGATTAAAATCTTTTAAAACAAAAACCTTTGCAAATCATGTTTTATACCAATTTTAGATTACAGTGCTTCCGGAGATTTAAACATTCGCAGACGATCGACAATATTTAGAATAACGCGCTATTTTAGATTCGCACCATCACTTACTCTAATTGGGATCTAGTCGATATAGAAGATGGATTGTGATGTTAAAATATTGGAATAGACTAATTTGTGCAGGCGATAATTGAAGCATGCCATTAACTCGGATTATGCTAGGTGCACGACAACCGCTCAGTCAAAAATAAGATAACTTTTTTCCAAACTCATAATTAAACATTGTGAGAAATGTCTCTAAATTACGAACGTTTATCTCTTTTAAAAATAAATCCGCTAACATTTATATCAAGGTTATGTAACATGGTAGAAGCATTTCAGATAGAATTAAAAATTAACGGCGCTCCAAACATTTTTGACACATGTTTTAGATGCCGATCGACGAATGCGTTTTGTCTATAGCGGTGGAAATGGCTATGGCGTTGTTCAAAATGGCGGTTGGTGAATATGTTTATTTTCATTGTTGTTTGAATTCCAAGTGTTGGTGTTTCCATCATCATTATCATCATCACCATCATCACCATCACCACTTGTTATTGGATTTTTTTTATCAATTTTGTCGATTTTCGTAATTAAGCCCAATAAACGTTCGAAGTTAAGTGAAGGGAAAAAGAAATTGGCAAAAAGGAAACTCTTTTAGAATATTCATAGATGCTGTTTTTATGTTGCTATTCCTTTGATAAATATTTAATTTTGCTTTGTTGTGAATAAAAGGCGGAGGGTCACAGTGTGGACCGTATTACTGCACACATGGATCCTGCCAGTATACAAAAATGAACGGGGTTGAGACCCATAGTTGTACCTGTTATCCCGGTTGGCATGGCGAACAATGTGATCAGCCAGGTAAGGCATTATGAAGTACTTTAAAATCATTTACTTATTGCAATGCTCTGATATTTTATTTGCATATTGCAATAAATAAGAATATTGTGTGCTCTTAAAGATAAAGTATGCTTATCCTTGTGTAGAATATATATATATAATCTTTAAAGTTCTTCCTAAATATTTCTTATTTGAATAAAATAATGAATAAACTATGTATGGGAGACTGCGTTCCCCATGGTTTTCAAAAAAAGACGAAAAAAAAAGAACAACAAACAAACCGCCATGGTGAATTAGGCAAATTAATGTATAAAATATGAAAATGATCGTTTGTACTCAAATCAAGCTAAATTGACATATTTTAAGTCCTAGCTTGAACTTCTCTATAAATTCTATATATTTGGGGTTTTAAGTGTAAATATATCTATATATGTTAAACGAAATTAAGGCGCCGACTGAATCACCGAGTAGTTTTAAAACAATTCATGTGACTTGAACAAACCCTGGAAATTACAATAACAGATGTTTTAGATTTTGTATGATTGAAACAAGTTTACGTCGATCATTTGACATGTTTTATAACGTTTCCAGAGTTCACTTTGACAACTATTGAGAAACGCTCTAACCTGACCCTCGTGGGTCAATTTAGGAAACCACCATTTTATTCTATAAAAAAAAAGAAAAAGGAGAAAACTTTTGCTCCTGTGACTGCATAGTGAATTTGTTTTGAGAACGTTTACAGAATAATGAACGAAAAATACAAAAACTAAGAAATGAAAATTTTGCCTGTGTCTCTCTTTAATGACACTATATTAGAATTTAAACGTAAAATTTTACTTCGCGTGGACTGTGTAACAATTATCATTATTTTCTAACAGTATATTTGATCATAGCATAGTTTTAATTTGTCATAAAAATAGATAAATAAATAAATAAATAAATAAATTAATAAATAAAAAAAATCCAAAAAAGAAATCAATAAAATACGCATGTTACAGCTACTGTGTAGCAGGAGACAAAACCTTAACAGAGCAAAACGCTTTTTTTTTATTCAAGAACAATAACTCCGCTGATAATCATTCAAGTGAAAAACTTGTGTATTATGCACAAGAACTTGATCTACTAATCAATCCCGTAAAGTTTCATTAAAATTGCAACAATGGTATAAGAGGAGTTGTCCTGACAAACTTTATTTACACCCTTTTCATTCAAGCGCCATAATTGGGCAATAAAATCATTTAAGCGGAAAAACCGTGTAATATGCTCGAGTTCTTGACCTACCAATTAATACTGTAAAGTTTCATTGAAATTGCATTAGTGGTATAAGAGGAGTAGTCCTTACAAACTTTAAAAAATAAAAAATAAATGATAAAGGGCGATAACTCCAACAAAATTCATTGATGATATGCATTACTAGACTTAGTACTTATCATGAAATTGCAGTTTTTAAGAAACCAGCAGTTTTTGAGAAATAGTTCGGACAAACTTTTGTGTATCTGGCAACACCCCCCAAAAAACACCTTTTTTATTAAAGAGCCAAAAATCATTCAACCAGAAAGCCCATGCAATATACGCAAGGACTTAACGATAAATCCTTTAAAGTTTCATTGAAATTGCAGTAGATGTATAAGAGGAGTAGTCCGGACAAACTTTAAAACAAAAAAATATTAAAGGGCCATGACTCTTACAAAAATCATTGAACTGGAATATGTTGACAATATGCACAATAAGACTTGGTACTCTCTTCTTGTAAAGTTTGAATGAAATTGCATCAGAAATTTATGATAAGTAGTCCGGACAAGTTTTGTGACGGACGGACAGACAGACGACGGAGAAGTGAGCCCTACGTCGTAGAGGCGACACAAAAATGAAATGAAATGAAATAAAAAATTAATTAAACAAGAAGTATCTTTAAAAAGATACTCGGCCGAGGTCAAAGTTGTTAACTTGCATAGGATAAGCTACTACTAACCATTCAATCCGCAAAGAGAACATTTTATTCGTCCTCAATGGTTTAATTTCAGTTCATTTCTACCCGCAATGTTTTCCCCATTATTTGTCATCTTAGATTTAAACAATATTACTCACTTTATTCAATTTTAATAAAAATGGAATTTGATTTGAAAAGGAATTTATAAAAAAAGAAAGATTGGGTAGATACTGTACACTAATTCCGCAGAGAATTTTGCAACTGTAAATTAGTCAAAAGTTCGTTTCAATCGTCTTATGCCCGGTTTGAGAAGAGAAAATAATGACTAGAACAGATAAGAAGAGAAACCCAATCGAACGCAACAGTATCAAAAAGGCCATCTGTCAAATTTAATTTCATATATTTATTGAAAAGCTGTTAGAAACATATAGAAAATATCATTATTGTGTTTTTATATTCATTCTTTTTCAAACACTTCTTGCTATCGCGCAATCGAACAGACCTCTACATATAACTGAAGCTCTTCTAAAGTATCAATCGAACAGGCTATTAGTGTTAAAATGACCAATGAAAATTCTGCCTATATTCATTTCTTTACTGTTAATTTTAGCGGAAGTCAAGGTGAAATCAGTCGGCATTCGGCCGAAAAATGTGCATTTGATTCACAATATTCCCCAAAAGTATTATTCCATCAATACGTTAATGGATCTGTTAAAGTATAACAAAGAGAATAATTATTGGACGAATATGATATAGTTTCATCCTTCTTATACCAAAAACATTTTGTGCAATCAAAGAATTAAAGTAGAAAGAATTAACTATTCTTACCCTATCCACATGTATAGACTGTTCCACAATTATTTAAAATGGTCCTGACCCTAAGGAAAATACTATTTTCTCATAAAAATTCATGTATGACGAAAAGTTGAACAAATATAATATAGAATATTGCAAGTTTTCAAGTCACTTGTTTTAAAAAAAGACTGGTGAAGTATTGATTAAAAATAAATATGTTTAAACCATTGAAGACTGGAGCCTGATTTTTTTTGCCTCAAATATTTAAAGAATAGTGGTGCTATCCTTCTTATCCTGGTTTCTGTGTCCGCATTGGCATATCACATTGGTTTAAAAATTTGAAGGCAGCATCTTGCATGTTCAGCATCAAATTTCATGAACTTCTAAAAATATTTGCTTGTAACTTTTTGAGATCCTCCGTAATAGGAGATCCGAAGCCAATAACTCTAGTATGGTTTTTGAAAGAATTTTGGACCATTTTACCATTTTGAACCAAAGAAATCCAGCTTAAAGTTTTTCCATGTAATATTATTGAAGGTTACTGATCACGTATACTGAATGTATTCCCTTGAAACTAAATGAAAGGTCTTCGGGAACATAATCGTATGTCACTTTTCAATATCAAATTTACCCAAAACCACAACTCTAAGGTGGGTTTTACTGAGTAATGACCCCTTGTGAATTTACTGAAGGTATTTTATTTTTTATAAGTACATGTTTCTTTATCATTAATAGGGGTCACTATCCAAGGACCACTCATTGATTTTGATTGATTATTAGACGTTAAATTTGTAAGCTCAGTAACATTTTGGTCAAAGGAACTCCTCTGAGGGCCAAAAGTCTGAAGCAATAAAATCTGAATTTCTTGCAAAAATGAGTTGGGACACTTAAGACAGTAACATAAGTAAAATTGTATTAAGAAATATACTTAGAAATGAAATCAAAGTTTGTGCTATTGACCTGATTTGTGTCAACAGCGTTGTTTTGGGTCATTTTCCACAATTAGAATTATTCTTGGAAAACATAGAGAGCGAATGATCTGAAATTTTACGTGTTACACGTTATTTGGCTAGACATATATCTAATGTTACATTAAAGGGACATTATGCCTCAGAAATAAATAAATTTTTACCCCCCTCACAAAGGGTAAATCTAGAAATAATAGTTTTGTGTATGTTAGATGCTTAAAACGTAGAGAAAGTAGTGCCGAATGTGAACTTATTTGTAATATAAGTAGCAAAATGTCAACAAAGTAGAATTTTGACTTCAATAAAAATTACTAATTCACTTTACCTATACTAATTGCCAAAAAGCAACAGATAAAAAATACGGTTCAAGTAATTGGCCAATAATTGGAAACTACAATAGACACCAAAAAATGAAAAAAGATTTAGGGAAATAAAAATAAAAAGCATTTTTATTGCATAATTTTTGTTAGATTTATGTACGTTTAATTATTTTTATTTTTAAAGTTTGTCCGGACGACTACTACTAATGCAATTTCAATGCAATTTCATTGCAACACAAATTTACCAGGGCTAACTCTAAGTTGTAAAAGGGACATAATTTTTCTCGAGAAATTATTTCCAGCACTGTCATGTCCTTTTATGTTAAGTATGTAGTATCAAATTTTAGAACAATTGAAGGCTTTAATTTGAACCAATATACAAATGTATATGTTTTCGGGACCATAAATGAAGATTATTATATGAACCGTATGCATCTAACATTGATTTAGACTGAGTAAATGGCCTTCTGTGAAGTTAGAATTCTGGGTTAAAGTTAAGCAAGCGACATCAATGTTCAGAACGACATGTATGTGCTGGCGGTATTCATTTAAAACTATTCATTTAAAACAAATAACATCAGTTTTTAAAAGAAAGAAAATATTCACAAGAAACCTAATACATGTCTTTAGATCATTATCACAGGTCTCTACCCAAGCCCCATAAAACTCTTACATAGAATTGTATTGCCCTTCGTGAATTTAGAAATTTCTTGGTGCAACATGACTGATGTTTGGTCATTTTTTGACAACATTTATGCAATTCCCTTTTCATGTCCGTCGCATCCAGTACTTTCAGCACTTTGATTTTGTTAATCACCATCATTTCTTTGAAATCTGTCAGCGATTTATCATGTAGTTGTGGACTTCATCCGCACTATTTCAATGAGCTTTTTAGTGTTTTCTTTTAGATCAATAAAACATTTAATTTCATCAGATGCATCATGTCGTGGCAAGACATCTATTAATAAGGTTCAACCAGAATAGATTGTAGGAATATAAATCGCTGCA